ATTTAGCTTAACCGTAGCGATTATATTAATAGTCTCTCGTTAGTCTAGACCTATTTCTATAATCGATCGACTAAGTGTTTTCTACTAAGACCCTATCGCCGTCCTTAACGTACTAGAACTAAGTATAATTACGTAGTAATAGTACCTTCTCCTATTTAACTAGTTCTTCCGAAAATATCGTAAGTCGTCGTCGACTAGGTCTAAGTCCCCTACTATCCTAGAAGACTCTAGATCGTTAGCTACTTCGGGCTCGATAGTATCTTCGATACTCTATACGATCTTAGAATCTATCTAATCGAATTCCTTCGTAACGTATATAGTATATAGTACGAAATCTAGTTCTCGCTATAGTATTGGTGCCGCGGCATCCAGTACCTCTCGCGAGATAGTTTCCCCGGTATTATATCTCGCTCGCGAACGATTCGATTAAACTATTCTACCTCTTAGTAAGCTCTCGGTAAAGTTCGTAATACGAAAGTTATTATTATCGTTCTCGAAATCTATATCGTTATAGTCGATCTCGGACTTCGATTTATCTTCGTAGCCGAGAGAGAGTATCGAATATTATCCTTTTAGTCTAGATCCGACGTACTAGATATCGTCGAAGTACGTTTAAAATCGCTATCGATTCCGCTAATAAAGTCGCGATACGAAAACCCTAAATAATTCTTAATTTTCGTCGATATAAAAAGTAAACTCTTCGTTAGAATCTCGATACTTTAATATTAGAAAAGTCTATATCGATTAGCCGAGAAACTTACTTAACGAAGTATAATCTTAGTATTAAAATCTACCGTCTCGATACTCTTTACGATAGAAGAGAGCCTCGAGCTAGTATCTTTACTAAGAATCGCTATAGACTCGTATTAAATCGAACCCTACGGTAGAAACCGCGTATCGATTAGATTGCCTTAGGAAGGCTCTCTAAGCTAGATTTCCCTTCCCTAAAGGTACTCTCCTCTACCTTCTCGAGATTACCGACGCCGTAGCGCGTATATATATACTTAGGACTAGCTACGGTTCTACGCCTCTTTCGAACCTAGTCTCTAGTTTCTTACCGTTATCGCGATCGTCGATTACCGCCTAAAAGCGAGACTTTATACTTTTTTCGATTAGATTCTAAGTCCGCTTCGAGTTCTAACTCTAGGAAAGTAATAGAGACGAAAACGATACTTCCCTTAGATATTACTCGCCTAGCTAGCGGAACGCCGTACTTCTAAATACTAGTAGCTAAGAGAAGAGAATTATCGATCTCTCCGATTATCGGCCGGCTACGTAGCGTAGAATAGTTAATATAGATACGTATAGACTCTCCGGCCCTAGTTATCGAAAGATATCCTTAGCCGTATATCTATTCGAGACGTCCTTCGAGAAAGGTCGTTTTCGCTATACTACTACTAATAGTAAATATCTTCTTTCTCTAACTATATATACTAAAAGCTACTCGAATCGGAGTTAATATATAAAGAGTTAGATTCCGTTCGAACGGTCGTACTATAGTCGTTAATTAAGCTATATATCGTTATTAATCGCGTTCGTATCTCTCTATTATTATAAAGACTATTAGAGCCCGTACTATTATCTTTTACCTATAAGCGTAGCTTTAATAGAATATCGAGTAATTTTATCGCTACTTTAAATTACTTCTATTCTATTAGAAATAAGTCGTATATATTCTCTAGAGATATTAACTAGATAGCTTAATATTCTCTCTAGTCCGCTTTAAATAGACTACCTAAGATCTAATAGTCGTTAGTAAAACCCCTTCTAAGAACGCTTTATATTAAAGGCGATCGCGGAACGCCTTATTAAAGATTAATCTTATATCGGCCTTTAGAATATTACTTAAGTTTAGATTTATAAATAAAGAGTCCCTTTTCTTCTAGCTACTAGTATAGAGAAGAGCCACTAGTATAGAACTTTATTCTTCGCCGATAATCTATCGTAAGCTTTTACCGTATCGCTATAAGATATTTATTAAAACGGTAAGTATTTCGTTTAAATAGAATTATCTAGACTACTATAACTATATCGTAGGGACTTATATAGCGGCCGATATTATTTATTACTAATACTATTCGATTACTCTACGCTCTAGAGAGGGACTTAAGACCTATTACTTCTAAAAAGTATCGCTTTCGGACTACTATCTTCTTCGAGCTAAGGGGCGGCTTAGATCGAGAAGATCTAGAGAAATTATTCTTATTACTACTATAATTTTGCGAACGCTACTAATAAGTCGAAATCTTCTTCTTTATTTTAAAGACTCTAGATCTAAATTAAACTTACAAAAATAAGCTATAAGAAGAAGCCTAAGCGGATATTTATTACGCCGGTATAGCCTAATTAGCGTCCGTAGAGGAGAAAGGAGAAAGCGGTATTTATTTAGTTTACTAAAAAGGATATAGTATAATATAGATATTACTCTAATACTAGTTATTAGGGGCGTATAAGCTACTTATACTCTTATTAGTCCGTACTTCTCTTATAGCTATATAGCGTTCTAGATCTATCGTCTCGTACTATTAACCTTCTTAGCTCGTATACTAGCCTAGTTATCTTAGACATTCCGGATTATAGTTAGGAATTAGTTATAGATCTATTCCTATACTATAGAAGCTTTTCTAATCTTAACTATAGCTTCGTTTAACTTTTTCTATCTTATAATACTTCTAGCTAAACCGTATAGTTAGTATATCGAAACTATAATCGTACTCGTATCGAGGCGTAAAAATATAGTAAGAAGATATAATACTCTAAATATACTCTCGTCTTAATATCTATCTACCCGATTAACTATCTAGATATATAGTATCTTACTATCGAGTAGGTACGTACCCCTTTTCGAGTTATTACGCCCTTCGTAATAGCTTCGTCGCGTATATTTAGAGATCGAGTACGTCTTCTCTTCGTACTAAGTATTTATATTAGCGTCTAAACCGATATAGATAGTACCGAACGACGTCGAGTAGTAGAGTTATTATCTATCGCCCGATTACTTAATAAGAGATAATCTACTCTACGTAGCGAATAAAGTATATACTTATCTAAAAGGAGATATTATATTTCTAAATTAGGCACTATCTACCTTATTATTTATTTTATCCCTTTTAGGTATATCTAAACTTCTTCGAAATTACCTAGGTATAACTAAGCTTCTTCTAAATCGCCTAGGTATCCCTAAGCTTCTTTAAAATAGCCTATTACGATAGGAGTCGTAATAAGCCCGAAGTATACGTTAATTATAGAAGGATTAATCTATTCTCGCCGCTGAATCTTCTTCCGAACCGCTATAACTAGCCTCGTATTTAAACTTTTACCTATTCGTATTCGTAACCGTATATACGTCGTTATACTAAGCCTAAAAGAGATATAGATATCGTACTACGACTACTATATTAAAATAATCAGAGGTAGAAGAGATAGGAAGAAAATTAGAGAGGTTAAGGTCGATATAGGAGGATAAAGAGCGAGAATATATAGTATTCGAGGTATATTATATAAGTATAGAGCGCCTTCTATTAGTATTAGATCGAATACTTATTACTAGAATAGAAAGATTAGGAGAGAGGAGACTATATATATATATATACTGGCTAGATTAGTAGGAAGAGAGTAGAGTTATAGGGGTAGATAGATAGATATATATAGGTCTATAGGCGCCTAGTATAATAGGTTATAGCGGAGTTAGCCGGCTATAGATTAACTGTCCGTTCCTATTATAGAATCTACGATAGTTTCGAAAGAGGAGCGGAGTTCGAGTTAGTAATAATAAAAAGAAGACGTATAGTTATCGCCGGGTAGGATAGTTATAACTCGATATAGTACGGCGAAAAGAGCTATTTAAGAGCGAGACTCGAAACTCGATATAGTATAGCGGAGACCGCTATTTAAGAGCTATTTAAGGACGAGACTCGACCGAGATCTCTCTCTATAACGATAAAGTTTAATATCTATAGAATTAATAGACTTACTATAGTTAAATAATAAAGACGGAGGCGTATACGACGGTATAATAGTTATAGTTATTTTAAGATATATTAAATATATTATATAAGGTAAATATAGTCGATAAATAATAACTTATTAGCCTAGTAATATTAAATATCGTAAACTCTACTTACTAGGCCTACTCGCCGAGTCGAACGAGAATAGATACTCTTTTATGCTAACGAGCGCGTAATAAGAACGTTAGTCGACGTAAATAAGTTATAATTCCCCCTTAGACCTTACGCGCTAGGCTCTATCTACCGAGTCGAACGAGAATAAATACTCTTTTATACTAGCGAGCGCGTAATAAGAACGTCGGTCGACGCAAATAAGTTATAATTCCCCCTTAGATCTTACGCGCTAGGCCTTATCTACCGAGTCGAACGAGAATAGATACTCTTTTATACTAGCGAGTGCGTAATAAGAACGTCGGTTAACGTATATAAGTTATTTAGGGGTATAAGAGAATTAAGAGATAACTTAAATAAGATATATATTAATATATAGTAGGATAAGACTAATGCTAAATAGTACGGGATAAGCTATAGTGCTGTCGGATAACGAAGAAGAGGATAGGAGTAACGATAACGATAATAACGAGCTGCCTATTATACTAAGAATACCTATACGAGAATTACTAGACGTTATTTCCGTACACGAATAATTCTTCCGTATTTTTACGTGCTAAGTGTGCCAAGTCGCGCTAAACGCGGAGTTTGGGCAGCAACAGCTACGACCTCGGTGAAGTGAACTCAGGTCTCATGATTAAGCCGCATCACGTGCATATTGCGCTTATGCTGATGTGTATCTTGCCGGACTTTATCACATGCTGGCTGCGGTCGTGCAAAAGGCCCATATGGGTACTACTGTACCTTGACTTCTTCTCTATGGAGCACTGGGGTGTAACAACAAAAGGAAACAAAAGCTCTGGACGTGATATGAGTTTCATCAGTTTATCGACTGCCTTCAAGGTCGGCAGGTAGCACCACTAACAATGTTCTAAAATATTGCTATACCATGTCACTAGGCCCCAGACCTCGCCTGGACGGCATCTCCTCCCTATACTCTCCAAGGTCTCCATTGTCACAGTCTGTCGCACCGTGGTCTTCTTGAAACCTCAACATATCCTCATCAACAGGTCTTGCTGTCAGAGGGCTGACTCGGCCGAGCGGGCTGCGATTGTCTCGAGAGCTCGTCCTAATTCCCAATTCGTATCGTGGAGCATTATTCCTGACTTGTCTTGCCGGCTCAAACTCGGTGGCCGCCTCTGGGGAGAGGCTCGCGCCTCTCGGAATGCAACCATTAGTCGCAGCTTGCTTGCGCTGAGCTGAATTTGGAACGGCAGGGACACTTGGAGCGGCGGGAGGATGCTCGCGCAGAGCCGACCGGGGCGCACCTGATAGGCTGACTGACCTGGGCAGCTGGCCAAGACCTGATTCCAACATGCCAGTGTGTAATAGGGTATCCTCACCGGAAACGCTACCTACCCTGCGCGGAGTGTGGACTGATATGTTCTCCGAATCACTCATGTCGAGGGAATCGTGCTCCCGACGGGGTAGATTACCAAACATGTTAACATCAGATGGACTCGGTGACAATAGACCCTTCTCAGCGACGAAGCCTGAATCGTGTTCAGTTGGCACGAATCGTCCCTCCACACAAGACGAAGGCTGCAACGCTGAAGGGCGCGTCCGTCGCCGTCTGACCACCATGGCGGGTTTGAACGTCTCTGGTACCACATTCAGATCATCTCCTGTGGCAATGGCATGTTCGATCGCTTCCTGCGGCGTCACTTTCGAGTCGGCCGCTCCGGCGTCTGCTCTTGGCCCTCCCCAAGTTCTCTGCCCGGCCGTGAAAATGCCGTAAACCATGTACACCCAGTTCATGAAAGGATTGAGCATAAACATGATCGGGTACAAGACTGCCTTCCAACGGTGCAACTTGACAGCAAAGTAGAGCATCAAAAACCAGTTCAATCCGCAAGAGATACACATGAACTCCCATGGCAATCGTTCCACACGGCTTGAGGTCGTGGCAACCGCAAGTACTGTGACAAGAAACAACAAAGCGGTGGTGCGGATCGTGATTGTCATGAAGCGAAGAAGGCAAAGCATCGGGTACTTCCTCCACAGCCGTGCATCCGTCATCATGCACACTTCATTGGTGATAAACCCAAGAAACCAGCGGCGTCGTTGTTTGAGGAGGGATCGGAATGTCTGTACCGCCTCGGTCTTGCAAAAGGCACTGGTACTGAGTTGAATTTGATATCGCTCCTTGGCCCCGAGCATGAACAGATGCGTCAGCCAGCGGTCCTCCCCTAGATGCGTTTTTGCATAGTCGAACAAATCTTCGCACTCCTCTGCACGGTCAGAGAAGTAGAATTTGGCCATGTTTCGGAAGGCAGGAAACCGCAATAATGTCAGCGCTCCGGGGAGGCAAGTGACTGCACCGCACCCCGACTCGACGGAACGTTCAAACAGCTGACCGTGGACATATTCCATGTCTTGCATCAGTGTCAGAAAAGAATTCTTCTTCGTGCACGAGGTGATGATCCCGGTCATGGCCAACATGTTATGTTTGTTGCCGGGTCCCAACTCCATGTCGTACATAAAATTTTGGATACAGACCGGATCCAGGACGCAATCGGAATCGATGAACAAAATGAACAGATCATCTTTACGTTGGAGGTACCGCTTGTATATCTTGTCAATGAGACGAAAGGTCGCCTTCTGACAATGTCGTTTGCCACCATGAGGAAATCGAGACACAGTGACCCGTGAACCCTGAAACGCAACGTCGATGGATTTTGGAAAGTCCTTGAGTGTGATAGGAATGCCCAAGCGGTCAATGGTTTTCAGGTATAATTCGTCAATGCTGTCTCCATCAAAAGAGAGAAAGACATGTATGCAAGCAGGAGGATAGTCGCAGCGAACAACCGAGTTCAATGCCGCCCACAACGTATCCGGCGGCTCCTTGTAGACCGGCATGACCACCACAACCTTAGGAGCACTTCGCTCGTCAAGCGGATGATTGATCAACCTTTTGCGCCCCAGCGGGATTATAACAATGCGGTAAACGCAAAACAGCCAAGGGACAATCAGCATAGCGGCGAAGCTGTAGAAGGCAAACTTTTGGAGCACAGCAACCACTTCATGGGGGAAGTATTGCACTATCCGACTCGGCAGTGGTAGCGTTACGAGCATTATTGGTAGGAATATTCCCCTGTGATGGTTAGAAGTGTACAAATCAGCAATAGGGTGGCTTGCACCTGATAGAAACGAATATCACGATCATGAAAGCAGCCAGGGCCTTGGATGACCAATGATCTGCCTTTTGATAAGCCTTTACAAGGCAATAGCAGAATGCTGCCACCCATAGCACTGATTCGAGGAATGCCGCTGCTACCAGAGGACCGATGACCGCAGCGCAAACAATCTTTGTTGTTCAGCGTGGAAAGACAACATGACTTGTGCACTCACGTCAGGTGTTGACCAAGGCCCTGTCACATAGGACTGCGACATCCTTCTCTTGCTAGGACTTCAAGTCCTCCTCTTGTCTAGGCCACAACAGCCTCCCACGGCTCGAGATCCGATGCTGCGGGCTTGATGATCGAAGTGAATAACGAGGAGGTGGTAGTCGCAAAAATGAGAAATTCCAGTCATGCAAGATACCTTTGGGTTCTTCGGAGTTACCTGAGCGACCGGCAGAGTTATGAGGACAAAGTGAGCGATAGGGGACGGCGGATGATCGTTACCAGGAAAGATAGTGTCGGCAGACGCCACATCGATCGTGATCATATCACTCGGGTGCGTCTAACTCCAGTGAATGATAACCATTGCATGCCGATACTGGACGGGGAAGTGCAAGCCTGGAAAGAATTGCCAGTGTTTCAAGTTGTAGCGGACCATTACCTCACACTAGACAACTTGAAGACTTGGGATCAAACAAGTGGCGAAAGGCAGGAGCTTGCGGCCGAGGGCGACACCGACACCAATCGACCAGCGCAGGCAGGTACATCCGTAGGTCAAGAAGCTGCAGGCGAAGCAAACGAAGGTGCTTGCCTCCATCAACAAAATGAATATTCGTTGGCCGGCTGCATGAGGCATGACCTTAGTCAAGTTGCTGGGCGGTGCGGATGAGATACAGGCGAGATGCAACTTGCCCTGCGGCAGTCTGCAGGTATTGACCCTGCAGCATCAAGCTTGTCGAACAGAAGCAGGTCGACACCTTGATTGGATGTAAAATGAAGTTGGCTAAAAAGAGAACTTACACAAAGCTCCCTCGAGAAAGGCCTGTCGTAATGCGTTATAACCCCTGCCATTCCCTTCATTCCTCCCATGTGCGGGAATGCTCAAACCAGCCATGGTCAGAACTCCGCCCAGAACTCCGCGATATCACAACAAGAACAGGGTGTATAACCACCCATAGCCTCTTCACGGACCCCGATTGCAGAACCAGATCTACATTTACGACTGGAAGTCACCGCTGACCGTGCTGTCCACCTCGGTCCACACACTTGCAGGCGTCCGCATCCCATCCCCTACCTCGCTGAGTAGGTCGTCTGAGCTCTCTTCTGCCTCGCTTGGATGGATGCTACTCATGCTGCTGGTAACACTCACTGCCGAATGATCTGTAGTACCGTTGCCAGGCACGAAATGTCCAGTTGTCACGCCAGTCACGTTGTTGTGGCTTTGAACTGGCAGGTAATCTTGCGAACCATCATCTGATAGTGTACGTGTCGAATTCGACACCGCCGACCCGAGATACCCCGACCCGCTTAGGGGATGTTGAAATTGATCGGCAGAGGGAACAGAAAAGTCTGGATCAGGAGCCTCTTCCGTGGTGGGTGTCAGGTCGATCAGGCTCTCTGAAGCATGGCTGGGAGGCATAGCATTCGCTCTATCTGACACATTCATATTCCAAGCCTCACGCATCTCTTTCTCATACCTCGACTCGAACGGATCGGTGTCGGTCGCTGGGTCATTTCGGGGCAGCTGAGATGAAGAAGGAAGGGTGTCCACAGAATGGTAAAGACGACTGGGAGTTTCTTCCGAAAGCGAAGGCTTCTGCCTATGTTTGAGACCTTGGGAGTGTGCTGAAGGATCAATGCCAGATGAGCTAGCTGCGGCCTCAGCCTCGTTGTTCTGCAGATCATGCAAAAGCATTCCGTTCTCGTCGACCATCGAATCAAAACTTGTGGCACGGCTTTTGTGTTGACCGCTCAACTTCCTTCTCTTCCGTCGCTCTTCCATCAACCGGCCACGTTCCATGATCTCGGCAATGGCTTGCCGCCGGCGCTCATCTGCTATTTCGCCCTTTTCTTCGTGCATGGAGGCGTCATTGAGACTCGGCCTGCGCCGTTGATTCGGAGTCGGATGGATTTCATCGCCGAGAGAGTGAAGGCCCATGGCAATCTTGTGCCTGGTCCGGTCAATCCATGCTCGCACTTGCGGATTCTCGTAGGCAGCGACTCCAGCAGCAACCAGAACGGTCACCGTGATTATAATCCCTACGGGCGGCACCATTTTAGCACTTGAACGGAACAGACAGAATGTCAGAAGGACTTTAGAGTCCCTTTATAACCACATGCTAATTGCTTCCTCCAGGCCGAAAATGGTAGAGATGATGTAAGGGATATTGTTCCAAAGATGGCACGAGCGCACCTACCTCGCGCCAGTGGGGCCGGCATTGTGAAGATGAAGGTTCAGAGCCGGCAATACCAATATCGAAGACGGCCAGGCGGGTAGAAGCAAGCAAGCCGACACTTCTAATGCGATATATAACAATCAGGCTCGATCAAGAATTGCACCAAGTGTTTATAAGGCGGGAGTAGTAGTTGTACTGTCTGCCCGCGGTACAATGTAGATCTGCTGCGCCACAGACACGCCACTCGCATGATCAAGTTCGCCCAATTAGTTGTATACGTCGACCCCCGCACTCTGGGCATTTGACGCGTGGGTCGTTTCCGACGCGTCTCTGCGGTCATCTTTGTTTCCGCGCCGTTCAATGGTAAAATCACGATGCCAGTGAACGCACCATAATTGCAGGTGTTGTACAATGGGAATGTGTTGCGCCATAAGTGCAGGATCCGAAACCATAAATGCAATAACCATATCGTCCCTGTTGGAATGGCGCGTCCGAATTCCGCAGCTCAACCAAGAGCACTCACTTTGACAGAAGAACTGGAGAAGCTCGAGCAGTCCATCACTTTGACATTGCAAGGTATGCGCGGAAGGGTCCAAAACCACCATCACTGCGGGACTGACCTTTGCAGAAATTGACCACAACTTCAGCCGCGCCCATCGCATAGTCACATCCAGTATCCTTCCTACTGTCGAACAGTATGCGGCCCATTCGAAGGATGTGTGGGAAGGGTCCAGAGTAAGAGATGCAGTCCTCCTTCTCGGAAGCTGTATGCTGAGTTCCTCTGCAGTTTTGGAAACAGTTCTTCGAGTCGAGCGCCAATGTCTCACTTTCGGGCTACGAAGAGCCGCCTTCGCAGTATGAAAATGCGGATGTGACGGCTACCGACGAGTCCAATACTACCACCCACACCACTCTCGAGACATCGGAGTCCTACGAGACCCCTGTCGCTCAACATATTTCCACCGATTCTGTTCAAGACCTTGACCTGTCCAGCCTGACAGTGTCACCCTCCCAGAGCACGCCTCGGCCGAGGAAGAAGCAAGAGACTGAACAAGCCACCTTTGCCGATTATCCGTCGCCCTACGAAGCTTTGAGACAAGAGGTCAACAATACCACAGCGGAGGCGACCTCAATGACCCAGGGGACCTTGCCTGAAACCCCCGGCCGTCTTGCATTCCCATTAACCAACATTGCAGCCACACCAGAGTCGTCACCCTTCCTTCCTCCGCAGCCTACGTCGATTCCACAACCATCGACTATACGCAAGAACACCGACCCTCTTCTTCACAGAGTGCTTGATAGAAACTATCGAGTACAGGCTACGCCATTAACGAGCAATAGACATGCCGATTTCCAACCAAAAACAGCCACTACGACGCCGTTTACTGCGAAGCGTGGTCGAAATAATCCTCCTCCTGACCCTACGTTGTCATCCAGCCCTGATTTGGCTCCCCCAGAGCTTCACCATGAGATATTCTCGTCACCCGAACGGAAGGCTCGTATACCGGGGGTCAGTGTACTCACGCCAGCCAGACAAAACAATGCGAGGAATCAAGCGCCCACGCGTACGCCTGGGATTTGGGATAGCGACGAGGACGATCTGGACGATGACCTGCCGCTAGGAAGCCCACCGAAGACGATGCAGTTCCACGTTCCGCAGAACCGTCTCTTGAAAACTCCAGGTATGATTCTAGATTGCTGTTGGATTCCAGAGCAGCATGACGCATGTCTCTCATGCTAACAATTGCATGTTTACAGCCAAGGAAGCCTCCAAAAGAATAGTGCAGGACATTTTGACGACAGCCGGGATGGATTTCGATGACGAAGAGATCGACTTCAGCCGTGAGCTTGAGACGCAAGGGTTCGATGCCGAACCTACTAGTCCCAGTCTCGTCCGAAGAGCCACGAAGATTGAGGATGAGACATTCTAGCCAGATGCTTTGATGTCCGATACTCTGGTTACTGGTGCGCAGTAGTGTGTAATACTTGACAGTAGAAGTTCCAGAATGATTACGGTGGAGTATATGGTGACCTGTGCATGCGGGATTCAAGTTGGGCCTGCAGCCGAATTGGAGAAAAAAAAAATTATCTCGTTCACCGTTTCCGCCGACGACGATCGATCATCAATCGCTCCTGGCCGATTCGTTACCTGACAATTCTTTTGGTCTCCTTGGGCCTTCAATCGTACCGAACATTTAGATAGCAGTTGTCACATCCTTCCGTCTAGAACGCGACGCAGATTTGTCGCCGTCGGCCAATATATTCGCACCTTCAACCTAAACCTCTGCGCTATCAGCGCTGCAATGCCGAGCAAGATGAAGAAAGACGCTGCGGCCAGCGCACCAAAGCCCTCGCCTCAGGTATTGAGATTGGTAGAGGAATTCCTTTCCCGGAATGGCCTACAATCGACACACAAAGCTTTTACCAAGGAGCTTGCGAAACTGCGCCAGAAATCCGGCTGGCCTGCGCCAGAGGAGACGACAAGCGAAGTGCGACTCGAAGCGGTTGTGGAAGAGTTCCTGAAGAAGGAGGTTGAGCAGGTTACTACAACTTCCTCGGACGAATCGGAAGCCAGCAGTGCGAGCAGCAGCACAAGCAGCAGTGATGATAGTAGCAGCGACGAGGAATCCGAGGAGGAGGTTAGCGAGAAGGAACCGGCCAAGGTGAAGAAAGGCAAGGCTTCGAAGCGGTCTGTCTCGCCGTCTTCCTCTTCGTCTTCCTCTTCGTCTTCGTCTTCCTCTTCTGACAGCGATGCCGACGATGAAGACGAGGCGACCAGCACCACCCGTGCCAAAGCTCCTGCGGCTCAGAAACCCTCCGCATCTGCCAAGAAGCCTTCCACCCCCGTCAAGGCGGGTATGAAGAGAAAGGCCGAGTCCAGCTCCTCTGAATCTGAATCGTCTTCTTCGGAGTCCGAGGAGGAGCCACCGACAAAGCGGGTCAAGGTTGACGAATCTGACTCATCGCAAAGCTCCTCGAGTGAAGACGACTCGTCTGATTCGGACAATGATAGCGAGGATAAGAAACTGCCGGCGTCCACCAAAACGAAGGTCACAAAGGCGGCAGATGACGTCAAACCTCTCAATAAGAAGACCCAACAGGTTGCTGCAGCTGATACACCGTCAGAGTCTTCGGGGACCGTGGTCGGGGACAATGATGGATCTGGAGAAACATCACATGCAGAAGGTCTAATGCACTCAGAACGCAGTCGTCTGATCAACAACAGCAACAGCAAAACTCCTCCGGGCAGCTTGAAAAAGAAGCATGTCGGTGCTAAGCCGACACCGTTGGCTCAACTCTCGGAACAGGCCAACGGCGAACAGTATCTCAGCAACGCTTACCAGAGCTACGACTATGCGGAGAAGGCGTACAGAGATCTTTCCGTCACACGAGGCAAGGGCTTCGCCAAGGAGAAGAACAAGAAGAAGCGTGGCAGCTACCGAGGAGGCCCCATCGATATTAGTGGAGGCAAGTCCTTCAAGTTTGAGGATTAAGCAGGTGCAGAACAAGCGACGCAAGCCTGGAGTTTGGTTTAGACGGATACACGAGATACCGCCCACCCACTCTTGGAAGTGAAAGCGATTCATTTCGGCTTTCGGTTTTTTCGGATTCATACCCTTACTAGTAATCAAGCATGGAGTTTGGCAGGCGAAACAAAAGCACATACCTACCTATCCGCATTGATAGGATTTCGCGTCGGTGTTGTCGATCTGGCGGTGGAGGATACAGACTATACATGTCTTAGACAGGAGAAATAGAAACAAGACAGACAGACAGACAGACAGAAGAGAAAGAGAAGCATTGACCGGGGACTAGAGGTAGAAAGAGATATAGAAGTATCGATCCTGCTGACCAGACGACTACCTTCACTACCTACTAGGTACTTGAGTGCCCAGGTTGACATTACCGGAAGCTAGGCACATGTATTGGCGATCGATGACACCGATAGGTGAGGAGGATAGACCTGTCAATCAATCTATTTTATCCAGTACGTTCGTTGTATCTCAAGGTACTAGGTAAGAAGAGCACGTGGACCCCTTTGCCATGTTGGTCAACGTATGTTATTGGCCTCCTATGTAAAGTGGCCAGGTAAGGTAGGGCAATATCCCGACCCCATCCTGCCCAGCCCAGCACGATGCGATGGAGCATCGACAAACTTGAATGTCCCTTTCAGCTCCCATACAGTCCAACCCGCAGTCGATCCAGCCCAAGTCAATCCAGCCCGATACAATCCCAGCAAAAAGCACACCAGATTCTATCCAGCTATGACCCCTAACCCTCCCTGGCTAAGGTCCGAAAAAAGTGATTCGTGATTCTAACCTATCCCATCCCTATTGAGCGCATATCTGTGTTCCACCTGACCACTGCATAATGACAATCCCATATTCCCATTCCGCACCGCAGAGCAAGGCAAGCCATGACATTTCCATTTCCGCTCCCGCCACTGCATGTTGAGGCAGCAAAGCAACACTCTGGTTGAAATCAGATAACCGGATGGGTGGCATTTCACTCCGTCTCTCCACTCCTCGTACGTGTTCGCTGACTCCTGGTACGCGACCCAATCCCCTCGAGCGAACGAGCCGTCGGCTCCTTTTTCTTGCTTTGTTGTTGATCCGACTTCTTCGGACGACCTGGTTTCCTCTTCGCGGGTTGTTGCTGGTCCGTTTCGGTGGCTTCCTTTTGCTTTGTCGAGGGCTGCTCAGGCTTGGCCTTTGAATCGGCGGCGGTGGCGTCCTTTCTCGGACGGCCTCGTGGCTTTTTCTCCTCTGTCTTTTGTTTTTTGTTCCCGCTCCCGCTGCCTGCAGGTCTGCCGCGGCCCCTGACGGTTTTACCCTCGGCATTTTCTTTCAATGCAGGCTCGGGCTCATCTTGGTCATTGTCTTGGTCTTCTTGGTCCTCTTTTTTGTCGTTTTCGGCCTCTTCAGCGGTAGCAGCAGCGGCAGCCTCGTCGTCATTGTCGGTCTTGTCTTTGGAGTCATCTTCATCAGCAGCAACCTCGTCATGTTTGCGCTTGTTGTTGTTGTTGTTGTTGCTGCTGCTATTGTCGTCGCCATTCTTTTTGGTTTGCGCATCTGCATCTGCGTCTGCGTCTGCGTCTTTCGAACCAGAACCTGAGGTTGCGGCTGATCCTGATCCATTCGCTTTTTCTTCAACCGTCAACTCGGAGGCTCTCTTGACCACGTCGTTGCCGGATCGCTCAATGTGGACCGCCGGGTTGCTGGGGTCGGCGTTCTTTTTGACCTTGTTGCCTTTCTTCGAGGTGATGGCTAGTTCGCCCTCGGTCTTGACTTCGGAGACCACGCCGCCGGGGTGTCCGCTGCCCCAGTTCCAGGAGACTAGATTCTCGTGTTAGCCGTGGGATGGTTTAGTGTGCTGGAACAGATATGATGCGCGCGCGACATGACATGATATGATATGCAGTGGACTGACTTGAGTCCGCACGATCCGTCTTATGCCAGTGAATCGTGGAATGGAAATGGATAGGTAGGTAGTAGCAACGGCGCAAGTAATACAATATTAGTACGTACCCTTGTCGCCCTTTTCGACTTCCTCGCCGGCCATGGTGGAGCGAGCGATGCAGCACAGTTGGTGCTGTACTACGACTAGTAGTAGCGATCAATGCAATGGACGCGACTCGAAGCGCAATGCTATGCAGTCGTACAAGTTGATGGATTGGTGGAACTCGAAGTCGACTCGAAGTAGAGCAAGTGGTGGATTGAGTGAACTTGTGTGACGTCAGTCAAACAACAACAACAATCGCTGTAATGGTAGTGAACCACACGCGTGGAAAAGGCGCAAGAGGTGAGATTTATGTCAAATAGACACCAAGGTCGTGGTCGCGAGAGCTATGCGACTGGGATCCGACGAGAATAAGATCGAAAAGACGGAAGGTTGGGTTGCGCGACGGCAGAGAAAAGGAGACACAGGGCCTGGATCCTGAACTAGTAGGGTTGGGAGGAGGTGGTACTAGATGCAGTGGCTCTCAGTTCAGCTCCGGCTCCAGGCTTCAACTCTGTTCAGCTCAGCTCAGGCTCACTCTCAATTTCATACTACAGTGCACAATATCAGCATCTGGCCCTCAATCTACAATGTATTATGTACTATTTGGCCGGCTTTTTCATCATTGACTTTTCATCCTGATCGATGGACGGGCGTCCCGGCACCCCGTGCAGCTGGGTGTCAGTGTTGCTGGAGGGATCTACCACAGTACCTTGGTACTGTTCCAATTGATGACTACTGCTGCTAATAATTGGTTCTACTCTGTCGCATGGGTTGAATTGGAGTTACAGCGGATCGCACTACATCAACTACAGTGTACGGCACCTTAGGTATTCAGATCATAGACCCTGTGGATCGGCCACCGCTTCAATTCCGACGTGGAACGAGGGAGATCAAGATTCCCTAGTGCCCTCTTTCGCCGATGGTCGATCTACACTGCACTGGCGTTGAATTGAAAGTGGTATGGGTTATCTATGGATGGGATTGCTGCTATACTCTACCTTCTTTGAAAGGCATTTATCTCAACCTGAGCGCGTGGTGCCTGTTACAGCCCCCATTCATGACCACGTAGAACGACTGTTATCAATGTCAAGGGACTGGGATAGGTAGGAGATATCGAACCGTTGCTACTCTAAAATCATTCACCAGATTTTCATCTTATATCAATTCACACAGCTATCAACTTCGAAGTACACAAAACGTCCCGTTGATGGAACAAGGGGCCCCCCATATTCTGTCTTGACAACCGTGCAGACGCCTAACGCCAGGAAAATTGAATCACAACGGCTCAGGAGCTCAGCCTAGATCGGTCCCCCAGAGACGGCGCTGGTCCCATCATCTGGCCCAGGAAGACCTTCCTCATCGCCGGGCTCGCGGTACGTGCCGGCCTCCTTGGTGGCTCCACGAGTGCGCTCGTCAATGATGTTGCTCTTATCAATGGCCTCGTTGTCATCGCGGACTAAACCGGAAGATATGAGTCAGCCCCAATAGTCCAACAGGTTGGTAGACGGGAAAGTACAAACCTAGTTGCTCATCCGAGTCGGCGACATTGGCGTCGATGGGATCTTCGATCGGAGCGTCATCACTCTGCACGGGGATCTGGCCTTTCTGTCCAGTTCGCGACTTGTAGTCGTTGTCCACGGTGTCTGGACCCGTGCTGCCTTCGAGGCCCTCGGTTCCCGGTTGGTATTCGTCAGCTGCGGACATTGTGTTTGGTGTTGGATGTGATTTGGGGTAGGTCTAGTATGTCTTCTCCTGGTCGTATGTTTGAGAAGCAACTTGTATTGAATGTGTACCTTGAGTGCAAGGAGGATAGGATGAGGCAGTAGGATTTGCTGAGATAACGAGGTTTATATGCTTTGGATAATGACATTGAGAGCACAGGGTAGGCGAGTAACGCATCATAGAACGTAGAACCGACCTGTGTCGTCATGATTGAGACAGAAAATGTGTCGACAGCCTACCGATGCCTCTGTCATAGTCTTAGTCAAGCCCTGGGCTGATATAGCATGTCAATAATGTGTGGCTTGAGGTCATCACTGGCCCTGTTAGAGCATGCCCGTGGTCTGGATTGACAGTTGAAATGGAAACCCAGTTGGAAAAGAGCAGTAAATTCAGAGCCATGCAAGGATCGCCAGCGATGTGGCTCTCCCACTCCCTCGCCGACAACAGGGAGAGCTGAGATCGATCTACACTGCAGGGTTTTTAATGAACTGTGATGATATGTCCAGGGCAGGTATTGACGCGCTGTGCCAGTAGATGGCTTCGAGGAATGTTTGGGGTTGGATGTAAAGACACCTGAGCGGCTCACAAGGCTGGAGATCTGACGGATCGAGGCGGTCGAAGACGTCAACGATCTCAAGCTAATAGTCCCCGACCCGATCTCAGCACCAAAACCTCCACTTTTCGCGCGATCGATCTTGTACCCGCTTCCGAACTCCATTCATAGTGGGTTGAAGTCATGCAAGCACTTGGGCTTCAGGACTTGAAGCTGAAATAGCAGAGTGACTCAGATTTCTTGTTCCCACGGTGAATGACACATTGTGTTTGTAGATACGAGGAGAATTAGCACAGAATTGCAGCCATGTCGTTGTCCCTGTGGTTGGCAGTCCCAGTACCTTGACAGATGAGCCTTGTCATCTTTTTCCTGTTTGACAACGCCTGGAAAAGCCGTCATTGTATTGCAACATACGCTCCTGATGATGTACACTGGGAATGTTGTAGGTAGGAATTTGAAAAGCAGAGCTGTTACCATCATCGAACATGGCATAGAAGCCATTATAGTGGTAACGTGATCGCGCGATTACGCGACGCGTCATGGCTGACTAAGAATGCGCCGAAGACGACGCAGGCAAAACTACAACTACCAGGTAGTCGTGCAGCCCATAACATTAGGCCGGCACAACACAAGACATCATAGACCGGCTGCGATCGTGTCAGTTCCGATGCATTGCGCAACGTTTCCTTCACTATGCGGTTCGAAAGATCTAGAAGTCATTGATTCCGATCGCAGACATGCCAGAAGACTGCGCAAACCCGCGCCTTGCGGAATGGTTGAAAGAATGGATGGATGAGGCCAAGGAAAGGAATAGCAAGGCATATACAGTGTAAGAAGAATCCTCTGAAAATTGGATTCCATTGACACAGTCAGCTATAAGAAAGCTTACGACTCGATGAAAGCATGTCCTCTGCGCTTCGATCATCCTTCCGAAGCCCAACAGCTCAATGGTCTGGGGCCGAAGCTATGTGACCGCCTCACCGACAAACTAAAAGAATTCTGCGATCAAAATGGCATTCCGATGCCACCGAAGCGGGGAAAGAAAAGGAGGTCAGCTGCTGCCGCACTGTCTGATGCAGAAGGTCGCCCCGAGACGGCACAGGAGTCTCCTGTCAGAAGAGTGCGCAAGTCCCAGCCATATGTCCCCAAAATGAGGTCAGGCGCATATGCTCTGATTCTAGCATTGGCGACATTGGACCGAGAAACGAACGCTGCCATCGCAAAGAACGAGCTCATGGCGTTGGCTCAACCACACTGTGACTCGTCGTTCTATGCGCCCAGTGACCCCACCAAGTTCTACACTGCTTGGAAATCCATGCAGACTCTGGAGAACAAAGAGCTTGTATGCACCAAAGGGCATCCTACAAAGAGATACTATCTGTCTGACGAAGGATGGGAGGTTGCAATCCGGATGAGGGCTACTCTAGAGGGACGAACACTACCACAGCCTAGTCCGCGAGGCAAGAATAAGGCACCTGTTCGCGAGCCGGCCATTCCACGAGACGCTTCAATCGAGCCTGTCAGCAAGCGGAATACTCCTGTTCTTGAACCAACGCACACCCGGCCAACATCTCAACGACAGAGTGTCGTTGTCGATCTGTCGTCCGATGATGACCCGGATTGGCCTGTTCCTGAGCCAGAGATGCCGACGCCCGCGGTCAAGAACAATCATACTGGCTCCCGGCTGCTTAATGCTCAACCCTCCTCGGAAGACACCATCCTTCTTCCTCAAGGCAGCTTCGAGGTAAGAATGGTTCTCGACATGCGAGAAGTGCGCACAACCACCGATCGTGACTACATCTCTGCAGAGTTGAAGAAATATGACGTCGTTCCTGTCCTCCGTGCGCTCCCTCTTGGAGACGTTCTGTGGGTTGCGCAGGTGAAACCTCCTTATGGAGAGACACTCAAGGCGGCCAACGTGGGAGATGATGAAGAAGGTAACCAGGAAATTGTCCTTGAACACATCCTTGAACGTAAAAGACTTGACGATTTAATTGGAAGCATCAAAGATGGACGGTTCCATGAACAAAAGTTCCGTTTACACAAGTCGGGGATCAAAAATGTCACCTATCTGGTCGAAGAATACTCACTTTCGGCGGAACGTAGTGAGAAATACGGCGATGCTCTGGAGAGCGCCCTTGCCAGTATGCAAGTGGTCAACAACTTTTTCGTCAAGCAGACATCCAAGCTGGACGACAGTATCCGATATCTGGCGCGGATGACAAAGACATTGAAGGCCTTGTACGAAAGAAGAGATATCCACGTCGTGCCATCTCGGAGATTTGAAGCAGAGGCCGTTGCGATTACGCTGGACCGGCTGAGGCGAGTGTCGCCGGGCAAGACGTATGGAATAACATTCTCCGCGTTCGGCGCCATGTGCGACAAGTCGGAGAGTATGACTTTACGAGATGTGTATTTGAAGATGTTGATGTGTACGAGGGGTGTGACTGGGGAGAAAGCCATTGAAATCCAGAAGATCTGGCCTACACCGCGCGCTCTTGCTGAAGCATTTGAAGCGCGAAAAACAGGTCCGGAAAGGGATAATATGATCAGTGAACGGCTAGGGAATGCGATTCCCCGGAAGAAGGTCGCCAAACAGCTCAGCGCTAAAATCGCAGAAATATGGGGGTGATATTAATGTACCAAGACACTGTACCTAAGAACCTACTTGGACTTAGCACATCGTGCCATCGGTGCATCTTTCATTAGTTCGAAGTTCGTTTGAACCAGCCGACCAAAACCCGAAGAGGCAGGAAAATAATAAAACGGGGCTGCAGCTATGTCATCCATCGGCCCACAGCGGCATGACCAAATTGTCTATTATGTATCTCATCTTTAGCGAACAACACTTTAACCAAAACCAGATTTTTACGAGCACTCCGGACAGTAGCTCTGATCTGACATTCAAGACACCTCGAATCCAGCTGATCGACCTCCATCAACCACCTACACTTGAAATTTGAATCCTTCCACCATGGCGCCGGGCCACGTCCACCTCGTTGCAACCTTCTACCCCAAGGCTGACAAGTTCGACGAAGTATGTCTGTTCTGTACCGATCCGACCCAGACATGTACCAGATACCGGGATCTGATATTGTGGAACTACAAAACATAGGTTGCAGCCGCAGTCACAGAACTCACGAAGAAAGTTGAAGCTACCGAACCCGACGTCCTGACCTACTATGCATTCCGGACCGAGAAAGAAATCGTCTTTGTAGAAACGTAGGCAATGCCGACCTAGTATATCCGCCTACTATATTAGCACTGATATACTGATGTTTTCTAACACTGCAGGTACAAAAACATCGAGGCGCACGAGGGGCACACCAAAACCGAACATTTTCAGTCCGTCGTGGGCAAAATCAGTCCGTTGCTGGAGAAGCCGTTGGAGATTAAGCAGGGAAGTTTTATTTCTGGATTCGAACATCGAGTTTGAGCTTGAAACAAGGGTAGTATACATGCTGCCAGTGTAGCTTTATGTACCTAGACATATGGCTATTGAAAGATGAACGGCAAGAAGATGAGATTCTCGGTCCCTTGCTCCATCGGCCTGTATACGCGTTGGAATTCTCACCAAAGTTGTATAAGCACAGCTACAAGCTTCAGGGATCTTCTCTCCCTACTTAGAACGGGAGCGGTAGCCTTCTCGAAGATCATGGTGTCATGGTACGCGATTCCGGGCCTCCCGCCACGACAGCGGCGCAAGACCTGGGGCTCTTATTAGGCTGGGGACCTGGGGTTAGTATGGAGATGGACATGCTACTGCTGCCGCCTACCCGCCGCCCCCGTCTACCTCTCATCATCAATGTGACCTCCCACGGCTGTGACGGATCGGTAACTTTAGTCTTTGGCTTTGGAATGAGGGGCAAGCCTTACACTGCCAGTGGCAAGGCAGGCGGCCTGAACTCGAAGATAGCGCGGCCTTCAAGTTTGAAACTGAAGGGCGTCGATGTCCTTTTTTTCAAACTTGAAGTGGAACCAAATTTCTCATTGTTCTTTGTCGGGGTGATTGTGATTTGGTTTCATTCCGCAGGAACAATTCCAATCGTCGATTGTCTAAGATACTACACAGTACGGTAGGATGTACTGTACAACAACTACGCCATTTTAACAACGCAGAGCCTCTGTACGATTGAGCCCACTCCAGCCCTCGTGACCAGCCTTGTCCTCGTTGCTCCGCGCAGACTGGACACACAACTGAACCAATACGATACAACCAACGCGAAATCTTTCGGTAGCCCAGCCTTCAGTTGTTCGTTTTGATTTTGTTTCTGGGGACGACCGAACGCCGGACTTGGACTTTTCGACGGCAACATCGCCTCTTCGGACAACCTAGTCTAGTTCAGATGCTGCAAGAATGCTAGGCATCCAAGGACTCGCAGACGCATCGTTCAAAGGCGATCCGCGGTGGAAACGGGCGTCGAAATGGACCGGCTACGGGCCCTGGATAGTTCTCACGCTGGCGGTGCTCAGTATGATTGAGATCGCTTTGGGGGCCGTGTGGATCTCGTCGATGAAGACCGAGTTGAATTTGTATGTATATGTATTTATATGGATTGAATCGTCCTGTCGCTTGGGTTTGACAGAAACATGCCATCAAATTTATCGCCATGTCATTTTTGCCCTTGCACGGCCATTGCACACTGGCAACGCTGGGGAGTACAGCATGGCGCAGCAGAGCTCATGATGCATGATGCGTGATACATGATATGCACATGTTTTCCTGGGTTTGTGGAGTGCGGGCTAGGTCCACAATTGTGAAAAGAGAAATTGTTTTTTTCCGTTACGATCCAGTACTGATGTGTTTGCTAGCGCCCAGGTCATCCAGCCCCTGATCGTCCCGGGCCTCTGTTTCTTCAACACAATCCCCTCGCTGCACTTACACGTCCTGGCACGGGTGAACCCGCCGCGGCTGGCGTTGTGGTTCTCGGCGACGCTGTCGGCCTTACTTTTCGTCAGTGCGCTTGTCTTCATCGGCTCTTGCGCCGGTCGGTCTGGCAACAACAACAAAGGTTCGTTGCAGCGGGACGAGTGTCCTGCCGGCACCGGTGGGAAGGCGGGTATCTGGGACGCCATGGTCGCGCTACAGTTGGTCAGTGCTGTCATGTATGCGGCAATGGCCGTCATGGCATGGAAAGTGAAGAGCGTCCTGGAGGCCAGAGACCAGAGGATCGCCGCCGGAGTCGAATTGGTCAGTCAGGAGGAAAAGGAAAGGAGGGAGAGCGAGGCCCGAGAGAGGTGGAGATATCTTTCTGCTGGATGATGGCTGGTTGAACCTGCAACTGATTGAATGGAAGACAGGAATTGAGCTTGGGCACGTCGGGATCGAGCGTGTTGTTGTCTACGTCCCATGATGGAAGGACATGGCAACAGAAGGGGATACCTGCCCCTCGACCTAGTGGTACTTTTTGTGTTGCTGTATAGTACAGATGCTTAAAGCATAGGATCGAAAAGAGGAGGATCTCCCCCTGCCGGACCTATCAGTTCGTTTGACTCGTCCGACTAAGGAACGTCTCTTGTTGCGGATATGGTGATATACCCTTTAGATATTATGATGACCGCATTTGCAGTCATTCCATCCTTACACCAACCTGCAAGAGGAACGGCGTTGTTTTTGTGGCGGTAGTCCTGGTTTCCGAAGACGACTTACCTTGTCTGCAGTACTGCCATGTCTACTGGCTTCGGCATAACAATTCGAAGGTGTGTGGCATTCCTTATGGCAGTGACCGTTCTGATCCAAATAGGCGCCTGTGACGGAAGGACGGACCTCATGACGCGGAACCTATCTGTTTCAGGTCAGCTCAGCGCTTCCGGCGCTGTGTCACTTCTGGATCATCTCGACGTCTTTTGCGGCCTCGGAACTCTGCTTCTACCCACTGGCATTCATCATCGCTATCCACGGCTGCTCCAGCATCGGGATGTGGACGCTTCTTCGGACTGACACTGCGAGACTTGCCCTGATATGCTGTATACTGGGCGAATCGCCAGCAACGTTCCGGGCTGCAAATCTCGACTCTTGTTGCATTATCCACACGAAGGCGTAGCTTCCTCGAAGTGTTTGATTCCAACCATGCTCGTAGACGCTCGAAAACCGTATAAGCGAACCGTGCGAGTAGAAAGTGGCCGAGATAGCCCGAGTCACGGATTCTGTGCAGTTCGACACCGTGATAAAGGCGTTCGACTTGCGAACCAAGCTTAGTATTCATGCAGTAGACGACTAGGCGCCCGTCGATAGGTACGATGGCAAAGCGCTTAGCATCGAAGACGCTATGGACATCACTTCGTAGACGGACGCGATTGTCTGAGTCCTTGAGCTTATCTGCCCTCGTCGAATCAATGTATGCCGTCATGTTGTTGTTGAACCATTGCCTTTCGGCGCTCGGCACCAAGTGTGCATCCTCAACACCGTCCTCGAATTGCGTTATACGGCAATAGTTGTCGCTCTCCGGTCGGGATGTCTGCTTGAAGGATGCGATATCGCGCCAGGAGGGAGGGAGATTGTCATGTGGAAAGCGCCAGTGTTCAAACGTGGGAGTGACTGCGTAGCCTAAATCTGTTTCCAATTAGGTACACAATAGTAATTCAGAGGATGTATTTACCGTTCAGCGGCCAGGACGTATGAAAATAATATATTTTCGCTCTTAGGATCGTTTCTGCTTTGGGGACTGGATGTTCACCGTGCTTGTCCAAAGTGAGAAAACCATCCCATCTGTTGTCATCGAGAATGGCACACGCAGTCCTCACCGTCTCGTGATGGATACCGCCGCTGTCCAGACGAGGAAGTGTGAAGAGGGTGCTGTCGCTGCCGGGGTGTTTGATGTGAATATGTTCAGAGGGCGGGCACAGTTGGGATTTCTCAGGATGCGACGGTGGCGCATACGGAGAGTATACAATGCGACCATTATTATGCTCGTTACTGGCCATTGCATGTTATGCAAGCGACGCGTCAAAAGCAATCGTGACTGTGAAAGTCAACACTGAAAGAGAAGCAGGTTACCGCGAGATGGACTGTAACCGAAAATCATGGCTGACTATCGGAGAAAAGCTTTAGCGGTTATAATCATTAGAGGCAGCCACGACCGACGTGAAGTGGCTTGAGCCCCCGCCGCTTCAGAAATCTTACCTAGATTGCTCAGCCATGTACACAATATTTCGGTTGAATTACGGTGAGGATATATTACGACATTGGGTTGTTGAAGTTGAGTAGCTAGTTGGCGTAATGGTAGATCTGTGTTTTTGTTGTAAGCAGGCGGCTCCGATACCCCACTACCAAGACCCTTACATTAGCACCTAAGATAGGAACCTCACTATTGACCTAGAATAATAACGACGTCGATAATACGGTATTCTTTTCGTCTACTAATTACGCGGCAGATCAATATGAGCGTAGATGGGCTGCAGACGGCGCTGGATGTGCTGAAGAGTTCCGGCGTAGCCACTGTCGTCGTTGGTGAACTGGTACTCAACTACTACAATGTACCCTGCATTTTACATGTTGCTATCCTTTACACCCCTATCCTCGCGGAATTCTAATGTGTTACAGGATATCGAGATCTGCATCCCCAGCTCTCAATTCCGCGCGGCGGAGCTGGCGCTGAGTTCCTCTCCTCTTTTCGAACGACTACCTCGCAGAACTCCCGACCTGTACACTAAATACAAACATGACTGTCCTCGGTTCTTGTACGCCAAACAGCATCAGACTCCCATCGTTCTACTCAGTGATCTAGGAATAGGCTTTAGGAAATCAGAGGTCCTTGAAAGTGCGGCCCATCGCAGAGAAGCATTTTACAGCGATCACATACTCAGTTATGTCTCAGTCGAAGAAATCAAACGTATTCCAATACCGACTCTTCCGTCATTTGTTCAATACCTGTGCCTACTCTTTTTCCGCGACGGGGATGACATGTATCAAATTCGCCTTGAACAGCTGGTTGATGGCATGAACATTGACGAAGAATGGTGCCGGAAAACCGTCTCAGACGAGGGACAACTGCAGTACCTCTTGAAGCTCGTGAACAGCAAGGTGGATCGGATTGACGATTTTTCGGGCAATCTCGTGACATGTTACATCGCTGATGAGCAAATGGCAGCAAGCGTTACTTGCATCCCTGGCTTCTTACCTACGCACCGATGACAAAGTACCTATTCAACTGATTGTACCAGCCTTGTTGGAGCAGATCTGATGCGGGAGTTGAGGGGAGGGAGAGCTGCTGAAAAGGAAAATTGGACAATTGGCAATTGCACCACAGAGTTGATAGATCTCACAGCTGCTTTCCCCGAGCTTACCTGGTATGTCAGGTAACCGCAAAGGAGAAAGATGAAAGTACGCACGTTGAACAAGGCAAACCAACGAGAAAACGAGCGCAGTAGGCTTACCTATTACGTCGCTGATGGCATCTCCAGAAGCGTCATAATTGGGCACGAAGAGGAACTTCTCGATGTCGCACAAAGAAGAATCTTTGCGAGATAGTTTGCGCTCCAGTCACGTACCTCCTCTAATGCGAGATTTCACACACTCTCCGGCAAACAATAGCTGCTCCGTCTGTTCGATCCTTCGAGGGTGATGAGTCGTGGAGGTCGTAGCTGTTGCTGTACAAACTCCGCGTTTTGCGCTGCAGCGGGTGACGGGGTCTTAAAAGCGGCATGGTCGGGCCGGGGTGAACTAACCGCATGCGAGCATCTGCAGTTTTCCATCTTTGATTATGTAACACGGTGATGCCAGTCAGTGTACAAGTCCATCTTGCAGCACGATGTCAACTGTTCCTCCCGTGTTCACATTCCCCTTGCATAAGCACCTGGGTGGAATACCTGGTATGCACGCGTGTGCTCCGGAAATACAAGTGTCAAATCCAACCATGTGTCGACTATCTTGCAGAAGCTGTGTCAGGTAGTAACGCAGACGCCGACCATTCCACCAATGCGACTCGACGCGCCATGTCTCGAAACAAAGAAAACAACCCGCTCTTCACGGCCTCCACTGCCCGGCGCCATGGCCGGCTCCCGTCGCTGGGCAAACAGCCGCCAAGTGATGACTTCTTCACCGACAGCCTCATTGCTGACGATTCACTGATTCCGTCTCCGAGCCCGCAGAAGGTCAGCAGCGGAGCCAAACCTCGACGCGCCCTCGGTGCCGGAAAGGCGCTGCAACACACAAAAGACCGGGGAAACAAGTCAAAGCGGTCTTCATTGGCAGAGTACACGGCGGCGCGATCAGCCCGACGCCTACAACCGTCGCCGACGTTGACCAGGAAGAAAAGTCCAGAGCCAAACTCCCGCCAGCCGGACGACCCATCTACTCCTCCACAATCCAGCCATGGTCTGGGTGTAGCAAGCCCTACGGCGGAGGAGTATTCAAGCCCACCGGCGGGAATGACGGACGTGTACCAGCGAATCGCGGACGAGGAGGATCTGGCCGCCACTGAGAGGGAACTGGACACGGATGAGGACGAGCTTGAAAACGGCCCTCAAGACACGTTGGAGTCGGATGTGGATGTTGGCACCCATTCTACGCACGGTGCTGGGGAGGCCCAACATGCAAATCAACAGCGCCAGTCGCGAGAGACTACACCGGTGCCGGCCGAAAGCGAGGTCGGGACTCAGAACGGGCTGGATAATGGGCTCGAAAGCAACTCCGCGCCACCGACCTTGGACTTTGCCCAGAATCAAATGGCGGATAGAGTAATTGCCGCGAAACTGACGCCTCACGCCTTCGACCGGGCCAAAGATCGCGCCCGGCTGGACAAGCTACGGCAAAGCCGGATACCGCTCGACTTCACGCACAGTCCCAAAGGCCAGAACAGCACTCCAATGACCAACGGCCGTCGCCATGATATCGCCAGTGTGGCCAACCGGGGCCCTATAACTTTCAACAACCCTATATCCGACAAAGCGAATGCTTTTCCGAAAGCCTACTCTGACACAAGCGCGGAGTCGACTCCACAGAAGCGAATCAAAGCTTTCAGTCGAGCAACAAAGGCCGGTGCTCACAAGCGCGTTCCATCTCAGGATGATGGAAGTGATACGCCTCCAGAACTTAGGGAGAGGGAGCGAGTGGTGGCATTTAGCAAGGCTAATCGACGGAAACCGGCCCCGGAAACTGAGCCAGAATTGCCAGCGGCCCCAGCACCTCGGCTGGTCGCTTTTTCTCGCGCGAATGGACACTCTCGCCCTTACGGAGCTCCTTACGAGCCCAACGAGAATGAAAAACACGGGAACGGCGACATTACTGGGAGCGCGTCTTCTGTAGTGTCAGAGCCTGTTCCTGAATCCACGCGAAACCTAGACGGGAGCATCAAGCCTGTGACACTCTCATTCCTCGGGAAATGGCGGCATAAAACGGCAGAACGACGGGCGGCGAAAAAGTCTGAAACCGTCCATGACAATGAATCACAGGTTGACTGGGCAGCTGCAGCAGCAGATGTCCCGCTACCCTCTGTTGAACAGTCTATTGAACAAAGTTCAACTCCTCAGGACACTCCGCCAAAACCGGTGTCATCACATCATCATAGCTCGGTAGATAGGGTACGCAAGTGGGAAAACGACTTTACCGGTCTTTCATTTCAAGTTTCGGAAAGCCCGCCGGTTAGGAGCCGGCCTCCTCCCAGCGACTCTTGGAAGGAAAAGGAGATCGAAGACTTGGCGAGACAGGCGGTCACCACAAACCGACTAGACGAGATTCAAGTGAAGGATCCTAGCATGAGGGTGCGCAAGAGCTCTTCTTCACTAAGTCCTGTCGATCGCAGGAAGACCGAAGCGCAGATACCGGACACTCCAGGTAATGGTGAAGTTGAACCTATCAACAAACCAGGGCAAACAGAAGGGCCAATGCCGGATACGCCTGTACTGGTCAATCGGCAACCCAGTGGTAACACTGAAAGGTCCAAATCTTCCCACAGGTCGGCCAGTCAGTCACATAGCTCACTTGATCACCTGCAAAGGCTTGCACGCGCAGCAAGTACCACCCCGAGGTCGAGTTCTGTTCTGGAAGAGCTGATTCAACAGAACCAAGTTCAAAGTGCTGCTGAGGCAGAGGAGGGCGACACGATACCGGACGCTGGGATGGATACAAGGGAACAGTCGCCGCAACGAGAGCCGGTCGAAAACCAGCGTGCCAGCAGCAAGCCGGTGGCAGAAACACCAAAAGTCGTAGGTGCCTGGACTGACACCATCCTCCCCGAGACAGTGAAGACTCAGAAACGGACGGCGTCAAGGGTGTCCAAATACATGGAGACGCCTCATGTCAACGCAGGAGCTTGGATCGACACCCCGTTGACCAACGGGGATCGTATGCAGTCTCAATCGTTTCCCAACACCATCGAGGAAGTCACTGAAGATCTTACAAAGGATATTATCTCGGCGGCGGCCGAGGTAGGATCAGTGGACGAGGATAGCGAGTTGCCAAATAAGCGATCCGAGCAAGAGCATAACGAGCAGGACAAAAGCGAAGGCAAAACGCCAGACCCTCAGACTCAAGCATCTGCCAATGCGGCCGTGTTCATACCACCCAGCGCCCTCACCAACGTGTTGAACGAAGCGAAGCGGAAACGACTAGTTTCACGCGACATTACCGATCGCGACGACACACTCAACCTGGGCGACGCGACAATCGCGTCATTTGAAGATCTTTTGACTGACGCAGCCGACATTACAGCCGATTTGACGAGTCTGATCAAGACAGGCGCCGAAGACGAAATGCTACAGCAGAGAAAGATGGAGCAGGCCGAAGACTCGACCAGTGCCGAAATGGCTTTCATTGGACACCTGACCTCAAGGATGCAACGGCTGATGACGAACCTGCACGAAGCGCGCAAGGGCATTTCCCGACTCGAGCAAAGAGTGTCGCATAGCCCAGCTCCAGACTTATCACAACAGGGTTCAGGCGAGCAGCAGCAGTGCGCTGTGTGCAAGGAAGGCGGCCACCACCGTCCTCTGATTGACTACGCGTACGATTCTGAGTCTCTCTCGAACTCATGGTTTCCAATGTCTTATTCAACCTTTACCATTCCCATTCCACTCCTGTTCTACCCTCGGAACAACAACAGCAAGAATCGCGGCAGCAGCAGCTGGGCAGCTACCCTCTTTTCTCCACTGCCCCGTCCCACCTGGCTAGGCTGGTTGACAATTGCCATCTGGACATGGTACCTCACCGAATGCACCCTCTGCGAGATTTATTGTCACCCTCTATATGCCGAACGGTACGTATGGCCGGCTCAACCGGAGCCCGAGTTCCCTTTTGTTCTGCCCACCATGTTGTGGCGATGGACATTTGGGGCAAATGATTTGAGTGCTGGTGTAGGTGTTGCCAGTGCTGTTGCGCTGCCACTGCAGTTGGTTTGGTATCTGGTCACGTCGATCTGGCGGTTGGTGGTGGCTGTGTACAGAGTCGTGGGTATGGCGTTGGGTTTGATTGATGGGTTTGTGGATGATGAGGAAAGAAGAACTGCTGCTGCTGCTGCTACGGCTGTCTCTGGCTCAAAGGGCGACTGATTCGTTGTTATGGAATGCTGCTGCCCGAACAATGGGGGCTGGTCAAGCACAAGCGAGTCATGATTTGAGCATGATGAATGATGATTTTATATGATGACGGATCGAACAGGAACGGACAGGAACGGACGGGCGAACAGTGGACAGAAAAGAACAGACAGAACAGAAGATAAATACGGTAATCGATTGTACTGTATTGTTCTCTACTGCCTTTCCAACGGTTGGAGCTGGAGATGGCGCTGGAGCTAGGTTCTGTTCGGTTTTGGTGTTGAAGTCATTGCCATTTTCGGTGTCGATGTCGGTGTCGGTCTTGGTGTTGCTGTACCTGAGTCGTTCGTGTCGGACTCGGCGTCATTGTCATTGTCGGTATCTGTCTCTGTCGGCGTCTCTCGGTTTTGGGACCATGTCTAGCGGTCCTGGGACTCGTGGTGTCAGTGTGGTCTTTGTGTCTACGGTTCCGTTCGGTTCAGCGTTTGTTCACTGAAGTTCAAGGTCTCTGAAGAATGAATATTCGCATCCTACAACTGGCACAATGTGGCCGGGATAGGTCGTCAACAATTGATGCCAGTAAATGGAATGAAACGGAATGAATACCCATATACCTAATACGCACATGTAATATCATACCTATCCATTATTGTCATTGTCGTTTGGAGTCCCCGTGCTACCGGGCGCCAATGGGTCAGTACTATACTGTAGCTGCCTGGGTCGGATCAAGTCAAATCAAATCAGATCAAATCGTCTTGTATACTACCTAGGTACTCGGATATAAAAACCTACCTCTCCAGCCGCTTGCCACTTTGCTTACCCTCGACTCAGCTGCCGTTCCCTGAGCAATCCCTGAGCCATCGCTAAGCTGCATCCTAGTTATAAATCTTACCTATTATTGTTGAGCAAGGTCTCTTCCTATACTGTAGGTTCTTGACAATCACCCCTGGTGGATATTGTTGCTTACCTAGGTACTATCTACCTATGATTTCGCAGTTGACAAACCCCGTGGCGCTTCACATCGCCTGGTTATTGTCTTGCTCATTACTTCAACCAAAACGTTTCACTCATAGTGTTCGTCAGTCAGAGATCGCTCTAGAAGAGCAGTCTCGTCGTCATCATGCTCCGTTTCGTGGAATGGCTTCAGCCACAGTCGCCCCTCAAAGAATTGGTCGTAGTATCCTGCATACTCCCAGTCGATTATAGAGACCACATTGCCGGTCGATGGGTCGCAGAGAATATTATGTTGGCCCAAGTCACCGTGACAGAAAACAAAGGATTGAGTTTGCGTTCTGATGACAGGTGTCCATTTCTTCCCGGGGTACCTCTCGATCACGCGGCGAGGTGGTATCACGTCTCCAGTCAGAGCTCCGCTACGGCGAGACTTGAGCTTTGCCAGCTGTGGCAAGACGAGGTCGTTGATGTATCGATCGGCATTTTGAACTGCTGCTGCGCGTATGTTCTCTGGAAGCTCATCTAGAGGCGTGCCGGCGACGTACTCCATGGTCACCGACCAACCAGTGGGTCCCTTCTCCAGAAGTAAAGGCTGAGGGACCGGGATTGTGGTGTTTTTCTTGACGAGCCGTAGTGCATAGTACTCGTTCTTGATTCTTTCGGTTGACTTCCAGGGAGTGGTCCGTTCGCCACGGGCATTGGTATTGTGATGGATCTCCGTCTTTGTAAATGTTTGAGCATCATGGTCAATGCAATATTGTCGTTCGTACGTTGACCATTCTCTTTTTGTCATACTGTATATGTGGTTACAAGTCCAGTGATAAGGCCCCAAGAAACAATCTGGTATGCGATGAGAGATTGCCACACCCAAAATACTTGATGCCCGAGTAATGGAGGTACTGTACCTACCTAACTGCCAGATCTCCGACCTAGATCGGCCAAGTAAGTATCTACTAGTAGGTAGGTAGTGGTAGTAGACAGGCAAAGATGCATAGAATACCATCTTGGTACCCGATAGTGAGTGGATGGATGTTTCTTCATTACTGTGTTGATTGATTGTGCAGGCCATGCATGTACCACAATCATGACGGCATTCAATGGCCCGTACGGTATGTTACATTGCATTGCATAGTATAGAATACCTGAGGTACGTAGCATAGCACTGATTGATTGATTGATTGATTGATTGATTGATTGTACAAGTACAGGTCAAGGTACGTCTCAAGTCCCAGAACCAGAAAAGGCAAAAGCAAAATGAAAGAGAGCCCCCATTCCATTTCCATTCCCCAGTCCACAACCACAACGATGTGCCAGTGTGTCTGCGTAAGGTATGTTTGTGATCCCATTCGTTCCTTTTGACTAAAAAAAGCAAAACCTTTTTTGGCTAAGAGTTCAAGTTTTACATTCTGTCCTGCCTTTGGGCCCGGCCGTGACTTTCCGAAGATAAGACCTTTGCCCATTCCGACCCACCACCCCATGTGGTTACAAAAGTAACAGTAGCAGTAGCAGCAAAAAACAAACGACCTAACCATTTAGTGTCGTTGAGTGGATGTGGAACCTTGCAACCAATGGCCCAACCTCTAATGGCCTGAGCCATAGCTGGTGTTCCATCCCCGGCCGCCGCCATAACCGCCATAGGTACCAAAGCCCGTGTTGGAGCCATAGCCGCCGTATCCCGTGTTCTGATGAGTGTTTTGATGTCCGCCCACGGCGCCCAAGCCACCATACTGAGGATATCCGGCAAAAGCAGCCTGCTGGCCAGAATGTTGCGAAGGCGAAGGCAAGACTCCAGCTTGATGACCGGGGAAACTGTTGATGGCAGAACCGGGACGACCACCTTGCATAGATGGGCTGGGTCCAGCCGCCTTGGTAGGATCTTCACCGCTCGAATGAGCCGTACCGTGCTGTTGTTGAGCCGCTGTCTGCCCGAAGCCAGAAGAAGTACGACCAAACGGATCCGGAACTCCGCCAAAGCCAGTGCTGCCCGCGGCACTCTGCTGAGCCTCCGATGGTTGAGCCGAGCCGCTACGTCCGTAGCCTGCTGCCTCGCGACCACCAAAAGTGTTTGCTGCATTGGCAGGAGATGAAGACTGCTCATAAGAGTACCCTTGCTGAGGCTGGGCATACATGTTGGACTTGTACCCGCCACCATAGTGGTTCTGTCCGTAGTTGTACTGGCTGCCGTAGTAGTCACTATCTTGACGGCGGACATCGTCAAACATGGGTCGATTAGAGCCGTAACGGTGGTTCATTTGGTTGATGTACGATGCGCTGTATTGAGGATATTGTTGATTGTAAGCGTTGGGGTAGCCATAACCAGGATATCCGTGTCCTTGGGTTTGTTGCATTGGTCCAGAAGGTTGAGCAGCATGATGGCTGGCTACAGCAGGGGCAGGAGTGTTGCCACCGCTACCCGGGGCCTCTTGTTGACCAGGAATTGCTTGCTGAGGTCGAGAAGTGGCATATTGGCCTGGTGCTTCCGGAGCAGTGGTACCGAAGGCGCTTCCAACACGTTGGGCGTCATGTTGTCCCTGTCCATAGGCACCGTAGTAGTTGTACGCATCACGTCCATAATAGGAGGCAAAGTCGTTCTGTGACGTAGCTGCTCCAGGCTGGGTCGGGACTTGGTTGGAAAAGGGTTCTTGAGATTGTGCTTGAGGCTGTGCCGCAGGTGGTTGCTGGCCGAAAGGATCATAAGGCTTTTGACCTTGGCCATATCTGAATTGATCCGTGTACGCCGAAGACGATTGTGGCGACGGCTGTTGAGGCTGTTGAGGAACAGGAGGGAGACCTGGAGCGCCGGGCTGTCGTCCAATGGCGGCTGCTTGGACATCCGCGGCGGGCTGGGTCGGGATGTGACTCATAGGAGCAGATGGGCCTTGCTGAGGTTCCGGCAGAGATGGTGGCAACGATGCGCGAGGAGCAGCTGGCGAGTCGTCTGGAAGCTGAGTTCGTGTCTCTGGCTCCTCTCGGTCCTCGTCTACGTCGAGATCGTCCAGACTACCCAGACCCAACTTGCCAAACTGAACCGCCGCCTTCTCCACCGCATGATGGCCCGGCATAACGACCGCCTCCTGTTGTTCCATGACCTTTCTTGTGTAACTGGCCGAGCGATTGCTTCCACTGGTCGCCTTGAGAGCTGTGGCGGCGTAGCCAGACATGCCTGGCCGGATGGCAGGCTTCGCAGGCTCGGTTGCGGTGAGTGGGTCCTGAGTACTGGCAACGGTGCTGGCTGCCGTGGCGGATGGATGGGGTTGCGACGTATCTGGCAATTTCTCCAGGTTCTGCTCGGTCAGTTCATCTTTGGGTGGTGTCAAATCTTTTCCTGTCTCCGAGTGGGGTGCAGAAGGCAGTTCGCTTGGGCCTCCCTCGCTCGGCGCAGGTTCGATGGGTGGAGGTAGGACAGGTTCGACTGGGGCTGACTGTTGGGCGACGGGGGTATCAGGTTCGACTGGGACAGGTTCGGGTTGCGCAGCTGGAGGCGGAGGTGCGGGAGCTTTCTTAGGAGGTGCCGGAGCTGGTTTTGCGAATAACCCAGCCCATCCACCTGGCTTCGCCGTGTTCGGAGCGGCCGCAGATGCAGGCTTAGGTTCCTCGGTCTGCAGAGATGCCAAAGAATCTTTACCAGGTTCGTTTGCCCAATCGTCATTCGTAGTCGTGGTTTCACCATTGGCCGGTGCAGTATCCCAGCAAGCACCAGCACCATCAGCAGCTGGGGCGGTAGCGGTAGCGGCAGTGTCCCAGTCGTCCGTCTTCTTGGTACCATTTGTGTGTGCTGCAACAGATTTGGCACCACGGCCGCCTCTAGCGCCGCGTTCTGCGCCTCGACCTCTGCCTCGACCTTCGAAAGCACCACGTCCGCGACCTCGAGACCCAGATTCGGTAGATGCTACAGGTGTCTCTTTCGGCTTGGGATGCTTTTTCTTGACTTCGCCCCATTGTGAGATCGTGCCTGCGGAAAAAACAAGTTAGCAAACAACATCTCAAGTTATAGTTGAGAAGCTTTCGTACCACTGGAGATCCGGTCAACAGCGGCATCAACATCGCCGTCAGTCTCTTGCAGCGCGTAAACAAGATCCTCGTCACTCCATCCCGGCAAGATCTCTTTCAACAAGGGGACCTTGTCGCCGAATTTCCGCTTCAGTTCGCCGACTTCGCCTTGATCTTCGAGCGAGGAGGAGGGAGGAATGTTCTCTTGCTCGTTGTCCGCTTTGTGTTGTGATCTGGACGGGTTGCGACCGCCTCGAAAACCGCCTCTACCGCCTCTGAAGCCTCCCCGGCCTCGTGTGCCGCTTCCGCGGGCTTGGACTTCCGCCATTTGTGGACGGGTGTAGGATGGTATGAGGGTTACTCAAGGTTGGAGGATGGTGGTGAGGTAATGCAGGACGAAGGGAGGAACACTGCAGGGTGAGATTAGAGCTCCAGCTAGCACCGAGGAGCCGACTCCTTGTATTGTCTGTCGTTGCAGGACAGATCAGGAGAGTGTAAGCAGGAAAAGTAGAGAAGAATCGAGGTCAAGTCGACATGGAGAGGTTTGTGGACATACAAGAGGCAGCCTTTCAAGGTCTGTTCAGTTCAGGTTCAGTTTGCACGACGCAGCCAAAGTTGCCAAACTCGGGGAGTAGCAGGCGCCAAGGCTTGCGGTCACTGGCGCTGCAGTTCAGTTCAGTCAGGCCAGGCACAGGAACAGCACTGCAGTACTACTAGGGATTACTAGTACATACCAGCCTGCGCTGCGATTATTATAGAGGCCTGTTACTGACCTCACCTCCACCAATTCACTACTACTACTCACCTAGGTGCTACTACTACTACTCCTCCTCACTATTACCTGCACTGGCCGTAAATCTCGGTGCACGGCCCTGATCACCCGCCATCACCAACACCAACACCTCATCCTGATACCGTGCTCGGCCATAGCAGTCACTCCTCGTTGTCTTAGTGATGGACGCATAAACGCTTCTTTTGACCGCAGCTCACGACCTCGGCGACTTGACTGTTGCTTTGACCCGGTGCAACATGAAACTCACCCCCTGCCTCTACGTGCGCAACCTGCTGGCCGCGCTGCATCCACCGCTCCCTCCACGATCCGCTCGAGAGTCGAAACAACTGCTCAATGTGCTAGAGTCGGCATTTCAAAAACACTTGGACGAATCGCATCCGTCGCCAAAAGCTGTACGTGCCGCCGATGCCGCGCCCGAAGTCGAATCAATCCCGGATCCTGCTCAGCGAATCACACATTCTACGCACTCTCATCTAGACACAATCCTCAGCCATCCTCTTCTCCGTCAAAAGTCGACAACCTTTGTCCCATCCCATGGCCTCGCCGCGGCGGCAGTGTCGGCCTTTGATGAGGCATTAGTTCGAAAAGGACTCGATTTCCATCTGGTCCAATCTTGCTCCATCCAGTACTTGCAAGGGAGAGAAAAGAAAGAGCCGGTTCAAAATGATGGAAAGTTGGGTCCACGGTTGGCCAGCTGGTTTACGTCGTTGAGCAATGGTGACAAAAAGGAATTCCTGGTCAATGGAAACTCCCTGGCTTCGGTTGTACCGGTGATGTATCTGGATGGAATGGAAGCCGAAGTGTGGGAATGGCTTCGGACTTTATATGAACGACCATTCGATAAATGGATCTTCCTACTCTCGGATACCACCGCCCCAGGTGCCCTGAAGTACCTCCGCGCAGAAGACACACTGGTTGCACTCATGATGAGAGAGTCAATGCGCAAGGGCCTTTTCCATGATGCCGCTCAACAGTACGTCCAGGCGTGTGAATACCGGTTGAAGACTGGTAGAACGACCCCGACTGAGGGCTCCTCACTGTCTGACCCCTTTAAGCGGTCGTGGCAACAAATCGCCCGTGGTATCTTGCTCCGTCGCAAGTCCCATCAGATCCCCGTGGATCTTTTTGATTCGGTGTTGAAGTTCGGGCTGAGCATCAACTCGTCGCCGTTTGATCAAGCCATTTTGCGAATATATCATCCGACATCGCCGTCGGCCGAATCTTTGTCGGTCAAAGTGACAGAGCCAGCTTTCCAGCAGAGATTCTTGCACTGGCAGAAGAAGCTCAACAAGTCGGTGCAAAAAGCTTTGCTTGTCTCTATGCTAGATGCGGCGCAGCTGTCGCTGGAACAAAACCGGCCTTCGCGAGCACGAAAGTTTTTGGACTTTGTGGAAACCAGTTATCCTGAGATGGTCTCTACCAAGACCGAAGCAAGTACCGTCGAAAGATTGAGACTTGCCCGAAAGGAGACTTTGAATCGGAGAGAGACTCGACATATTCCAATCCCAGTCCTGGTGTGAAGAAACAATCGACAGGCTTAGTCACTGCAAATATCCTGGCAACATTCTGATGGACCGGTCTGTGCAGGCGAGTGTTTATCACGCTTAAGAGTTTTCAACCTCATTGCATGTTGCTCATGAGAATGACTATCTATGTCACACCGAGGCCGTGGAGTTGCGTCGAAGCATAAGTTTCCCAAGGACCTTTTCTGAAGCATGTATGCAACTGCCCGTTTTCTCGCAGCCACTGAGTGTACATCAAGGTCTTGCGTAGATGCTCCTCACCAGAGCTGTTTAGCCTGGAGGAGAGAGCGCTACTAGGCTTCTTGAAGTTCCGGTTCGCTACCATGTTAAGGCGAAACCTGAGACAGAGTGGCACACATGAAGACTGTGGTCCAGAAATCACAAGGAGAAGGCCAGACAAACATGCCGTTGCGCGGACCATGCTCCATCTGTTTACCCGAAGACCAAGGGTCGCCAGAGCTACTTCGCCCTCCTAGATGGGAGGTCCTTGATGTTTGCCTGCATACCAGAACTCGTCAGACAGCTCCACAACGCGGAAGCAGGCTCTCACGGCTATTTCCCCACTGTCAATGGGCCAACCAGCAGCAGGGTGGCTTCGAGCAATCATTTGGTTGTACATGTACAACGATCGGAGAAAATTGCCGGGCATTTACTGTATAACAATGTAACAGCGCCCCGACGGTGCAGCAAGACCTGAGCTGGGCAAGCCCCGATCATAAGTTGATACACAGGAAAACCAAACTGCTCTGATCGTATCCCCAAAAGGGTTCCTAAGTGGAACTGAGGAGAGACATGAGCAGTCCTCAAGTCCTCCATGGCGCATGTGGGCGCATTAGCTTAAGAGGATACTCCTTTTTATCCTCATGATTCAAGTTTGAACTGGATCTTGAGTCAGGATCTGGGATGGCTACCTATAGTACCTAGGTACATATACATATACATATATCATTTACACTCAATACCTCCGAGCGCGCAGCCAGTACCTCTGCAAGTGACAAAGCAGGTAGGCTGGCCATCCAAATCAATCAGATCTAGTAGCAAGTATTTCTGCCGCGACATCATCTCCCAGTAGCATGAGTTCCATCCTCGGGCTCCGTATGGTCTTTTTTACAGATATGACACGGAAAATGGTAAAATGTTCATACTATAGGTAGGATATTTGATGCCCAACTTGTTTGTGATCATGAAATCCATTGTGAAACCGCCACTACTACTTGTCGGGTACCAGCTATATCGATTCCGATCTTCAAGTCCACTCCTTCCCGGCCCCCTCCAAATCCTTATCCGTCCCCTCCAAAGCATCAACTCTCTTCTTCATATTCCCAACAATGCCCTCCAACTTCCCATCATCCAACGCCACACCACAAGCAGGATTCCCTCTTGCCCTCTCGATCGCAGGTCTCCCCTCAATCCTCTGCTTCCACCTCTCTAGTCCCGGAAATTCCGCCACGACATCAATGTCCAGAAACACTTTCGCCGCCCTGACCCACGGCCAAGTCGCCATATCTGCAATCGTGTATTTGTTTCCGGCGAGCCAGTCGGCATGTGAGAGTCTCGACTCGAGGACTGCATAACAGCGCCGCGTCTCGTCAATGTAGTGTTGTGTGCTGAAGCGGGAATACACGGGGGCCATGGCGCGGAAGAAATTTGCTTGGGCTAGAAAGGGAAAAGGGACATGTTAGCATACACGACAAACCATGATTGGGCGGATGTTTGCACAGGAACAAAAATGGCACTTCTTTTCGCTCGCGCTGCTCGCTGCACGGCGTTGGGCATCGCTTTGCTTGCTTGGCTTGCTTTGCGTGCGCTGTGCTCGGCGTGCGCATCGCTGGGCATGGCTTGCTCGCATCCCTCGACACGCTCGCTAAGCTCACTTCGTTCGCTTACCTTGAATAGGCGCCACTCCACCAACATGAAACATCAACCAACTCAACATCTCATAATACTCCTTCGTGCCAGTCTCATACGTAAACTTTTTGTCCGGATCGTACATGTCGACTAGGTAGATCATGATAGCTGCGGATTCAAATATGCGGATTCCATTGGAACCGATACTGCCGGTGACATCGGTGTTGTTGTTACCCTCTGCGGAGGCTTCCGGTCTGTAGTCGCCATCCGTCAAAGCCGGAATCTTGCCATTCGGATTCAATTCCAAAAACCACGGCTGTTTCTGCTCGAGTTTTGGTGGGCGGATATCAATTGCACGGGTGTCGTATTTTAGGCCGAGTTCTTCGAGAAGAATGGCGGGTTTGATGCCGTTGGATGTTGGGGCCGTGTAGAGGGTGAGGTTGTGGTAGGGTGGAGATGATGAGGATGTCATGGTTGGTTTTGGTTTGGTAGAGAAGCTGACACTGAAATTGGTAGAGTGGCTGTGTCTGTTGATAAGAGGACTGGTGGGGTGGTGTTTCGGACTATGATTATGGTGGTAGTATCCTAGAGTGAGGACGGATCCACGTGTTGTGTGTTGATTTGGTGAGATAGTATTGCACGCAGGTGTGAGGATGGCCCAGGACCACAATGTCGCATGAGATGCCAGTGGGGCCTCGCAGCGCAGAGTGTTAGGAGTGATTGTGGTGAGCCTTGCTCTATTTGATATTGGGCTGGTGTTGGTGTAGAAAAGACACACAAAGGCAGAAGACAGATTCAATACCCAATGATCAACCCACGCCTTTCTGATCAGGGATGAAAGGTAGGTGTGGTTCGAGACCGAGAAGAAAGGCATGGAGAGAGCAAAGGGTATCAGTTATACTTATACCTATCTTTCATCTCGGAAATCACCTACCTACACTTGAAGTGCTCTCCGTCTCCCGTTCCAGCTCCTCGGATTGAACATGACACGGGAGCCGATTGATACACGTCCGGGTCAGTCTGGCGGACCATCAGTCCACACTTGTCAATGGCGAGGCTTTATGATTTGCGGTCTGGCTCCTGGTACGAGCGAGCAGGCGGTTTTCTGAGGACAGCGGTGCGGTGTCTCTGATCCGAGTCATCGTGGTGATGGTTGACCGATCGACCCCCATTCGGTCCGGGTTTGCATCGGGCTCCCTTTGCGCCCGTCAGCTTGCCTGGGGTCTGGGGCAGCCTTGTGGGGAGATCTTTTGCTGCGCGCTCTCGCTGCATCCACACGCCATCTCGCAGACAAGACATAGAGACGGTGCGCGTAGCAAACGAAATTGGTAGTCTTGACGATAGAAACTTTGGCAGTTGACTTGGATATAAAAACCCGTATACAGTTGTAGAGTGCTCGCTGTCGGTGAGTTTAAGCAACCGGCTGACATAATCCGGATCACGGTTTGCAAAGATCCGGAGACCCCTGGATTTATGGCCAATCAGCGACAAACAGTGGGGGCGGCTCTTGATCGTTCCGAGTCCTTCAAGTTGGACCCGGTCATGCAACACCGCAACTTGAACAGACCAGGCTGACCCGAACCAATTCGGTTCAAGTGCTGTCCAGGCATTTACAATTTGAAAATGGAAGCAAATCAATGCCGCTCAATCGGCAAGCTCAAATTAAAACTACCTAATAATACAGAGTCGTACGTCTATACGCGCGTTGCATCTTCGAGTCATCACGTCTGGTTGCGTTGCTATGGCCCGTTTGTCCTTACATACTGTATCAAGCCTTGTTTGTCGTCCTCTCAACCACTGCCAGGCGCATTGGGATTCCCACTCTGGTTCGAGTTCGTCGACACTCGACTCACTGGCGCAGAAGTGCCGTCTGGATTCTCGCCCAAGGCCAACAACCCTTCTTCGTGGAAAGGCTTCTTGGCTTCGGCCGCCTTCTTTTCATCATATCTCCAGATCCCCGCGGTCTTGTCGGCAGCAACCCCGTCCCAGCTGTAGCCGCCCAGGTTGGTCGCCACCTTGACCAGATCCTGAAACACCTTCTCATCTTGGTCGTTGGGGTCGGCTTGAGAGAAAAACACCCTCTTCCACTCGCGGTTTTCGTCCTGTTCCTTCTTGCGCAATGCTCGTTGCGCATTTTCAATCCGAGACTTGTAGTGTGCTGTAGCGTCCATGTCGCCCTTTTCGATACTGCGGGCAACTTTCTGCCACGCCCTCCTGCTTTCAAAGACGTCTTGTTCTTCAATAGGTGCCACCTGCAGTTTCGACAGCTTGACTTCACTCGGTCGAACCGTCTCAATCACCTTTGCTCTCTTGCCATCGCCTTCCTTCAGCGTGAAGTCGCCCGACCATTGACCCTCCGCAGTGTACAACGGGTTCTTCTCCGATCCCTCGCCCTGTTTCCACAACGCCGCGGTGAAGCTGTTTTTCTTGCCCGATACCCATCCTCGGCCGGAGAAATCAATCTTGGCGATATACCCGCTGCTCGAGATGATGTGGATGTACTTGCTAAGTTCGACAAACGGCGCGCCGTAGATCAGGCTCTCAATGTGCAGCGGAGGTAGCGTGATGAGGTATGTCTCTTTCTGGTCGCTTCCGGGGGGATACAGCGTCAACAAGGCGTGTCCGATCTGCTTGACGTTGATGGTACTCTTGAAACTGGCCTTCTGGCCGTTGTATCCTTGCAGTCGAATGCGATATTTGTCGTTGGTGATACAGTAGGCTGTCACGGGAGGATGGTGGCTAACTTGCTCTGAGACGAGGCGCGTAACCCCGTGCTCATCGTCCCATTGACCTAGGAACAGCTCGCCCAAGAACGGATTGAGTGGTTTCTTTTCCGAGCCCAGTTTCTCCGACCGAGAGTAGTATTGCTGTTTGAGCGTGTTAAGCAACCACCGCAACACTAAAAGGGCGCGCTTGGCAGGATCTCTTTCTTGCGCCGGCGCGACAAACAGCCCGGTGTTCTCGGTCCAGTATGCGGAAAATTCGACAAGGGATTGGGTCGACAGAATAAAGGCGGGCGCTGTAAGTGAGGATAAATCACCGTTGAACGAGGCGATTGACTGTGGCTGGGTTAGTGGGAGGTTGCGATTGTGCGCTGATGATCACTTACTTTGAGGAAAGACGCCCACGAGCCCTTGGCCTGGATGGGCACAGCTTCGCCTTCGGTTTCTGGCATGGTGGGATTACGCGTGCTGTATTGTTCAGGTTGGAGGCGTTGAAAGCGCGGCAGAACGATGTGCGAGGTAGTCTAGTGAAAGAGGAAAACAGACAGCAGAATAAGATAGACTGGATTCTAGGGCGGCGTGCGAAACTTGGACTTGGTGTACAACATGGATTGTATGTCTATCGAGGTAGAGAAGATGTTGGTCTTGGTGTTGTGGTTGTAATTGTAGTTGTCGAGGGACACGAATGCGGCGGCGACGGAACCAAGATCGACAGCAACCGAACTGCGCCACAAAACGTCATAGTTGCATGAATCATGATCTCCAACTTCGCTTCAGTTCAAGTCCAATTCACATGACTTGGACTTCATTGTCAAGACTTAGATAGTACCCAAGTTCCCTACTAGAACTACGGCCAAAAGGTACCTAGGTATGCTTGCACAAGCCAGCGGACTCTTGAAGATGATCAAATCTCTGAGGTTGGGAGTGCTCAACACTACTCACTTCCAATTCGACATCGAAAATGATACCTCCACCACAAGAGCATTTCCAAGCGACAGTTCTGAATACCTAGGTACACAAGTGAGAAGAGTGTCTCTTCTATGATACAGCACCTAGGAACAGTAGGAATAAGGTGTAAAGAGCAAAAGTGATACTTAGGTCGCAGCCTTGTTCGATGAGGTTCCGTCCGGGTTGTCACTCTCGTCGTCGCGGATACAGTGAGTAGCGCAAGTGACCGAGTATCTTCACTTCACTCTCACTAACACACATCGCACCCATTTGTTTACACATGCGTGATCTGCTCAACCTTTCTTCTCACCCACAACAGATCTCACGCTCTCCTCCCTGCTTCTCTTCTTTCTCCCACCTATCCATAACTTGGTGCTTCTTGGTCCTTTTCATTGTTACTACTCTTCGCAGAACTGCATCTTGAGACTCGATCAAAGTCACATTTTCCCTCGCCAGCATGGTGAACATGGCGCTTCGGGCTGAATGCCTGGTCACTCCAAACCTGGCCGTGCCACCTGCGGCTAGGACCCATTCATCCGAGTCGGGCGACGAGGAGGAAGTGTATGAATACCCTTTCCGCAACGGTCCTCCACCCGTGGTCTATCGTCAGAGCAAACATCCTCTCCCTTACTTCGCACACCAGCAACTTGATCCGGACTACTTTCCAGAAGGTATGACTCCCAAAGCCTCACTAGCATCTCATGATCTTCAAGCACACTCTGACCTCTGCAGATCTTGGCGCACCCGTTGGTGGTCCAAAAGACCCACTGGACGCAAGCAATCAAGCATGGGATGACGATGACGATGATACTGTCATTATTCACGAATCTGATGCGGATGAATATGGTGATGATGAGGATGATGCAGCTGTTGAGGTTAGTAATCCTTCATGCCCAAGGCCATGAATAGCTCACTGACAGAATTCAAAGAACCCTACGCCAAAGTCGGGTCGCAAACAAAAGTCCAAGCTCAAGACCAAGCTGGCTGCCAAACCTGCTGTCGCCTCGGATGTCAAACACATGAAGATGCCTGGTGGTCGTCCGGCTGTTGCAAAGAAGGTGTCTGCCGACTTGGATTCGGATGATGAGCTCATTGTTCGCATGAAAGAGGCTCGTTTCTTGGAACGTGACATTGCACAAGCTCTCATCGATCAAGGTCGCACTGCGTACAATCCAAAGACCATTGGAACTCGCTGGAGACGCATCAAGCATGCATTGCAGCAGAGACAGGACGAACTTCTGGACGCCGACTTGAGTGACTGGCACGAAGGCGATGTAAGGCAACCTTCCTAACCCGCAGAAGCTTGACCACTAACCCAACTAGGACGAGGTCTTGGTCGACGCCGTTGCCAAAGCCGAGAAGGAGACCGAGAGAGCCATCGCAGAGGCAGAAGCCCGAAAGTGGCGCATTGTCGCGGATCGCATGAAGCTTGCCAAGGTAGGTTTGATCTGGTAATTGTGTGATCGCTCTGCTTACACTGTTTTCCTACGCAGCCTGTCATCAACTTCTCCCACAAGGCCTGCCGCGAGAGATACGAGGCTTTGCTCAACGGCACGGCCAAACCCACTCCAGAGTCGGTCGAAAATCCAGGTCCTGAGGTTCTCGCACGTATCGAGTCACGAAAGCAAAAAGAACTCAAGATTGCCAAAGACATGAAGATGTCCGTCAATGAGCAGCAGAATGTGCAGGGCAATGGATGGTCTTCTCGCAAGCGCATCTATTTCTAGGTCATGGCAGATACTGACGGGAATTGTCGCCGCACGATGCATTGGTACTCAGGACTGCATCGAGTACCAACCAACTTGGCATCAGGCATATGAATATGACGACGACTACCTGGTACTGCTGCTTCGGCCGGTGGGTTGGACTGCTTTCAGACGATCGATGTTGGTGCCTGATTGAGGGGCACTAGAACCTGGCTGGGATGATGAAATGGAGAATGGGCCACAGGAGCATCATCAAGCAACATGCCAGTGTATGATTATCCAAAATGGTTTTTCGGCATGAGAGATACCAGTATCAGGCGTGTAGATTAATGAAATTCAGTTCTAATGAGCAGGCCAGTGCCAGTTCCCAGCTTCAAGTTTTTGCAGACGCGTCGCGACGCGTAAACTCGCAGTAGCAGCAAAAACGTCATCAGGTGACCGGCGTCAACAAAGCGCCGCGTGCCCGTAGTAGTTGATGGCCTACAACTCCTTGATTTGTTCTTCAAGTTTTACCATTTCACTCCGTCTCAACAACCCGGCTGCAGTGGCCCTTGACTCGCTCTCCCACTAATGCAACGCAATCCGATCCAATGAGTTGCAGTGCATGCCTTGCAGATACTATCTGGAAATAAACCGTCTGCTTCCTAGTAGATGATTCGACAATGCCGTCCTCGTCGTCTATTGCTGCCTTCTGCCAAGGCCTTCCAGCCGCCTGCGCAACGATGCCTGATGTGTATATCTTGCGTGTCGCTCGTGCTTCTTCTGCTTCTTTTCTTCCTTCACGCACCAGAGCAGGCAAATTTCACACGTGTTCGGTCATCTTTGCTCGCAGAGACCCGAACCCGTCGAGTTCTCTCGTGTGATCTCCATCGGCTGTTGGCTTCTTCTGTTTGGATGAGGCTGGCAGGCGTGGAAGTCATTCAGAGGACTTCGCAGCTCCCACATCACATGGTACCTGTGTGAATCAAGCGTCGCTTTTCAAACCCTATCACGCTCTCTACTACTCCATAGGTTCTTCCAGTCGCTCGTTTTGGATCTTGGTCTCTTTGCTCGTTCGTTGACCGTGTACCTTGACAACTAATCCCATGCGCTCCTTCGACGCGATGTTCAAGCGATCCTTCAACACCAGGGACGGTCGCATCGTCAAATCGAAGACCACAAAGACTACATATGCCGAACATGTGAAGAGGAAGATGCAGGACACAGTGGACGCCGATGCGTCCGTGGCGAGGTAGGCAGCCGTGAGCCAGAGCATCGGGCAAATCTATACTGACACGGCACAGCACGCTGACCAGTCCCATCGCTACACTTGTGGTGGGTCGTGAACAACGACTGTTCGCTGCGCACGAAGACGTCCTCTGTCATTCTGCCTACTTCGCCGCCGCCTTGAAAGGCAAGTTCCTGGAAAGCGGCTCGAAGCGGATGGAATTGCCCGACGAAGAACCCGAAATCCTGTCGTGCGTCCTCGAGTTTCTCTACAAGGGTGACTATTATCCTCGCTTGTTGCACAACAAGCGCCGAGACACTTGGGATCTTGAGGACGCCCAGGATCTGAAAATGGGTGGTCGCGGAAACAGCGCTTCGACAATCTATCTCTCCGGCGCTGGCGGCCATGTCCTTCGGGACACTGCCGTGTACTGCGCTGCCGACAAGTACGGCCTGGACGAATTGAAGCGATTGTCTCTCCGGAAGCAAGGACTTCAGTCCGGCATCCAGGTCGACGTGATCTTGCGATCTGCTCGGTACGCGTATCAGCACACGCCGGACACCGAATCGCGACTCCGCGCTCATTACCTAGCTGTGATCATTCGAAGTCGCAAGACTTTCAAGAGAAGTGGAACCATGCAGATGGAAATGGAGAATGGGGGCAAATTGTTTTTCGACCTGTTTGTGGCCATGTGCAACCACATGGATGACATTGTCGAGATCAGGTAAGACGCATGTCAGGATGCGAGTAACCCATTGTATCTATTGCTTACATTTGACCTTTTACAGCAACAGCCGATCTCCCAAAGTCATCTAAAACTGTCATGACTGCAACAGGACGATGGATCGGCGCTATGGTGTGAGCTAGGACAGAATGTTGACCAGACAGTTGGATAACAACGAGTCTACGGAACAGTCAGCTGCTTCGATAGCAGCACAACTCCCCTTCGTCCTCGAGGTTGGCCGACGAATTACTGGTTCATTGCAACCCTACTCCTTCTAATGGCCCTGAGCTTTGGCGCAATTGGCTTTCCACTCTTTCATTGCTTCTCTCTGGGAGGGAAGAAAACAAAGTAATCGAAATACACACAGTGTGCGACTACAATCGCAACTCTTTTGTATTGATTATGTTCTCGGCTCTTGCAGTTGACAATGACATCTGCCCATATGGCGAAGCTGGTTCGGTTTGGCCTGCCAGTGGTGGGTCAAATTGAGCGCTCTTGATGATCAGAATAGGAAATGAGAGATATGGCCACCTCGTATAGTGATGACTCGCTCTTGTTTTTGGTTTATCATCCTCTGATTCCTTATTGAAACTGAACACACAACTTCCGTGATAGGGGATAGGTGACATGTCACCTTGTTATATCGTCCTCTGCATTCTTACCCTTGCCTTACCTCGTTCTCATTACCTCTGTTCTCAAACTCGAGACCGTGAACTCTCACCGTTGGCTCGCCCCCATTTCTTTCGCCTACCTCTCATTTTCACCATAAGTGAGCCACTCTGTGACGCTGACTCGCAACATCTTCTGCGATTCTCCCATCTAGTCTACTGCAAGTCATTCACAATGGTCTACTACACAAGACAGGGAAACCCTACGGCACTCGAGAGGAAGCGTCAATTCGAAGAAGAGCTGATCTACTACGACGCCGACTCGAACAGCATGACGACTTCTTCTCCTGCCGGTGAGCATCGAGGTACTAGTACCACACCATTCAGCCCGGGGGTACGGCCTCGAGTGAATCAGAATCAGAATCAGAATCAATACAAACGACAACGAAAACAGACCACCCGCACCTCGTCCTCACCCGCGTTCCCTTCCATTTCATCCCTGTCATCTTCATCTTCACCTTCACCTTCACTCCGAGCAGTACCACGGTCCAAGCCAGCACCGGCAACGGCAAGGGCAACTACTAGTCCTACTACAGTCAAAGTCAAGATCAAGACAGAAGGAGAAGCTAATGCACGCGCCGCAATACAAGAGCGACCCCTCGCAGAGCGAGTGCAGATCTACATCGGACCGCAAAACAAAGTGTTTACCGTTGGAATACGAGACTTGGACAAATCGCCTGTCCTGAAAGCACTAGTTCACCACGGTGTGGCCTCCGGTGCAGCTGGAAGTGAGGGACCATTCATCATGCACCCGGAACTAACGAAGATTGACGCGAACCATTTCCAACCTGTCTTTCAATTTCTCTTGATGGACGAATATGTCCCGACGATCATCAGTAATCCGAAGGGTGCCAATGTTTTTCCCAAACAACTTGATGGTCTGGTCACGGTGGGGGAGTATCAGGCCGAAGCGCTGCGGGGAGGTTACATCTATGTGATTGCCAAAGCATTGGGGATGAGGGGTCTTGAAGATCTGGTTTTGAGAAAGATCACGCAGGCACAGTACCTTGGGGGTGGTGGGGGATATGGTGTCAAATGTCTGTTGGATTTGGCTATGGTTGTGTTTTCGAGGCCGGAGGAAAATGAGTTGGCTAAGAGGGCAAAACACCAACTGAGAGAAGATGACGGTGCAGATGGCGGAGATGGTTTGGCTGGTGTGAATGGTAGGCATGGGATGGGACAGAACGATGGAGGAGAAGAAGAGGTTGAAGATCGTCTGGAACTTTGGCTTATTGAAAGCCTCAAGGACAAGTTGCAGCAGACGCTGATCAATCATGCGAAGCTGTTTTTCATGGTTGCTAACCATGGCGCCTGTGCCAGACGAGGCTTTGCGGCGAGGATCTTTAGGCGCAAGGTGGAGGATTGGGAGAAGTTGGGGGGAGATGTTGTGGCTATTGAGGATGATGATTGATGGAGGAGATCCGATCGATGCGAGACTCACGATTCGCCAGCCTTACCAGGATGGAAAAGGTCACGACTCCATCACTTGCAGTGTCAGAGAAGTTGAAGTGCTCAGGAACACTCACACAATAGCGGAGCTGACAAGGCTGGATGTTGGCCACTGGTGACTCAGTGGTGAGGAGCGGCGAGGGAGCGCAACCCTCGACCTTGGGGTCCATGAAATCTGCAACCGGTACTTTTTCAGGACAACTTACTATTGATCGCATGCCAGAGCGGTTGAAGGGCTCGGGAACCCTCACACGGTGAGTGGTATCAGAGCTGACGAGGATGGATACTGGCCACCGGCGACAGCGGTGAGGGAGCGCAAGCATCATGCTCCACTGTTGTCGACCTTGCGTCCATGAGATTTGAACCCGGGACTTTTCCAGGCGAACTTACTCGACATCACGAGTCAGGTCGCCCGATGAATCGATGACGCGCAGCAGCAGATCACAACAGTTCTAGGACTGGCGGATTTGAAAGTATGTAACAATCTCGGGAGATGTTGTTGTTCTCCATCTCGTGGCCTTTCGACCTCGGTTTATCAATTCCACATCCCATTCCCCTCGTTTTCTCCTTGTCTCCCCCGCCTCCGCGATCTCTCTCCACCGGACCGTTTGTTCTCCCGCGACCATTAACTGGACCAGAGCCGAACACGATGACACGGTAGATACCCTTGGAGTGACCCTAATGTTGACAATAGCGTCGATCGTGAAGCGCGCGGATTCCGGATAGGTAAGTGGTGTGGGAAATGTAACGAGTCAGAAAGGGTCGACATGGGCCGGATGGATAGCCAGTCACCGCTACTGTGAAAGTCCGAGACCCAAACCAGACACAGCAGCCGGGTGCCACTACTACTTCACTATGTCCGAGTCTTCCTATTCATGGGGAATGAGCCCCTCTTCTTGCGGGTGAACTGTTTATGTCCCCGGGTCTCTTCTGCCTGGCCAGTTGTTGGTCTCTTCCTACGCCAGTCTGTCTCTTCCTCTTGCAAAATCGTTTTTGACCGACAGATCTATCGCAATTATGGGTGATCCGACTCCAACTTTCGATATTCCCAAGGAGTGCTGGGGCGGTGTTGTGGTATGTTATCATCAGCGATCAAAGACAAAGCAGCATCTTTTCTGACCGTGTTGGATAGAAAGATGAAGGCCCCAACTTCTACGTCGAGGTTGAAAAGGTCCCCGTACCAGACATTGGTATATAACCCCTTGCTCTTTACGGAGTAACACGTACGACCATGAGGATCCAGCTAAACCAGGCTCCGACTGCAGGCCCCAATGATGTATTGATCAAACTCAACGCTACGGGCATCTGCCTCAGCGACATCCATTTCATGCTCAACGACTGGAATCTGCCCAAGATGTCCGAGACCGGCACCAAGTGTGCAGGCCACGAAGGCGCTGGTGTGATCGTCAAGGTCGGTGAGGGCGTCAAGACGCTCAAGGTAGGCCAGCGTGCCGGCTTCAAACCCATCCAGAACGTCTGCCATACCTGCGAGTACTGCAAGACGGGCCGGGAGACATATTGCCTCAAGGCCATATTTACCGGTGGCTTTTGTGACGGTTTGTCCAGCCTTCCGACTTTTGCGGCTTTGATTGACCCCACGCAGGCTCCTACAAACAATATGTCGTCTCTCCGGAGAATTATACCACTGTGAGTGCGCTTTGCTGCCCAAGACTGGGTGATAAGCTTACTGACGACGTGTTTAGTTGATTCCTGACGTATGTCAATCCACGACCATACTGGAAGACGTATTGACTTGATCTAGGGCGTTTCTGACTACGTGGCCGGTCCGGTCATGTGCTCGGCATCTACCATCTATGCATCCATCAAGGAGTCCGGCCTTCGCCCAGGTCAGTGGGCTGTGTTCCCGGGCGGCGGTGGCGGTGTCGGTATCCAAGGTGTGCAATTGGCATATGCAATGGGAATGCGGCCGATTGTGGTAGACACCGGGGACGAGAGGAGGAAACTCTCCTTGGCTATGGGCGCCGAGCACTTCGTCGACTTCAAGGAGGGCGATCCGGTCAAGCAAGTCTTGGAATTGACTGAAGGCGGCGCCCACGGCGTCTTTGTTACCGCGGTCCAGTCTTATCCCATTGCTCTGGGATATCTGGGTGCCCGTGCAGGGGCTCAGATCATGTGGTGAGTACACACAGTATGTGCGAGTGTTTTTGGTCAGGCTGACACGACAAACAATAGTATTGGTCTTCCTCCACACGGCAAATACCATATTGACGTGGATCCCACGCCTCTGATCTTCCGCAACCAGTCTATCAAGGGGACGTTGGTTGCAAGCCTAGCGGACATTGATGAGACTCTGGATTTTGCCAAACGAGGTGGGTGCTTCGGAACTGTCACTGACAACCCACAAGGAGCCATGTGCTGACAGGACACGATCCAGGCAAACTCCGCCTAGAGCCGACAGTCGTGGGATTGAGTAAGTTCAACGAAGTGGTCCAGAAGCTCAAGAATGGCCAGGTTGCAGGGTATGTCTCTCGATCACTACACATGAGCACGGAGCGGTTGCTAACACCTAAACCAGCCGGATGGTCGTCGACTTTAACCTGCCATAAGACGTGCGGATGAGAGTCAAGTGTGGACTCTGGTCGAGAGACGGTCGCTGTGTCTGCCGCAGTGGTGGGGATACGTTTGAGGATTTCGGTAGCAAAGTGTAGCATACTACGGAGAGGTCCATGATGGAGAATCGAGAATGAATGAAGGCGAGCATGATTCCATGGTGGTAGTAACGTCCCGAGGAGAGTCTCGATCAGTCCCAGCCTCACAATATCTGGACTCAGTATCCCAACGTTGTAGTGGCATTGGCATGCCTTGACAGTCTACTGCACATCGGCCATGAGACTGTTGAAGCCCGTCGAACATGCTTTTTATTACTCCGAGGACTGATACGGCCTCCAATCAAAACAGCGTCGTGGCAGAACTCGACATGGATGCCGCTGAAAATAGAGCGACGTCGAAGTTGCGCCAATCACATTCCTCGTTACGCGCCGACCGTGTTTGAGGCTCCATCGCCAACTCTTCTTCTCTCTCTGCCACGCCCTCTTCCACCTCAGCTCTACCTCTCGACTCTCAGTCTCTGTCCCCTACCCTTGTACTTCTTTTTCGCTAGCTCTGCTTCGGCATGGTGCCCTGCTTTCTGCCTTGGGCCGTGACCAAGGGGTGCGGTGCCATGATTGGCTTCTCCTCGGCCAATGTTGGTGCAGAGCGCTTTGAAGATGTGATAGATCTTGCAGACCTCCATATTTTTCTATCTTGGGGCCCCTAGACGCCTGCCGTGCCGTCTGTTCTCGCTACATACGTCGGTTGGCCCGCTTCAAGCCCGGGGAAGAGCGAGAGACGAAGGGAAGGACAACGCCTCGCTTTTTGGAATCGACATGTCGAGACCCTGCTCGCAGTCTCCTCTACATTCATTGATTTTATCGCCTCTGTCCCTTTCTCTCCGGTGTTCCTAACTTTCTCTTCTGTTTCCATTAGCTGGTCTATGGTTGTCATATTTGTTTGCTGCGTGTTTGTGGTATTCTCATCACCACCCTTTCCTTTGCCCGTCTCACGGTCTGGGTTCGGGTTCAGCTGGGCTGCTTCCTGAGCCTACGACTGTTGCAACACATCACACGTTCTAGCGGCGCTCGAGGCATTTCTTTGCCAACATGGAGTCCAACGTTCAGGCCTTCTCTCTTTTCCCAAACACAGTGCCCAAGATAGCAATTCCCAGTCCTCACAAGAAAGCCCCAAGTCTGCATCGGATCAGCACGATTCAACAGACTCCAGAAACCTCGCCGTCGACAAATGGGGAGACTGTCTTGTTCAAAATGGAAGAAGAACGTCCACCGGTTCCTCAGCTTCCCTCCTTTACGGGTACAGACCGAAGAGCTACGCCTTCTCCGGAAGATATAGGTCGAGCTGTGACAACGACGTCTCCCCTCGACAGCAGGACTCCCACGCAACCGCTGCCCCAGCCTGCTCAAGCCGCGAGTCCTGCTCCACGATTTCTTCCTTCAGCTGACGCTGCGAGATATTCGCCCTCCATTTATCAATCCCCTGATCTGGCTCATACATCACCCGAAGCTTCATTCTCCCTTGGGTCCACCTCCGCCAGCACTCTTGTGCCAGTGGCTCCGGCAGTGACGAGAGAAAAGACGGGTAACAACAAACCTCCCATAGACCCGTCGCCAATCGTGCCTATCCGCTCCATGTTCCCAACGTACGACCCTACCTTGCCCTTGCCTCGGCCACCATATGCTCCACAGAGACCACTGCCTGCAAGCTTTTCGGGCCGGCCGAGTCTGCTTCCTATCTCCAGAGACGACTATCGGAGTAGTCTATCCATACCTATTGCAATGAGCACACAGAGAACGGCACCAGCGAGCATCCTCAGTTTTCCCTCGGATGTCATGAGCGTGAATCTGGGACCGCATATTTCCACGCAGCGGGAGCTAGAGAAGCTATGGGAAGCATCTCATGGTGCCGAACCCAGCCAGGAAACCCGGAGTTTTGAGCTAGAGATGGCCCGGTATGTCTAACTCCATTACCGTTGCACGAAAATCGCTGACAATCTACTTCCAGGACTGAAGAGGCAACCTTCGTCTTTGGCTCTCATCCCTCGTTGCCGTTTTACACCCTGCAAACCTACGACACCAACGAGATTGCCATTTCCAAAACCAATCCTCGACAACGGTCTTCCAACCACGACGTAGTGCTCTGTCCACTGGAGCCAGTCTCGCGGAGACAGTCACCCAATGACGGACTTGTCGCTTTCATCTTCCCCAAGCTCGCGGCGCTGCTGGCCATCAATCAATCCGCCACACTCGCTCGTCAACACAATCTGGCTCCCACAGACCGAGACGACATCGAGGCGCAAGCTGTTCGCCGTGCTGCCCAGCAGGAGGCCTGTCATCTCCGTTACAATGCTCAGGAAGGTTTCTATGAGCTGGAGCACCCTGCCATCGGACGTGAGTCAGTAGGGGCCCATTTCGCCGTGAAATCGCCAACGCTGCCTCCCGTACCCGCCGTCCGCTCGCTCGCTGGAAAGCCTGTTCTGCATATCACCGTTTCCACAGACGGTCCGTTGCCCAGCATCAACGTGATTGACCCCAACTCCGCCCATCGTACAGGCCTGGCCACTCCAAGGACTTCAATAGGCGCCGGTCTTCGTCGTCTTTCCACGATTCCGCAGCCGGAGACAGCATCAGCATCCCCGTCCGACATCCCACCCCTGGCTACACTGGACTTGACGTCCCAAGTCCTCCGTCTCGACGCCAATGCCATTCTTGAACTCATGCCCTCACTCTTTAGCATCGACTGCATCGTCTCGGCCCTGCTGGCCGTTGCTATCTCCGACACCACCACAAACCCTGCAATCGGATCGATGGAAATCTGGAAACCACGGCCTGCGCCAGCGTCACGGCTTGGAACAACGAGCGGACAGTCTCTGCGCACCAAAACGCGTGCAGGCAGCCTGAAAAGTTACACAGGTAGCGTGTTCTACGCGACCATTGCGGAACGTGAGGAAGCAGAGGAAGAAGCGAGACTGATGCGCACAGCTCATGAGAAGGATATCTCCAGTAGACGGGGCAGATCGTCCAAAGACAAAGGGTCAAGGACGTGGTTTGGGTTCCGCGGTCTTACAAGCGCCGATGATGAGATTGATGAAGAGAAGACAGCAACAGGCAAGAGATTGAAGTCGAAATCGAAATCAAAGACAAAGAAGGTTGTCGTCACCGAGTTCGACCTGGAGAAACTGGGCCACTATCAGTCCGGAGACCGGCAGGGCGAGCAATTACCTGTGGTTACGCGCTCGGCTCTGAGTGTCCTTGTCGGCGGTCTCAAATTGTTGATCTGGATCCTGACGATGATCGCGCAGGTTCTTGCGTGGGTCTTGGTCAATGTTACACGCGCCGTCACGAGTGAGAAGTTCTAATCCCCTGATATTCCTACTGGCGGGGAGGAGAAGGAGACTACATTTCCGCTGAGGTCAAGTCGAGACTGTCCCTGATATGATACCATGGGATATTGATCTATGCACGAGGCGACCATTGCATTTTCTGGAGGGGGAAGGGAAAGCATCTAGGAGCGGAGCGGAGCAGAGCAGATACAACGATCCTGGATTTACCAATCTACAGTGATTTGTATACAGGTAGACTGGGTTGAATACTAGTAGCCAGCCAGAAGAGGCAGACGATGGGGATGAGTACCGTATAATGAATGCACAGGATTTGGTTTGCACTACCAGCCTCATAATGTCTTTGCCATACCTACTTTTCCCTACTCCAGAAAGAAGACAATCTGTCTTGCAATGCACTGTATCCAACACCCACAGACCAGCAAAAGTATCGACATCCGCGTGATGTGCTAGTATCGGCGGTCTGCGTATGCGATCGACAAGTGAATAAATTTTATGTGAATGCACACCTTAGACACAAGTCCCCTGAACACAACAGACTGGATATCACTCACTCACTGCCTCTCCCCTTTATCTTCACTTCACTCTCGCGTGACAATAGGCTTGGTTTTCATGGCGCTCTGCACTGCAATGCACTGCTTTCTATTGTCAGCCGCTTTTGGAAATGGCTTGCTATTGTTCTTGTCCGGACTAAAGTCGCAGTCACGGTCACAGCCAGCGCGGCTTCAACCAGAAACGAACTGAATGGGCTTTAAGTTGCTCGTCTTCCAGTTCAAGTTCGAGTGGTTGACGTGTCTACCTAGTACAGTAGTACTTACTGCCTGGCAAGTCAAGGTCAAGTCAACTCTTTGCTCCCAGTCAAGCCATCCGTTTCTAACCTCAAGAGGACTTGTCTCTGAGTATCTAACCTCTTGACCTACCTGGCGGCGTAGAGACAGAAGGGAAAGCAAAGGAGAGAAAGGATATCGAAGCGTGCTCACTCGTTTAACATCTAACGATTCACCAAACAACACCACATGATGGCCAGTTCAGCAGCCGATCACGCCCAAGAACACCACATGAACATGGACATGGACATGGACATGGACAATTCGGCAGCGGATCAAATTCAAGCCCAGGAGGCACCCATCGAGAGCTTTCATGAAGAAGAAGCAGCTGAGTTTGACTCGGACGGAGATGAAATCCACTACTCCGATTCCGACTCTGACGACCCTGAAGCGCACATTCCTCTCAACGAAGAGGAGACGATTGCTGAACACGAGTCGATTCTGAACAAGATCACACTCGACGCTGAAACAGTCATCGCCTCCCAGCCACGAGCGACTCAAATCGAATTGACTGTTCGCACCCGAGCCCTCTTCAAAGACTACAAGCATCACGGATCGATGGCGCGGCTCAAAGTCGGCTTAGACAAGTATTTCCGCGAGGGCAGAGTGGACAAAGAGTTACGTTTTCAATGGCCAGAGAAGGACAACAACAACAATCCCTACACCGAACCAGGTTCAGCCACAGGCACCAGCACCACCACCACGAACTACCTCACCGGCCCCTTCAACGGCAAAACCAGACCATTACACTTCGGCCAGTCCTTCCAAATCAATCACACCAGCTCCGACGACGACAACGGGTACTCGTCATACAGCCAGATTCCCTGTCCCGCCGACAAAATCGACAACCCCCTATTCCCCGATCTACAACCGCACACCCATCCTTTGAGGGTGATCGACCCCGAAATGATTCCCTACGTGACCACACTGCCCTGGAACCCCGTAACCACCACGATAGCCTGGGACCCGCGAGCTCTCCGATGGCCAATGGGCCTACTGGGCAAAATCAACAGCATTGTAAGTGTTGTGGACTTAGAATGCCGCGCCCGTCTGTTCCACCACGTCTGTCGATATGGACCATCCCCTGTCTTCCGTACAGGAATCACCGAACAGATCCGAACCCATTGGTCGACTATGTTTCAGTCGGCAACGCAGCATTATCTGGGAATGACGCCTCAGACGCGCTCTTTTTTGAGATCAGTCTATGAGACGCAGACACACCTCAATAGGGCGGAGAGGAGATTACTTGCGCTGGCGTGTCGTGTTGCGGAGGATTCGGTCGATCTCTTCTGGGAGGATCTGAATGAGAGCCGCAGAGGGTATGTGGCTATGAAGGTGTTTATTATGGCTAGAGAGTGTGAGAGGGCAGTCGAGGCGAGAGAGGCGGAGAAGGTGCGGAAGCATAGGAAGTTGTATCAGCTTCACTGATGGGGCAGCTGTGATGAAAGCAGCAAAGCAAAAGCAAAAGCAATTGCAGCAAAGGGCGTGCATCCTCAGCTGCTGAACAGAAATGGTGTACTGCTGCTGTCTCAGTTGTTGTACTGAGACCATATCGTCAGTGCAGGTGTGGTGTCGGTTGGCACTGGCAGTTCTCAATGTTCCTTCGTGCCAGTGAGCAGACATTATGATGCGAGCACAGCTAGAGAGCAATGAAATAGATTGTATCATACGTATCTTTGCGGGTTCAAGTTCTTTTGGGACATGCACCACAGAACAGAACAGAACATCAGCACACTGCATCCCTGGAATCAGATCCAATCTCCAATTCAAGCTCCCATAACCAGGCATGGGCATGAACCATGCCTATCTGTAGTAGGAAGTAAACCCTTGTTTTCTAGTGGAATCCTCTCCTGTGAAATATGCAACCATTTGAAGCTCCACCTGCCACAGAATGAAACGAAGTTGGCACCACGATGGATACCTTCGATTAAGTGTTCGTTTTTCTAGAATAAAAAAGAAAATGCATTTGTCTCCTTTCTCTTTCTCCCCCGACACCCTAAAACCTGGGTGGCAATCTTGTCACTTTACAACAAAGCAACAGCGCCAGCCACGCCCAGCAACGCCGCAACAAGACCATTTCCGGCCTTGAGACTGACCGAGACTGAGCCAGCGGCACCAGTGTACGCGGACGGGTGGGCTCCTGTGCCACTGCTCATGGTCGCAGTCACAGTGTGTGTGGTAGTGCAGGACGAGGTCATCGTGGTGACGGTGGCGTTGTTGCCAGCAGCAGGAATGGTCGACGTCGACATGGACATCCACGACGTGGTGCTCATGCTCGTGTTGGGGATGCTGGTCACCGAGGTCAATGTCACGGGGACAGTGGTGGTCGACATTGCGTCGTCGGCACCTGCAACACCGGTCCCGGCGGCGGGGGCTGCACCTCCTGTCCCTGCTGTGGTGCCTGCGTCTGGCGAGGCGGCTGGGCTAGCTGATCCTCCTGCTGGTGCTGCTCCTCCGAGGGATGATGCAAGTGATGGGCCGCAGATTGTTCGGCCGAATTCGATCGCGGCTATAAGATAGGATAAGTCGTCAGTCAGATTGGATGATCTTGGATTGTTTCAAGAAGGGAATGGAAGGAGACATAGCCTTTCGGGACTAGATGAGTCTGATAATTCTTACCTTGAGCATCGGCGGCCGAACAGGTCGTCAGAATCGTGTTGGTGATGGCGTTGATGAAGGCCGTCGAGGCACAGATGCATGCCGTGTCAGTCAAGGGACACCCGGCCGATCCTAAAGCTGCACTTGCGGCATCTTGCTGTAAAGGAAATGGTCCCAGTCAGCTCCTTTTTCACTGTCTCCTATCTCGGGACATGTAGGATTCCCTCGGTGACTACTTACAGCACAGGCTGGCAATCCAGCCAATGTCCCAGTGTTGATCTGCGGGCTGGCTAGTGCCAGCGTCGACAGCAGCAAAGGTAAGGTCAGGCCGGTTCGATGCATTTTGAATAGACGAAGAGAGTAACTGAGGCCTTCTCTTGGAATGAAATGTAATGTGTACAACACAATGAGGCAATCGAGGGAGCGCAAGGAGCCAAGAACTCAAATGCAAACTGCGAGTCGAAATTCGATCAAAGACGAAACGAGTGACTTGACTGAGCGATTGACAGTATGTTGACAAAGGAAAGATGCAAGACAAAGAAGACCGCGACAAATATACGACATCGAATACCCATGTAAACCTCGTTCTTAGCACACATTGCTGATTGCGGATGGCAGTCGAGCCAACAACACAACATCAAAGGATGGAATGCGGGTCTTTCAGGTTCGGAATGCCGCATCACAGCATTCGTCGTTGGGAGGGCCTTGGAATGTGCTTTGCTCTCTTGGACGTATGGGATGTAAATCAGATATACGGGCACAACGCCGCGTGCTCCTGGCTCCATTTCGAATGCCTTGGGGCCGCTGAGCGGCTACATAGAGCTCTGCACTATCAGCACCGTGTTCTTTCTTCTTGTAGAATGCGCGTCCGCCACAGCGTAGAGGGTTCCATTTCATTGTTCGACACTGGGTTCGCTAGCTGAGGGCCGTTCCGAGTCGTGCCTCAGTCGTCTTGTAGTGAACGAAATTTGATGAATTGGCCGCAGTAGCCTTTGCCAGCAATCAAGCGGCTCTATTATGAGCGGACAGGACAGTACTGGGACCTACCTAGTAAACACAACAGTGAGTAGTCTAGAGGCAACTGTCGCAAGGCTGTCATCCTACAATGGAGTGTAGTAGTTGTAAGAGATACCGCGTTCTGAGTCGGCCGAACCACGGTACCGCATTGAGTATAGCGTGGTCAGGACACCGGCAAAGCGTCGGCGACATCGGCCGAGATTTGATCTTGGCAGATAATCTAATCAATCAGTCTATCAGATTAGATACTCGAATCAATCAACCACCTCATCATCCCCCTCGATGACCCCAGGCTGCCGTTTCGTTTATTCAACGACCTAGTCCAGACCATGGACGAAGTCTTGCCTCCAGAATTCCTCGATGCTCTTCGTCTCTCCTTGAAGCCCTCGGCGGCCCTTGTCGCGACTCTCGAAGAACCTCCTCGCGCCCCCGAGAACGGCCATGTCCGTGAGCTCATCGAAGCGATCCTCTGGCATCGCAAGTTCGTCTTGACATATTATGTTGTTCTCGCGCTCCTTGTTGCCCTCACAGGTGCTCATGGACTTTACAATAAACGGGTACGGCGGGCTCGACAAGACAAGAAGAGATACAAGCCTATCCCGGACACGCCGTCCTCATCTTCCAGTACATTGAGCGGCACCATAACCCCTCCACAGAAACATGATGTTTCAGAGACAACGCCTCTCCTGGTCCAGCCAGAGGCAGAGGATTCCATCAAGAGGCGTTGGCGCCCTACTCTCTGGGGTGGGATACGATGTATGCTCATGCATCAGCCTCGCCCCGTACAATCTATGACTGCGCCACGAAACGTGTTACCAGATAACGGAACCACGCTCGTCGTTTTATTGTTTCTCCTCCTCAACCTATTTTACCTCCTTTACAGGGTGCCTCCCTCTGCCAATGGAGTGTTCATACTTGCAGACAGGGCTGGTCTGCTATTCGTGGTCAATCTGCCTGTGTTGTACCTGCTGGCAGCGAAAACCAATCAACCAATCAAGCTGGTCACAGGGTGGTCCTATGAAGGACTGAACCTGTTCCATCGGCGACTGGGAGAGTGGATGATAGTGTTTTCTGTCATCCACATGCTTGGGATGTTTGCCGTTTGGTACGCCATCCTGCGACCTCTCGGATACACGCTGTTGCGATACCTTACGGAGCGAGTCGTATTTCTGGGCATTGCCGCCATTCTTTCTTATTTCATCATATACGTGACCAGTGTCGGCTGGTTCCGATACTTATACTACGAGGCATTTTTGGGCCTGCACATACTCTTTCAAGTGGCGGCGTTAGTGTTTTTGTTCTTCCATTATCCCACGGCGAGTCCGTACGTGCTGGCCACGTTCATCATCTGGGCGGTCGATCGGATCTTGTGGCGCATCAGTCTATCCAGCAAAAGGGTCATTGCAACTCTTGAGGTAGCCCCTGATGAACAGACCATTCTGGTGCACTGCGAGATTGAATTACGCAAGAAGCTTTTTGGAATCAGATCGCATCTCCACCATGGCTGGCTTCCTGGACAGCATGTCTTCCTGACCATTCCGGCCTTGAGCTTCAAGAACCGCTTTCAGACACATCCTTTCACCATCGCATCGCCGGCTCCTCTAAGAGACTACGACACGACCGGTGTAAAAGTATGGCCGCTCCAACTGGTCATCCGGTCCATCAATGGCTTCTCGCGCGATCTGCTCGAATACGCCAAGCACCACCAACACTGCGAAGTGATTCTGGACGGTCCCCACGGCGGAGTTGAAGCACTCGAGGCCGCGCACCATGCTGACAGGGTCTGCTTTGTTGCTGGAGGGAGCGGCATTGCCGTCACCTATCCGTTGGCCTGGGACGTCCGCGTCAAGCAGGACATGCAACCCGATGCCTTGGTCAGCACGAGAACCGTGTACGATTTCGCTTCCGGGCTGAAGACCACTCAAGCCGTGACCGATTGTGGGCCGATGGCTCGATCATGCGCATATGCCCATTTTTGGGTGCGGCAGGATCCCCGCCATGCACATTGGATCTCTATGTTTCCTCGCGCCGCCTGTGTCCAGGGGGATAGAAATGATGACGTGGATATCATAATTACAGCAAACGACGACCTCGCCAAACCTGACGGCCACCAAGAAGTGGGGTCCATCGTAACACACGCGTTCGACACCAGAAGATCCGGGTCCGGATTCAGGTACGGGTCCGAGGGAGGACGGCCGGACTTGAGGACCGAGGTGTGGAACTGGGTGACTTCAACTTCCTCAACCGGCACGGTGCTGCAGGGGGACTACTGTGGGGCCTTGTCTTCGTCCACAACCCGACAGAGATCAACATCATGGGACGTCGACCGTCATTCTCGTCCGGGGCCAGAAAAAGAGAAATTGTGCATCGTTGTCTCCGGCCCCGATGGATTGGTCCGGGATGTCCGCAACGTCGCGGCCCGACTAGTCAAGGAAGGCTGGGATCTGGAAGTTTGGGTGGAAAAGTTCGGGTGGTAGATAAGGACAAGCCTGTCCTGTCTGTCCGCCTGTTAAGTTGAATATTTTATGGTCCACTGGCAGTCGGCAGATATCACATGCGAAATGAAACATGACAATATACCACGAAGGAAGGAGAACGCAATCAATATAGCAGAAGAGAAGAGTTGCCGAATGAACATGGCACGGCAGGGCACGGAGTAGAGGACATCTAGACATTTTCTTAGAGCGTATGCGCTTTAGACGATAATTGCATATCAAATTGTCAAAGTTTCTCTCCTGGCAACATTGCATTTCGTTCTGCTCCAGAACAACACCCAGAACCATCAGTAAGTGACTTCGACCTCGCTCCACGGCGGACGGAACATGTACCTCTTGCAATGTCCTAGTAGCGCCGAAAATGACAACTGCTGCCCACTGGCAAGGCGGCGCAGATGTCGATATTTCAATTCAGCTCGACAAAAGTCTCTTCTCTTCTCTTGCCCCAGCTTGCCGTCATGGTTGCAACGTAAACAGTCTCATCATGCGTAAGGTAGACGCCCGGACAGCAGTGTATGGTATTTCTCCCGGTTGCGGTTGAAGATCGGGAGTCCCTCCAAGGGGAACCCTCATTGTTTGGCAGTGGATTCGACAGCAGCCTTGTCCTCATCATCGGCTGTAGTACCCCGTTGCACATGGACGGCCGCCGACTTGTTCGGTTCGGGAGTAAGCTTGAGAAACTTGCAATCGGAAGTACCACTGGCGCTACCACTGCCGCTGCCGCTGCCACTGCTGGAGGTGACCGCGGGTGATTTTGTATCTGCGCTGGTCTTTGACGCTTGGCTGCCGCCGGCGCCTTCTCCGGACAGGGGTTGCTGGTTCATGCTGGCGGGATGGTATGGGGCGCGTTCTTCGGGAACGAGACGGAGGAATGGCATTTTTCGGAGGATCCGCTTTTGAGACGATCGGCCGCTTGCAAAGACTTGCTCGATGACCTCTGTTTTGTTTTATTGTGTTCGGTGTTGTTTGGTCTTCTCTTGTTAGTTTGCTTATCGAGTTGTGGTACTGTTTGTAAGTCAGAATGGTTGGCTGAGATGAGCTGTTGAATTGTGAGATGAGAGCGTGCGACCTGTTGTCCCAGAAGAGATGGCTAGTGGCGCAGCAGATGATGGTGAAAGGGTCTTGGGAACCTTGGAACTGCCTCGAAATGCGGTACAGGTACACATGACAAATTGCCTAGGTACTTCCTGGTACCTAGCTACGCGGCCAGTGAATCAGATCACTGAACGCGTAGGCAGTTGGCGCGATATTGTTGAAGTCAATGAATGGCGGAAGTGATTCTCTGGAACAACACCAAGATAATCCAGGTCCTTTTCACCAGCGCCACTTGGTAGGCTTAGAAGGACAAGGAGGGAGTAGCCACGCGATGGAAAAATCGTATGATATGGGTCAAGAGTCAACGGATATGCTAGTTAATTATGAGGGGAGAACATGGTGTTATATTGAGTGGTGAATAATTGTGTTTTTTCTTTGTTTTTTCTTCGTTCTCATCGGGTTAAAAAAGCGGTAGCAATACCACCGGCAAACATGCTGGCCACGGTGACGAAGCTGCTCACACTCATAGTCGATATGCCGCTGATGCCATGGCCGCTGGTACAGCCACCAGCCAGTCTGGCGCCGAATATCATGGCGAATCCGCCGACGATAGCTGCGGGAGTACTGACGGCAGGTCCGGACTCCGCAATGACTGGAATATATTGGGACATGACTTTGGCACCGGCAACCACGCCGCTGGCGAACAGAATATTTGACAATCCCGGACCAGATCTTCCCTCCACAAGACTCCAGAAGTACTCGCCAATATCCTCGTAGGCTTTGGAGACACCCACAGTTTTGCGCGTGAAGAGAACCGAGGTAGCTTGAGCGATACCGATCAGCAAGCCTCCAACAACCGGGCTCAGCCAATATGGTCGAGTGGGAGCGACATATGTGGCCACAGTGATCATTGCCAGACACAAAAGCTCGTAGATTGCGACAATGGTGCCTGTCGAAAGACCGGTTTGTTCTTGCAAGGTATGCTTAGGTGGGATCGATGAAGGAGTCGCTGTTGTGCGCTTGAGATTCTTTCCAATCTTCGCAAACACGATGCCTGCCAGAACAGCTCCGGCGGCCGCGTTCCAGGCAGACTTGAACCCCAGTGCTATCTGTACCAACACAGTGCCGGAACATGCGCCGGTCAAAGTCATTCCAATTCCTTGCAACAGTCCTCCGATCACATTGGCGTCGTATTTCATGAACCAGCCGTAGGAGGAGTCGGTGCGGTGGGGGAGTTTGGCATAGCCTGAGCGGTTCGCCCCGACCACGATGAGTGCGCTGCATGCGCTGGCGGCCAGAAACGACTTGAGCATGTGGAAGTTGCTCAAGCCCATCTGGCCTAGGATGACGGAGGGAGAATAGACGCCCGAGGTCGTCAGGGCAGAGCCGAAGATGACGCCTGAGGCTGCGCTGAGGAGAAGTGACGACGACATGATGGAAATCAGGCAATCGACCGTCGTGAGGTGTGGTGAGATCAGTGGAGGGTGAGGGTGTCGTTCTTCAGAACGCTCAAGAGAACAAGACTGTACTGTATATATAGTGAACGCCGTCCGGCTGGATAGGCAAGCGGAGATGTAGAGATGAGGTGGTCCCAGGGTCCCTGACGGTGGAGGCCAGATGCAGTGGTAGTAGCCAGGTACAAGCATTTTCCTTTGTGGCCGATGTGGGCATTTTTCCGACGTCGCCACCAGAAAGTCTCCGAGATCCGATATCGTGGCTCGCTCACGCATTTCACATCTGAACTCTGTATGTTGCCGTTCGAACAGACGTCCAGCAAGTAGCCACGGCGCTTTACAGACCACCGCCACCAGCACTGGCAGCCTGCTCGTGTGAGAGGCTTTTGTGACAGACTCGGAGTTCCATCACCCACGTCGCTCGTCCAGAGCCTAAACGGGCCGCAATGGAGTTGCATCACACGATATAATGGAGTGGACAAGTACCCTGGCAGGGTCATCTGTGAGCATGTTACACACATCTTTGTGCTCCACTGACCTGCAGGTTGCGATCGACGGAATGTTCAACAAGCGAAACTTGAAACTGATGAACTAGCTGCATCCCGTGACATGCCCAGGCATTCAAGTTGCACCTTTCTAGGTTTCGATGGCTCGAACTGGATGGTAAACACCTTGTTGTCGTCATCGATAGTATATTGAACCCGCCTCATCCTCTTCGAGTTTTCTTCATCTCCTTCAAGTACACCAATTCCGTGATGGCCGCCCGAACGAAACTCAATGTCCAGAACTTCCCTCGTCCGCCTTTGTTGCAACAGATACCGAGACACATAGTCATCAAATGGGGCGACCAGACGCTAGCTGACACGCGGTCATCATACTGGGTTCTCGAAACCACTCATCCTCCTAGTAAGTACCTCGGTGACATGAAATCCCCAGAAATCTACATATCCCCAGAAACGAACAAGGACCAAGAGTCACGGCTGCTAGCCGCCGCGGGGGGCCCAGAGATGGATTTGATCTTGAAAGACGGACCCTCAGCCACTTACCACCTACCAACATAATATCCTAGCATACTACCTCCCCCGAGACGCGATTAGCGACAGTTTCAAGCTCGTCCGCTCGCCGCCAGACAAGGCCTCGCTATGTGAATGGAAAGGCCGCGCCACATACTGGGACGTCGTCAACACATCGACAGGCGAAACCGTCCGAAACAAAGTCTGGAGCTACGAGGCGCCCACGCCTGCTTTCGCCGCGATCAAAGGATACCTGTCGTTCTATGCCAATGGTGTTCCTTGGGAATGCTTCGTCGATGACGAGAAGGTGACGCCACAGGAAGGTAGGTATACTAGTACTACCTTTCCATTCTGTTCCAGTCCCAACAGTTCTTTCGGCCTTGCTGGGCTGACCGACTGACTGTTTACTCTACAGGCGACTACTACGGGGGATGGGTGACGAGTGAGATTGAGGGTCCGATGAAAGGCGGGCCCGGAACCTGGGGGTGGTAGTGGTAGTACCCAAATAGGGCTGATAACCTAGGGTAACCACCGGGGCGGTCTTCCCCTCCCGCGTTTGATGCGTATGTCTCCCTTTTGATTGATGGCCGTTTCTATTTCTCCCGTGGTCATGTACGGCCCGGGGCGCATCTATCTTAGGAACTCCATCTCCGTCGCTGCATGGGATAGCGTTGATCTTAGATCCCCAGCCGGGGAAGTCTGTGTCCAATGACTGCAGCGTGGCAGAGCGAGACTCTCAAGGTAGTCGATTACAAATGATGACCTAAGTTAGACAACAGCCCTATCTCCAGCCTCTTGTGTTTCATAGGGCCATAAAACCTAGGTACAGTATCTTCGACCAGGTACATGTAATACTTTCCCAAGACAGTCAATGGACAGAGACTCCGAGTCGAATTCTACGGAGTCAAAGCCGGAGTTAAAGTCGAACTTCCCAGACCGGATCAACAACGGCGGACAGCCGATCGTGGGTTTGGTTTCTGATTGGTCCCAGCCCCAACTATCCTGCGACGCGCTCCGAGTCCTTGTTCTTCCTCGACTTCTCGCTTACTAGCCAGCGCCTGCTGCTACTTCCGGTCCTTTCGCGGTGGTTTGCTATACCATAGTGGTACTGGGCTTTTCGGGGCGTCCGAACCTGACGGCTGTAGGACAACTTCAGCCAGGATACAAGGATCCAGCGACGAACACGGCGCGGCGAGGCGTCATTGACCACTGCTACCGCTCCGTTTTGAACAATTGGGTCTCCTACCACGCGGCGGTCGATTGTTGCACCGAGTCTCTTATAGTAGCAGACCTCCACCTGTGAGATCCCTTAAATCTATAGCTTACCCTCTGTATAAAGGATCCGTGAGACCCAGAGCCGCCCTGGATTCAACTGCCCCAGGTGTCCGTCTACCACCTTGTGCACGAGGTGCAACGCCATGGGCGATATGTCTGGCCCTGGCAACACACTCATGCCTATGGAGGTGATTGACCTCTCAGAAGGCTGGTCCTTCAGACAGAAAGATGGAGTCGAAAAGAACGCCTGGCTGCCGGTCAAAAAGGTGCCTTCTACGGTCCACCAGGACCTGATTGATAACAAGCTGTTCGTGACATCATTCATCGAAGAACAATGATGAAGGCTGACCCGAGCTGAACTCGCCATCAGACTGGAAGATCCATTCATCGGGTTCAACGAGATCAAAGCAGAATGGGTAGGGTTAAAGTCTTGGATCTACCGGACACAGATTGCAACACCACCAGCACCAGACGGTTCAAAGGTCATACTGGCTTTCGATGGCCTGGACACTTTTGCACATGTCAAGTTGGACGGTAAGACGATCCTCGAGAGCGACAACATGTTCTTGTCCCACCGTGTCGACATTACAGATGCGATCCGATCAGGTCCGGATTCTGACCACGAGCTGGAAATCGAGTTTGAGCCCGCGTTCCTCAAAGCCCGTGAAATCAAGGACCAGCATCCCGAGCACAAATTTATTTGCTTCAATGGAGATCCAGCCCGGCTGGCCGCGAGAAAGGCCCAGTATCACTGGGGCTGGGACTGGGGCCCGATTCTGATGTGTGCGGGAATATGGCGACCCGTTCGTCTTGAGTTATATTCTCTGAGGACAGCAGACTTGCGTCTCGATATCAGCATTGCAGACGACCAGAAGACGGCCTCGATTCGGGCGGTTGCTGACGTGGAAGGAGTTGATGGCCATCATCGTCATCCAATTCAAGCTCGGTTTGAGCTCAAGTTGGCCGGGGAGAGAATCACAACTGCCGTGGTGGATGCGCACCACCCCAAGGGTCAAGTCTCTGCCCAACTGGAAATTTCCAATCCCCAACTCTGGATGCCAAACGGATATGGCAGGCAACCGCTTTACACAGTTACCCTGACCCTTGCCGTGGATGATGTCGAGCTCCACACTCTGTCTCGACGCATTGGCCTGCGGAAGATTGAGCTGGTCCAGGAACCGGATTCCCACGGCAAGTCCTTCTATTTTCGCATCAACAACGTGGATGTCTTCTGCGGCGGGTCATGCTGGATCCCTGCCGACAGTTTCGTGACCAACCTGACGCCGGAAAAATATCGGGCCTGGCTGGAATTGATGGTGCCTGCAAACCAGAAAATGATCCGGTAAGTGTACAAGTGAAACAATGCGCTGCCATCGGCCCCGGGGGCCTGAGCCCTCAGGCTGCCACTGCAGTGCAGTGGCCGAAACCGACAAACCGACACTAACTCAGGAGTGCAGAGTTTGGGGCGGAGGCATCTACGAGGATGACGCCTTCTACGACATCTGCGACGAACTGGGCATTCTGGTGTGGCAGGACTTCATGTTCGGTTGCGGCAATTACCCCTGCTTCCCAGCCATTCTCCGGTCGATTCAGGTGGAGGCCGTGGCTAATGTTCGGCGAATTCGCCATCATCCCTGTCTGGCCATTTTCGCTGGAAACAATGAGGACTACCAGGTCGCCGAATCGGCCAATTTGACCTACGACTACGACGACAAAAACGAGCAACACTGGCTCGAGTCTGACTTCCCGGCCAGATACATCTACGAATCCCTGCTACCCAGAGTTTGCGCCGCCGAAGCCCCCTGGATTGCATACCACCCAGGATCACCATGGGGCGACGGGCAGATCAGCTCAGACCCCACTGTGGGAGACCTGCATCAGTGGAATGTGTGGCATGGCACGCAGGAGAAGTACCAAATCTTCGATTCCCTGGGTGGGCGGTTTAACTCGGAATTTGGCATGGAGGCTTTCCCACACCTGGACACCATCAGGTCGTTTGTGGAGAAGGAAGAAGATCTCTTTCCCCAGAGTCATGTCCTCGACTTCCACAACAAAGCGGATGGTCATGAGAGACGGATCGCCACCTACCTGGTGGAGAACGTGAGAACAGCAACCAAACTCGAGGCCTACATCCACTTGACGCAACTCATCCAATGCGAGGCTCTGATGTTTGGCTACAGGGGCTGGCGGAAACAATGGGGCAACGAGCGGCAGTGTGGCGGAGCCTTGGTGTGGCAGCTGAATGACTGCTGGCCTGTCACTAGCTGGTCGATCGTCGACTACTATTTGCGGAGGAAACCTGCGTATTATGCCATGGCACGTGTGTTGGCGCCTGTTGCCGTTGGTGTGCGGCGAGCTCATCATGATTGGAGCGTGACGCACGCGCGCGAACCCCCAGCGCAGGAGTGGGAGCTGTGGGTGGTCAGTTCACTCCTGAAAGACGTTACCGTCGACGTTGAGGTTAAATTTGTCTCGGTCAAAACAGGACTGGAAATTAAGGATTCGATCAAGAAAAAGGGCATTCGGATCAAAGCGAACGGAACTACCGACATTCTCGAAGGCTGGGTGGACAACGTGAACGAGGAGGCCCATGTCCTGGCAGCACGTATGTGGATGGACGGAGAGCTGGTTGGTCGGGACACAGATTGGCCGCAACCTCTGAAATACCTCCCTTTCGGCGACCGTAAGGTCAAGGTGGATGTTATTGGGGACGAAATGCATGTGTCTGCAGAAAGGCCGGTAAAATGCCTGGTGTTTGAAGAACGTAAGGGATGCCACCTTAGCGACAGCGCGATTGATGTGGTGCCCAATGACAAGCAAGTCATCCGGGTTCGAGGACTCGAGTCCGGAGCGCCTCCATTGCGCTGGACATACCTGGGAGCTGGAGAGCACTCGTGAGAGCAAGCAAGCACAAAGAGCTGGCCATTCGCCCCGACCATTATTCTGTGAACATTCATCCTAGCTCCGAGGATCATCGTCAGCTTCCGGTCCGGAAATTGAGTGCTGCCATGCTTTGAAAAGCGAGACCGGCTGCGAATCGATGAGAAGAGGTTGACAGGGACGCATTGCGACGACTCAAACACAAGCAGCAGCGAGAGAACACTGCCGGAAGGCACTGAAGTGGTTTTCAGTCGGGAGATTCTCGGCTAGCGAAGGATGTTCGAACCATTCTCACCAGGTGGTACGAGGTTATGGCAGATACCTAGTATGCAGGAAGATTGAAATCAGAATATCTGCAAGTAGCTGTTATGCCTGGCAACAGTCGCATCGACAGCTCAGTCCTGAAGAGTTGTACCTAATTACGGTGTCTGAAGTAGTATGTGGGGTCTCATGCCCTGCCATCAGTTCTCCCCTGGGACATACTGTACTGCAACACCACGTGGGTCTGGCGGCCGGCAGATTGATCACCAGGTACGCTAATTGCAAGGACCGGCCCATCCTAGCTGCATCTTGAGTCTTGAGTAGTTGTAGGCTCGAACACCAAGGGCCGGGGAACTCCAGCATGATTTGTGGTTTGTTCAATTTTTCCCTGCCGGCTAAAATGACCATGTTCAAGGTTGCCTGATGGACGGAGCCAACCAATTGGTGGAGACAGCCTGAGAGAGCTTGAAATCAGAGGGGCCGGGGAATCGTCCCAGCTGGCGATTACGGTGTGGGAAACGAGCAACGGCTCGGACAGTAGTCGGAGAAGAAAAGACGGGGCGCTGAGCCCTACGACGAGTCTGCCTGACCATGGCCGAATGCAGGGGTTCTGCGAATACGTGGTACTAGTGTTGCGTAGAGTGATATGGGCGGTTGCGGTTCTTATGTTGGCCGACAGGAGACGTGGATTAGCCTGCTGTACTCGAAGGCAGGCGGCAGAGGACCGGTGGATGGGATAGATGCGTTGACCTGTTTAGATGCTAGTCAGCGATCTACAACAGTAGCAGCTGTAGGATCATTACAGCTGAGACAAGAAGATGAGGGAAGAAAGGCGGTAAAGGGAAGATACGAAGATGCGAAGATGCAGTGAAGTATCCCGCAGGCAGCCACCGCAACATAAGGTACACTGACATTTAGGTACTACTGTACGCCTGACCATGAGCAGCAGCGGTGCAGCCAAGGCAGTGCCTAACTGACCTGCATCTTCGGCGTGCTTCCAGAAGTCTTTAAGCTACACATTCAAGCATTTAGGCCACACACTCAGGCTTAGGCTGCACGGTGCCTGGGCCACAGAATTACACTGGATCAGTATTGTACGTGCTTTTCTCGATGAGGATATTCACTGACCACCATCAGTGACACCACCATCCACTCGCGTATTGATATGGATACCTATTGCCAACCTGAGGCACGTTAGACCGCCTGGCGCAGTGCAACGAGTGGATACTGAGCGTGGCCGGGTCCAGGTCGAGTCTGGCAGCGCAAGGATCGGGCAGAGCAGGGAATCTCGACGCAGAGGACAACCGACAAGGGCACCGACTACCTCGTTTGACTGCGATGGGCGTATTGATACCTGGTCAGGAATCACTCACTATCTTTGGGATCTACTGTACAGTATACCAGCATGCCAATCATGCTGCACACGCTCTGCCCGTTGACGGTTACCTTGCTGACCTTGGCTGTGTGCCCATCTCTTTCGAAACTAGCCCCCAGGCTTCACTTCGGCGTCATATCATCCCAGCCTGCTAGTTCAAAAGCACCGGCATCTCGAGGTATCTTCCTCCATTCACCTTGAGCCTCCTTCGAAACTCGAATCCACCCTTCGCACCGCCCTTTCGAACGTTCCTTTGGTTCATTTCCATCCCTCCATCTGTTCAAGCTACCCGTCCAGCCATGATCTGCTATCCCTCCCTCCACCTTCACGTCCCCTGGTCATGGGGGACAGGATTCCTTCCACGAACACACATGGTCCTCTCCCCACCTTTGATTGCCGGCCCCTTAGTCTCGTCATTTGCGCTGGGCACAGCCGTATTGCAGCAGGCTCTCGCAGAACACGCTCATGGACTGGCTAGGATGTCAAAACGACCCCTGTCCCTAGTCGACATGGGCGGATTTGCCCGGGTATGGTTCAACCCAACGACTGTCTCATACCTTTCCTTTGCATGGATGGCATAGAGGTATGCCTGGGTTATCATAAAGCAAATGATACAGTCGTGCCATATCACTTGCAGCCTAAAAGGTATTCAATGTGGACCATTGCGTGGACCCTCTTGTTGTTCGTTTTCCTGTCATTGCGATTTCTACCTTGAACTGCTGGCTATCGAGGATTGCAAGTTGCATGATTTAACACCAGCTTTGGCGGCCGAAGAACATACTATAAAACACCCTCGTTGCCATACTTGTGGTTATACGCATTTCAGCCTTTGGTACTGGTGGCTTCTTGATCTTCGCGGTTGTTTTTCTGCACGGAACTAGGCCCAACTTCCTGCTAGTCTATCACTCAGACCATTCATTTGTCGTGGGAACCTGGGTCAATATGTTCCACACGTTCGAAACAGCACAATATACCACTCCTGAGCAGGCTGATACCCAAGCCGGTGCGGGCGCCAAACGGAGGACTTCCACAGTGAGAGCATGTGAACCTTGCCGACGACGCAAGATCCGATGCAATGGTGAACATCCTTGTGAAACATGTCAGTGGTATCGAAAGGCGGCCTCGTGTCATTACACCGAGCCTAGACAACGGCAATTGCCTTCGAGAAGGTAAGCAGCTATATCCAGTGTCAACCTCTTTATTTTAACCATTCTCTAACTCCTCGACAGATCGGTCGAAAAGATCTCCCAAACGCTTCAGGAGTACCGGGGCATTCTACAGAGACTCTTCCCGAACACCCACCCAGATCAACTGAGACATCTCTCACGCGAAAAGCTCGTAGAGCTCATTTCCAACAGTGGCGATTTTCAACCTCCCTCTCCCAAAAGTCCGAGCCTGGACGAAAAAGCGCCGTCAGTCGACCCGGATGCAAGGCTCCTAGAACGGTTCCAGCCGATGCCCGAAGAGACCGACGATGCACTTGCTCAGATGCCTGCTTCGGTAAAGGGCGTTACGGACGCTGTGAAGATGTTGTCACTTCATGTCAAGCAGAGAACTTCATTTCTCGGCATCTCTTCTACTCTTGCCGCTCTACGAGTCATCACTTGGCTTGACCCAGAGTGTCTGTCCGAACGTCCTGAAGGTAGCACTGAGTCAAGGGCTCTCGACTCAACGCCGACCGGGGGCGCCGTGCAGACAGTGGATACAAGCCATCAGGACGAGGCAACACCTACAGCCTGGGACGAGCTTCCCTTGGTCGACGCATACTTCACCTATGTACAACCCTTCGCCCCCCTACTCGAGGAGCGAACGTTTAGAGACACATATACGGCTGGTCACAGGAATGATGCAGCATGGCTACTACTTTTGAACTCAGTCTTGGCCATGGGATGCATGGCAGCTGGGGTGTCACAAGATACTGCCCGGACATACTTCGCTCGTGCCCAGCAAAGTCTGACGCTGGACATGTTGGACACTCCCAACCTCGAAATAATCCAAGCACTAGCCATCATGGGTGGTCTTTACCTCAACTATGCAGAACGCAAAAATCAAGCCAATGCCTTGATGGGTGTGACTATGCGACTTGCCACGAGTCTGGGTTTGCATCGCGACTACAACGAAAGCATCTGTCCTGAGAAGGTCCAAAGTGCGGCGTCCACAATTGAGGTGAAGCGGAGAATCTGGTGGACTGTCTTTGTCTTGGACGCTTCGGGTGGTTATATGGTTGGCAGGCCCAGTCTGGGACGAATGAGCGCTGCAAACACGGCGAAATTCCCTCAAGAGTCGATTGGACAGTCATCCAGCCTCCTGACTTTGACTCAAGAAAGAATCCGGTTTGCAATGCTCAGTACTAGGGTGGAAGATGCGCTGGCGATTTCTCCTCTACTTGATGAGCATGAACGTCATGCATTCGACGCCCTGTTCCTGGAATGGTACAACCATTCGTCGGTGCAAAACAGCTCGGCCTGGCAAGATGGCAACGAAGCCCCGGGCGTGACGGTGTTGAAGAACGTGATGCGGTGGCGTTATCTTCACCTTCGCATCATCCTCCAACGTCCAGTGCTATTATGGTATGCGATCCGCAAGATGTCACCGGACAAATTATCTCAGGAGAAGAAAGCTGCTGTTGAGCTCTGTCGGGAACTCTGCGCCGACCTCATCCACGACATTGCCGCCACCTGGAAAGGTCAAGGACCAAACGCAATGGCCGCCTGGCTTGGTACCTGTCTGCTATATCAGACGGTCATGGTTCCACTCCTTTCGTTGTATTCAGACCCGACCGAAGTCTCTGTGGTCGAGAGCAGTCGGCAGCAGGTGACAAGTAGCCTACAGACCCTGCAGGACATGCAAGCATGGGTGCCCATTGCCAAACGGGCGCACGCCGTGGTATCGAGGCTCTACGAAAGCAGCAAGAGGCGCGTCCTCAAGGCCAAGCAACCTCGAGGAGTCTCATCATCGGTCAAAAAATCGGCCAAGTCGGTACCAAACATGACTTGCCCACCTCAACAACCGTCCTCGACAACAGCCGGCAGCGGCTATCGCCCGACATATATCGATGTCTCGTACGCGAACGCATACGGCGACCCGCGCCTGGTGCACACGACGGGCCAGGAGATGTTTATCGACAACATGTTTGACAGTATCAAATGGAGCAATAGCCGGGACAATCCTCTCGGCGTAACTGCACCGCAAACGATGCCTGGATGGGATTACGATACTGTACAGACCTGGGCCGGCATGCCACAGGCCGAAGACTACTTTGACGTCGGGTTTGGCGATCAAACTGCCGGCCATCTGGCCTTTGACATGGGCATGCAAACCCCCAGCTGTGGGAACCATAACCATCTGAACCCGCACTATGGGGTGATTGAACGACGGCATGGGTCGAGGTAGGGGAACTAGTACTAGTACTTTGTAAGAAATCAATCATATGTTGTTTGTCATTCTGAAGTATAGCTCCGCTGGAAATGAGTAGGTAGCCTTGCAACTGAAGTAATGGTGTGTTTTCTAAATCTTGAATATTTCTTGGTGGAGGGCTGACTTTGAACTTCCTTGGACCACAACTTGAAGAGCAAAACAGAATATCAGCAGGCCAGGCTTCCAGACACCAAAATATCAGTATCAACACTGCACCTGCGTAGGTACCTAGGTGACAAAACTTAGTATGTATATATATCTGGGTCAGTACCTGACTATAAGTCCAATATGGAATTACAGGGTACTTTACAGTATGTAGGTACGTACTGTATCAGGAGTGCTGCTGGCCTATTCCGGGGAAAAAAGAAACCGCCGGTTCTTCGGAATCTTATCGCCAGATAAATACTACGAAGATCAAGAGCAGTTCAAGTTTTGCAACCACCAAACCTCAGAGCCAAGGTGTATTCAAACCCTAGATGTACATAGCTTTGCGCCGGCGCCATTTCGCCAGCCCCTTCCTTATACAATGAGCTCGGCTCCGTTGCAGATAGATGACTTTGACAAGTCAGAAACACACAAATATTGCGCTCTCTTCCTCTAGAGGGCAACCTAACCCAACTCGACCTTTGGTGGGAATGGATGACAGACAAGAAGATAGGTGGATGCGGCTCGATTGACATTCATTCCTCTTCACACCCACCAAGAACAGTACCTGATCCTCGCTCCGCGAAATCACCCGCTCGAAATCCGCGCAACGTCGGGTCAAAGAAGATGGGATGCCAGTGTCCTATGCTGTCCAAGGTATCATCAGCACAAACAGACACAGCACAAACAAACACATGCCATTTCATTCCAAGCATGTCAAAACACCAAACTGTACATTCCTCAGATCGATGCTCCAACAAGCCAGCAATCTCAAAAGACATATGACTCTCGGTTCCAATTTTTCACGTTCTAGCATCTCTGGAGGTAATTGCTTGGAACAAGACCAATGCCTCCGAGCCTCGTGCCCCTGCCACTCTCTTTGACTTCTGCCTCCCACCATCCGTCATCTTGCATCCTCAACACGGCCAGAATGTCGCCTTTGTGGAAACTCAGTTCTTCGGGGATCGCCGCTGTGTAACTGTACATTGCGCGAGCTAGACACGAAATCAGTATCAACCATATATTGTGAGGACGGGTCTATCAAACTCACCATAATGCAAGACCTGCGGTTGTGCTTGTGCAGCAGGACGATAAGGCATGGCCGCCAGGCTCTTGCTTCGCTCTCTTTTGAGCGCCATGTCCGTGTTCCCTCTTGGTCTTGCGCCACCGCCGTAACCTTGCTGCTGCTGGTAAGGGTCACCTCCGAAACTGGAATTTGGTCTCGGCTGCTCCTGCCGGCTTCTGTCTCTGGAATTGTCGTATCTTGCAACATCCTGCGAACTGAGCTGCATTTCCATGCCATTGCCGTTTCTCGGGGGCTGGCTCTGCTGCCAATGTTGTTGTTGTCGTCCACCCCCATACGGATTGGGAGAAGCTGACCTTGGCAGGGATCCGGAACTTCCGCCTTGGTGCATCATGCCTGGGGCAGGGCTGCGTGATCGCATATGGCCGTTAGTGAACGGATTCTGGGGTTGTGGACTGGCGCCTCGTGGCATCATTCCCGGCGGAAGTGGGCTCCTTGATCGTTGTTGATATTGGCTTGGTGGCTGTGGACTAGCCGCCCTGGGTACCATACCAGGGGCCGGGCTTCTCGCTCGTTGCTGGGGCTGGTACTGGCCTTGAGGCTGTGGACTGGCCGCTCTGATCATTCCTGGTCCTGGACTTCGTCTCCCATCTCGGGTCCCGGGTCGGGACTGCTGACCAGTTCTGGGATTTGAAGCCACTGAGCCGGTTCCCCATGTTTCTGTCCGGTTCAGCATTTCTTTCTTGGTATGTGCTGGTTGCGGCACACCAAGAACACTTTGTGGCTTGCCACTTGTAGTGTCGTAAGCTGGAGGCGGTGTCCCTCGTTGTGCAGCCATTCGTGCTTGACTATCAGCGCTCATGAAATCAGGTCGAGCAGCGGGCTCTTGGTCAGGTGCTGGTGTAGCAACCCCGTGGAATCGATCAACTGGAACTCGCATACTGGACTGTTTGGCCATCCCCGTGACACCGTTGGAGCTTTGCTTGAGGTCTGCAAGGGCTCGGGCAATAGGGTCATGCTCCAGGTCACCATCCGTGGCAGATGGTGGAGGAAGATATTGATTGCGGCGATTAATAGCATTGGCCCTCGGTGTTGATTGCTGATTGTCAGGGCTGGCCACGTCAAAAACATTATTGCCGACATTCAGTTGGAAGCTTGCTCGAGGATCAGGGGCCTCTTCCCCTTCGGGGGCCAGGTTCACCGAAGAGCGGTTGAAGAAGCTAGGAGCCTGTCGAGTGGGCGACTTCGTTGGACTGGACTGCGTGCTGCCTGGCACTGTCGGATTGAGATTTATCCTGCCGGCTGTAGATGCGCCTGGATTCCAGGTATTCCGGTTGGGAGGGCTGCTGGTGGAAATAGGGTCGTGTTCCTTTCTGGACTTGCGGCGGAATGGGCTATTTGAGAAGAAGCCCGATCGTTTCTTCTGAACAGACTTCTCAGGTGAAGCCATGCCGGGCAGACCAACTCCATTGACGGGGGCCATCTTGGTTGGAGAGGCTGCACCAGACATGGGCTCCGCACTGGTAAAGGAGCTGGGAGCCGAGTATTCGCTTTGGCTGTCTCTGCTCTCGGGTCTCGTGTTGGAAGATAGAGCAGACCCCGCCACAGACGAGGCATCCGCTCGACAAAACATCGTCATTCCATCAGTGGGATATTGGTTGTGCGGGACTTGAGGCACGTCGCCATGTTGGCTGGGGGAGTAGTTTGGAGGCACATTGGGTCCAGACTGTTTAAAATTGAGCGGTCTTGGACGACCACTGTTGACATTTGATGGTGTGGGAACATCATCCTCATCTGGGCCCATTGGCTCTTCGGATTGACGTTGTGGAGTGCCATTCCGAGTACTCCTCGTTCCGGTGCCGGTGCTTGAGTGCGTGGGTGAAGAAGAGCGGAAGGCAGGATTGGTGGTGCGTGAAAACTGGGCAACCGAGTAGTTCTCGTCTTCCGAAACCTCTGATTGACTGTCCACATCCCCGCGACAGAAATTGATATATCGTGGCGGGTCTGGAATTTCCTGTCCTGTGCCACACGTCTTGATGAAAGAAGTGATATCCTTTTCGACCTCGCAGTTCTCGAGAGCCAACCTGATCTTCTCGCACGACGCATCGTCCGATACACAAACCGTCGAGGCGATGTTGGCAAAGGCCCAAAGCGAGGACTTGGTAAAGTCAATTCGTTCTTCCTCCAGGTCCTGGAATTTGTCACACGCGGCTTTCCATTCCTTGTTCCATCGCCCAGTGGTTTCTTCCAGCACCTTGACGGCCGCTTCGTATTCGTTGGAGTTTGCAGCCATGTTGATCTGCGTCTTTTCCAGTTTGGCCTTGTTTTTCCGCTCCTCTTGTCCCATAACCATGTGGCCTTGGGCTAGGTAACCCTTAATCCGCAGACAATCTTGTTCGTACTTGTCTCGAGCCTTGTTGACGTGTGCGGTCTGAGCTTGTTTCAGTTTGAGTAACTTCTCGATTCCCGTCTGGATAATCTTGCGACGTTCCTTCATGCCTCCGGCAAACGCAGCCAGAGGTTCTTCCAGCTCGGACTTCATCTGCTGCGCTATCAGAGCGTGTTGCTTTCCCATGGACTCAGTTTCTCCGCGGGCGATGTCCAGACTGGCACGTAGAGTTCCTTGTTCCACGCTTCCCAGCGGTTTCCGTGACAGATTCAGTAGCTTCTTCGCGTAGTCCTCTTCCAGAGCAGCCCGCGCATTATAAAAGGCCTTAAGTTCATCACATGTCGTCTTCGCGTTCTGCATTCGTGTGAGGAGGGGGTCGACTCCCGCATCGTCCCGGCCCCAGAAGTTATTCGAAACTGTATCGAGGTTAGAAAAGGGTTGTCTATCTCATCCTTGTGGCATTCAGGACACTCACAGCTGAGAGGCACCGATGGAGGCGCCCCAGCTTCGGAGGCGGCGCCTGGTGGCATACTGCCAATGTGATCGCTGGTAATTCGACTGCTGCTGTGCCGAGAATTGGAAGAAGGACTTGAATTGCAATAGTTGCCAGCAACTACTACCATGTCAGCGTCCGTCTGTGTGTCTGTGCGCGCCGACGACATTGTGATTCTCGGAACTTGGACGTGCCTCGTAGTGGGTGTCCTTGCTTCGGAGCGCCTGATGAAAGGTCCGCCGTTTGTTTGGGTGTATGTGTTGCCAGGACGACACACCCAAGTCCTGCGGCGGATTGTTCGGCGCGGTGACGCCGTGGCGCAGCATAAATACGGTGAAGCACTAAACATTGAAACGACTAGTTGGAAACCCTGGAGCCTTGCGACTCGGACAACAAGGCTGTTCCCCATCACACAATAATAATGCACTCGCTTGCTTGCTTCCTACATACTCATTCTGACGATGGTCTGACAGTGGTAGCCACCACGAACCTCTAGTGGGTGCCCGAAGTCTATGCCTGCCTCGCTGCGTACATCGAACTCTGCCATCGGTGGGACTAATTCTACTGGCAATACCTAGTAAGTCCATCCATTTCCCGTTTGCCATATCCTGCATGAATCGTCCCTCTGCATATGACTCGAGCTTCTCTTCGATGTTGTGACACTGAGCCCTTATCTTCCCGAGTGCCGTCAACACCTGCCAACTTGAGGCAACCAGAAGAAGGGCAGATATCGGGTTGTGTTGGCAAGAGAGAAAGCTTGAGGCTTCCATTCACACGGTTGCCATGTCGCTTGAATTTGTGGTGCTCAAGCCTCCATGCCTCTAGATAGGACGCTCCTTTCTTGCTGTATATGCTAAAGCGAGAGCACGGCGTGATTTCCTGGACGTAGTGAATGTTAAACCACTGCAACCTTGGTCAGGTACCCCTGGGTGTTGAACGATTCACCCCATCCGATCTCGGCAACAGCGCGGTCGCTGATGCCGCCATCGAGTCGGCTGTCGACTATGTCGGCTAATGCCACTGTCGGCCATTCCAAACACGCACAGGTGGTCCACTGCATCTCATACTAAACCCCTTGAGGGGTGTTAGCGGCTGCACGCAATGATCGACCTGCTCTCAGGGCCTTCGAAGGATATAAGGGAAGCGTGCTGACAGCGCCCCTCCATGTGGGATAATAGCTGTCTTCCTGTCGGTGCATCGTTCCCGACAGGAGATTCGCAGCACGAGTCTTCCCTGCCAGGGTTTTATAGAATGCTTTAGATGGTCCTCGGCAATCCCAATCCATTCCAGAGCCCACCTGCAGCGCAAAACGCCCATGGGAAATGTGTAATCCTGCACTCCTGATGGCCCTTCCAATGACCCAGGTATATGGAATTCCAGCTGAGAACATGATAGGGCCAACTGGGCTATATAACAGTCTTCACAGGGCCACTTCAGATGTCGCCAGCGTGGAAAATGTAGGTGTGGATGCGGGCAAATGCATCAATCAAACCATGCACAGCTTTTCATTCATTGTCAACGAATGAGTTCGCAAGTGGACCAAAAAAGGGCACTTCGAAATGGTCGAGATTGTCCACATCCCGGTAAGCATGCAGAGCCAGAAAGCCGATCAGAACCAAATCAATCGTAAACAACATCCATGACAGAACTTGGGACCAGGATAAGAGCAGGTGTAGGATGAATATGACCGAGAAGAGCATACTGGACTGCCAGGCGTGGAACCGCACGTAGTCACTCTTATGTTCGAATATGAGAAGGAAGACGCCCCCGGCTGGAGGGAGCAACAAATATGCCAGCATGGCTTCGTAGTCCATCCTCATAGGAAGACTGGTTTCGAAAGCCTCCAGACTTTGTCCCCTTTCTTGTGCGGATCCAACAAATCTTGTCGCAAAGTTACTGTTCCCAACAAGGTTTGGGGGAGGTAGGGGCCTGGCTTCGGAGGCAGCACGAGGCGTAGGAGATGGAACATGCCCTGGAGCTGGCGATCGGACGCGCGGCGTGTCAGATGACACTCGACCTTTGTTGTTTGGAGGCGGAGAAAGAGCACGCTCCCTGTTGTACTGGTGAGTACTATACTGAGGATTTGCATCAAGGGTACGGGCATGCAGTGCTTACAACTCGGGAGATTCGTCCTGATACGGCGCGAAATTCATCTCGGTACCGGTCCAGGTCCACGCGTAGTCCGCATCGGCGACTCAAGCAAGGCAATTGTTTGAATGCGCCGTTGCTGATCTGTAGTTTCGCCCAGGACCAGTACAGGCAACTTCTGGACGAGGATATAGGAGTTTGTTATGAACTGCGAACTGGCGTAGGCGCCGAAAGGTGTACAATGTAGTTGCAGGTTGAGATCTGGGGAAACGCGACTTTGAAGCCACAACTGCAACTCCGCAGCCACGTTTGGACGCGGCTTCGCTTGGCAAATGGTACTGCGCCTCGGACTTCAACTTCCACGCCATAGCGCACTCAGTCTGCAGTCCGACGACACCACCAGTTGGGATCTCTGTATTTATGCCGTAGGAGCAAGATGTCGGGTTGATGTTATCGCTTGCCTCCCATACTTGGCTCCCCCAGCTTCCAGCAGTACCATTGGACGGACCATGGTTCTTAACCCAGTTTTGATTTCTTTCTAGCCTCTGGCCCTGGAGCCTCTCCCAGCAACACCACCCCGCCCAATGCCAGATGATGATCTTCGTACAGAACCAGTACCCCTTCTCACGGAACTGGCGCTGCTGCTGGTGCCTGTTCCGCCCACTGGCACGTACCCTGAGGACGGTGCTCTGGTGCCCCTCCCAGTGCTGCCAATTCTGCTTCCACCCCTGGACGGTCCTTTTGCTTGTTTCGCCTGCAGTTCTGCTTTGCGCTTCTCTTCTGCTTCTGCCTGCCTGGCTGCTGCAAGCTTTTTCTCTTGCGCCTCGGCATCTCGCCTTTCCGCCGCCCGTTGTTGCTCGAGCATTTCCTCCTCAATGTCGGCAATATCTTGAGTAGCTCCTTGCCACGCTGGATCGAGAATAAGTCGTTGATTATGTTCGGTCTGGGATAGTATTCGCGTCCATGTATTCAAAAGCGTGGAGGCAGCATCGACGGTGTTATTGACAACCTGTGGGTTCTTAGCACTGCGAGCAACTCTGCATTGGTGTCTCACTTACCCTCATGTTATCTTTTGCCTTGGAAAGGCTTTGGATGACCCCTTCAATGGCCAGATTGACTTGACGCACGCTATCCAGTTCACGGCGCAGGTTTTCTTCGTGCTGTTTTACATCTTCATATGTAGGCTGCGTATTGCTGGCATTTTTCGTAGACGGTTTGGCAGCTCCAGGTCTGTCCGCAGGATGTTCGGTTGATGACTGCGAATGGACATCATCACCCAGACCGCTTAGTTGAGAGTCGTCCATATTCATCGTCCTCCCGCAGATAGAAGCACACAGTCTCGTCGCAGGTGCAATCCGTTCAACACCATCTGCCCGCCAAGTGCGAAACTTGAACAGCCTGAGGACCAATGCAAACCAATGCAAACCGGAAATGGAAGCGACAACAAAAACCACTTTACGCGTGGGGCAGAACTTGAAGCGGGCGCGTCTATTGCTGGGCCGTTGACGCTCGGCGCGCCTAAATTGCCGCTGCGGTGTAATTCGCTCCCAGCCACCGAGCAAGTGGTTCTGGAAATCCTGCCCAACCTCGTCGTCAACCTCAATTCCCCAATGCTGCCATCGCCCCTTGTTGCCGTCCTGTCTTCGATATCTCCATCGTGTTCATTGGCAATTCATGTCGAAGACTGTTCTGCGTAGCTTCTTGGATTGTTGTCGCGGTACTGGAGAAACCCTGAATAACAGTGCTTCTGCAGCACGATAGCACCGCGGAGGCCTCCGGCAGCATCACGCTGCCACTGCCTTGCTTCAGTTCCTAGGAATTCACACAACATGGCTACCACACCGCCTGCCCAGATCACTGCCTCTCCAGAAACTCCTCCAACACCTCTTCACGGCGCAGCCTATGATCGCGAGACCCATCGTTCGTTGCGACGCGCGACACGCACAAGCAATAGGATTGCATCAAGTCAATTACATTCAGAACCAGTGTCACAGCGAAGAAGTTCTCAACGTCCGTCTTCTGTTGCGACTCCGAAATCCCCAGTCGCGTCTTCTGCAGATACCTCATCTGGCCTTCACTCTCCGCAATTAACGCCTAAGAACAAAGGCCGGCGCCGAGTACAAGTCATTTCACCATCGTCTCCTGACCAGCATACATCGAAGCTCCAGCCAGACGCGCCATCAAGCTCCCACTTACAACCGTTCCCTTCGTCTTCGGCTGCGACATCTGAGACAATGCTTCCAACGCCAGTCAAAACACCCCAAAAGAAGATGCCGCCCAAGGTGAGGGGCGCGGCCAGGGCGCTCTTTCAAGACGCTACGCACAATGTCCCAGCGCCCCAAGAACTTGCGCCGAGTCCTAGAAGAAGCCGTAGAAACAAGCGCTACAACGGTTTCTCGCTCGAGAGCTTCAGTGTGGAAGATGGTGGCGGCCAAGGCCAGATCCAAATCTTCACAGATTCTCGCGACGCGCTCCCACAACTTGACACCAGCATCTCGAATCCTTTCATGACACGCGCCGTAAATGCAGAGGACTCATCTACTCGCAAAGTACCTGGTACTGTCAAGCGACGCAAAGTTTCTGGCCAGAATAGGATGGACCCGCAAGTGGAAGAGGCAATTCGCAAGGATGAAGGCATGGTCTATGTTTTGTAGGTATTTCTATCTAACACACCTTGGTTCTTTGCTAACGTTTCTCTCTAGTCGCGGCAAGAAGGTCTACAGACGCTTTGATGACGGCGGCGAGGAGGAAGAAGAGATTGACCCCGAGGAGTTGGGACTGCTGGAACATACTCCGAGTCGATCCAGTGTCAGACCGTTGAAGACGCTTACGCGACGTTCCATCAAGCCTACGCGTCTATTCCAAACCGAAAAACTGCAACGCGCAGCTGAAGCGGAAAAGGAAGAAGAAGCCCCGACTGATATCGAGGATGACGAAGATTCTGGCACCGTTAGACCAGACCAGTCCAATGTCAGCAAAAGTAACGACCCCGTTTCTGCTCCGAGTACTGTTCGGTCGCTACGCTCCTCAAAGAAGCCCAACACCATTGCTGCAGATGAGATCCCACAACGGGAAGTTACTGTCCATCAACAAGCCAAGAAGGCCAAGCAGGGCAGTCCGTTCGACACTTGGCCCAGGGTCAAGTCAGGCATGCGTTCTTCCGGGACCTCAGCGAAGTTTAGGAAGCGATCTGCAGACGAGTCTCTCGATGACAATACTGAGTCCAGAACCGTGGAGTCAAAGAGGTCAAGAACTTGAGTCAGTTCAAAGGGTCGCCGATCACTAGGTTCAAGGGAATGGTCATTGTTCTGGAGAGTGTCTGATTGTATAACGCCCAATTCTGGGCACATCAGCGTTGTCCATTCGGGTTGCGGTGTTTCTTCCGCGAGTAAAGAGTATTTACTTGCGCTTCGAGCGGGTGGATGGCGCATGGTTTCTCGGGAAATAACAGGCTTTGGACAGTATCGATATTAAACGCGCCGACTCAACCTAGGATTGATGAGGAATTGCTGGCAGGCTAGCCGTTCTATTGATTGTATAACCATACTCAGTACGAAGTCAGTATTCTAATCTGTGTTTTCACTCGAGGAAATCGACATGCTTCAGCTTCGACGCTATAGGTTTACGTTCATTATGGCCATAGTACTGTATGCCCATGGTAGGCTTGTGACGACCCCAGCGATGTACTGTACGTTCGACCTAATGTTGAGGTGTACTAGTAGCAAACATATCTCAATCGACGCAGTCGTCTTCCAGTGCAGTCTCCTACTAGTGGTTCTTCACCAGTTAGTGAATTAGGTATAGCAGACTGCCTGCAAACAGGCGTATTAACCGTGCGACTAGCAGCACTAGCCTCACTAATGAGGGTAAGGTGCTCGTGGTTGCTGCGGCACGTGATCGCGCCAAGCCTGCTCCCGTCAAATCGCCCTACCCTCAACTTCAAGTTTGTCCAGACGAGACGTGGGAGGTTGACTCGGTCACTTCACGTTCTCTTTTGTGTATACCTTTCATCCTAATCAGCCCTTTCCCGGCTCTCTTACGCGTCGCCTCACCTGCTGCGCCTAGACCTTCATCAAACGTGAAACTTCGGCCCCGCGGGTTGACTCGACTTCCACCATCAACAACTCCTGCCTTCCCCAGAGTTATGATCGCTTCCCATGAGCTTCGATAACCCCTCCTCCTTCGCGCAGTGGCAGTCCTCTATTGCTTCGTCTTCGGATAAACAAACTCAGCCCAGACAGCCTAAGCCAGCCCAGTCGCCTTGGGGACAGATTCCATCCAACGCCAGCAGCAGGCGTGGTCTCACCCCCCTTGCGACCTCGAATTTGACGTCGAATACATCTGCAGGAACGCGCAGAGAACAAAAACTCGGAGATTCCGATCTCTACACATCTTCGGTCTCTCCATCTCTTGGCAATTTTCCTCCCCTGCTCGCCAGCTCGCAATCTCGCTTTGGTTCACGGCGAGGTACACCACCTGGATCGTCGCATTCAAACTCCCCTGTTCCCGCACTTCAAGCTGGCGCTCCTCAATCGCAAGGGTTTCAACATCGGTCCGTCACATCCCCCAGATCAAGAACACTCACTCCCTCGCAGCCGTCAGCCTCAGGTGCTGCTGGTACATTCTCCTCGCAGCCAGGCCCGGGGGCCGGTGGTGGAGGAGCCTACAGCAGGAGTGGTGCATATTCTCCTTCTTTGACAGGACCCGGTATCAGCTCCCCATCGAGCCTGAACTTCGAGCGATCTCCTAGTATATCCTCCAACCTTAGTGCGGCGCCGACCGGCCCCTCCTCGCTCTCGAAGATTTCTGCGACTCAGATACTCCTTCTCCTCGATACTATCAACGAAAGAGAGGGCAAAGCGAAGTGGGATAGCAAAGCAGAGAAGATCAGAAATCTTCTCGATTCGAACGGCATGGAGGTCTTTGCTCAGTTTTTCAGACGCACAGTCATACTGAACGCTGCTGCTATCTTCTCTGGCGCGAAAGACTTCGATCAGGGAAGCTACAAGCTGCTGCGGCAGGAGTTGGATAAAGTGCTTTGGGACCCAGAACAGGCGTACAAGATTGCAGAGGCTATTGACACGTCGAAGGAAGACTTTTTCCGTGACTTCGACCTGGTGACTTTCTTGCAGCACTTTTTCGTCGACACATTGCCCCAGGTCATTATCGCCATTGCGTTCACAAAATGTGCCCGTGTCGACCTCAGAACTAAGGCCGAGAACTTCCTGGCAGGATTTGGTCAAACTTCTCTGCGTACTCTTGCAGACAGCCGTGGCAATCCGCAGGCATATTCCGCCGAAAATGTCTGCGCGGTCATCGAATACTATGCTTTGGCTGCCGAGACAACATCACAGCAACAAAAGATCGACCTTTGGACGGCGCTATCCACGCGATATGCGTCTGTAAAGCCTGAACAGTTCTCAGCTGTGTTGACATCCTCCCAACTCCTGCGGATCACGAGCGAAGCACGTCAGATAGCACGTGGGCTCCAACGTCATGGGCCTAGAGCTACCGCATCAAAGCAGGCCGCACAGGATTTCTTAGGCTCTTTCGATCCGGCAACGATCACCGAGCTGGAAATAGCGAATGCTTTGTTATTCCTCCTGTTTTCCTACAACCAGCAGTATGATCTGGCAAGCTTCGTTGCTGCAGCGCAGACAAAGCAGCTGGACTGGAATGTGATGATCATGGGATTCGACATTGCCGACTTGCGGCTACGGCGGAACATGTTCCCGAGACTTTTCAATGCGCTCCTGCCAGTTGCTTTGGAGCAGCCACAATTCGACATCCAGAAGCTGTGGGGTGGCCACTGGAATAACCCAGACACACAGATATCATTTCTTGGTGGCTTCCTATCCAGTTCCCCGAAAGAGGTGCAGGTTTCCAGAATCCCCGGCTTCAAGCCCAGTTTGTCATTGGATGAATTTCCCAAACTTTCCGCCGACATGAGGAGGCAACTCGAGGTCGAACTTGAAGGCCCTTACGGGTCCGCCGAGGCCTGCGACACGATTTTTCGGGTTGTGTTAGCACCGGGCCCGACGCCTGACGGCGAAGATCGTCTCGATATCTTGCACGATGTTTACCAGAACCATGCCGCCATCTTCCTATTGTTCCTCTCTCGCATCAACGCCAAGCCCTGGTGCGCAGACCAAGAGAAGTTTATCGCCGAATGCTTCAGCCTGTTTCTCGAGAAGCAACGATCAGACTATCGTATGGTCCTGGAAACGCTCGCAGCCCACAATCACCAGTTTCTGTTCGACCTCTGCCATCTGGTTTTCCAGCTTGACCCACGGCAAACAGAAGTGGTGTATGAGCGTGCCGAGGAATTTGGCTGGACTGATGACTTCCTCAAACACTGGTCCAACCCGCTCGCTCTTGACATCGCCTGCATTCGGCACAAGGTTCAACCAGGATTCGACTTGGACAAATACATCTCTGAAGCAGGAGACGGACAGTCAAACCTGGGCATGATTCTCTGCAAATATTTGCGCATCAAGGCCGATGACGAATTCCGTGTCCAGCGCGGAGAATCAGCCCCACAGTCCGTACCGCTTAGTCTGCGGACTGTACATACACTTCTTGAGAAACTCGAAGACCACCTCGACAACCGTGAGCTTGTCGAGGCTGCACAAACTACTTGCTTACAAACGTACCCACGATTGATGAATTACGGTGCCGGATTCGACGATATTCTGGAAAAGAGCAGTGAGGAAAAAGGGAACAAGCTTCCCGAAGCCATCGACAAGCAGATGTCCGAATTGTTTGGACGGATGTACCGGTCGGAACTTTCGATTCGCGATATGATCAATGAAATGCGGAAGTATAAGACCTCACGCGACCCGGACCAACAGGATCTCTTTTGCTGCATTGTCCATGGCCTTTTTGACGAATATGTGTGTTACAACGAATATCCAGAGGATGCCTTGGAGAAGACAGCTCTTCTTTTTGGCAGTGTCATCAAGTACAAGCTATTGCCCTCTATTCCACGCGACTTCGGCCTGGCCCTCATACTCCGTGCCGTTCGTGAGAATGAACCAGATAGCCTCATGCATCGCTTCGGCGTTGAGGCATTGCTTCAGATTAGCGATCAACTAGCCGAATGGCCCGGATTGTGCAGCTTGTTGTTGCAAGAGCCTTCTCTTCAGCACCCAGAGATTTTACAGCGCGCGGAGGAAGGGCTCCGTGCTCAGCAAGCTGCCGGTAATGGCCTCGGCACCAATGGCATCGGGACGTCCCACGGAGTAAACGTTGAGGAGCACGCAAAGGTTGATGCAGGTCGTGGATTTAGGGCTTTACATGCCGACCCGCCTCCTGCCGGTGCCCACTTCAGAGATCCTGATCAGAAGGTGCAAGAGAAAATCCTGTTTGTCATCAACAACCTCTCAAAGGACAACATGTCCAGCAAACTGGCCGATCTGAAAGAGTCTCTCAGTCCGGAGCATTATCAGTGGTTCGCTTCATACCTGGTAGAACAACGGGCAAGACTGGAGCCAAACAACCAGGAAATGTACTTTCAGCTCATCAGCACGCTGAATGACAATCTTCTCATGTCAGAGATTATCCGAGAGACGTACGTCAGTATTGTCAAGATGATGAGTGCTGATTCGACCGTCAAATCTGCCACCGAGAGAAGCCATCTCAAGAACCTTGGTGGTTGGCTTGGATCCCTGACGCTGGCGCAAGACAAGCCAATCAGACACAGGAACATCTACTTCGTGGATTTGCTCGTGGAGGGTTACGAAACTCAGAGACTGATAATCGTCATTCCTTTCACCTGCAAGGTCCTCGCCCAAGGCGCGAATTCCATGGTGTTCAAACCTCCGAACCCCTGGTTGATGGAGATCATCCATGTTTTGGTGGAGCTGTACCATTTCGCCGAGCTTAAGCTCAACCTGAAATTCGAGATTGAAGTCCTTTGTAAGGACCTCAAACTCGACTTCAAAAAGCTCGAGCCTGCAACTCTCATTCGCGATCGGCCCCAAACGGACGACGAATTGACAAATGTCTCAGCACTCCCAGATGGGCTGGAGAATTTCGACGACTTGTCTCTCAATGGTGCAATAACCCGAGGGGTTCGCGAGCGTCTTACAGCTCCAGAAATCATGGCAACGTTGCCCAACCTGGAAGAGGTGCTCAAATATCCTCCTGCATCAGGCTCGCCAGCCGAACAAGCCATGGTTAAGAACATCATCTATTGCGCGTTTGATCAGGCTATTCAAGAAATCATTGCCCCAGTCGTGGAACGTTCCATCACCATTGCCTCCATCTCGACCAAAGAGCTTGTAGCGAAAGACTATGCGCTTGAGCCTGACCCAGAGAAATATCGTAACGCCGCTATTCAGATGGTCAAGTCTCTGGCCGGCAGTCTTGCTCTCGTGACATGCAAAGAACCACTTCGACTGAGCATTTCGAATTACATACGTCGGCCTGTGCAGGATGACCTCCCAGAGCATCTGCTTCCAGAAGGCGCCATCTTGATGTGTGTTAATGACAACTTGGATGTTGCATGCTCATTCGTGGAGCAAGCTGCTGAACAACACGCCATTCCTGAGATCGAGCGCGCTATTGAGGCCGAACTGGAAGAGCGGCGTCGGTTCAAAGCAGAAGGAGGGAATAGAGAGTTCATACCCACAGGTATCAACCGCTGGTCTGCGTGGATTCCAGAGCCCTACAAACAGACCGTTGGTGGCCTTAACGAAGCGCAGCGCGCTGTTTACGAGGATTTTGACCGCCGAGTCCACGGAATGAGTGCAAACATGAGTGCATTGAGTGCAAACCAAGCGCCTACCCCAGTCACCGATGCTTCTGGACGCCAAATTCCGGACATCCTCCAAGAGCCTCTTACCATGCCTAATCTATCAACTCCCGCTGACCAACCTTCACTGCCGCATCAGAGCCCTTTGATTCAGCAGGAAAACCGCATGCTCGCAGCGATGCAGCAACCCCGTGTCAATGGATTTGCCGACGCCCTCCCACCGCACGAGCGGATTTCCATTCTCATCGAGGATATCCAAAAGGCGGCCAGATCATCGCAGGCTACTCGTCTCAAGGAGTTGGAGAAGAACAGTTCCATTTTCCAGGATTTTCGACAAATCCTCATTGTCCTCACCTCTTCAACCCGTCCTGCGGCTGACCTTTTGGCCAGGCAGATCGCCGAGAAGATCTGCAGCATCTTTGTGTCGAAACCACCCCAAGGCTCGCTTGAAGCTGAAGTGCTAGCGTTTCTGCTTTCAAAACTCTGCCAATTGTCGGAGCTTATTGTGCGCGACGTATTGCGGTGGATGAGTGCCAACGAGGATCTTTTGCTGGCCAACTCTAATGTGGTGGTTGCCCTTGTCACTGTCGGCTTAATGGAATTTGCCAGGGTTGACGTGGCCATTGCGTCCATGTTGATGAGCAGGAACACGCACGGACTACAAGTGCTTTCAGACATGTTGGACCAGACACTGTTCACCAGCGAGCCAACCGCCCTTCGAGCTGATTTCGCGAATAGTCTGATTGCTATGTCCACGTGGATGAAAGAGCAAGAAGACCTTCCCATTGCAAACGAAATCAGCCAGAAACTGAGTGCTCACGGCATCCCGCAACTAGTCAGCGTGGAGCTAAACGACAAGGCCAAGGCCAAGCAGGAACAGTTGCGCTACATCTTCGACGAATGGGTGACCATTTTCGAGAACATTGGCGTAAATGAAGGCACATGTGCTGCATTCCTTACGGAATTGCACAAGGATCAAATTGTCAGCAACACTGAAGACCTGACTGAATTCCTGCGTCTGTGCGTCGACGCTTGCATTGAGTGCTATGACCGCGAGGCGCAGAGTGTTCGTGGTAGCGTTGATGTTGCCTTTTCTCATGCAGACGCTCTCGCCCGTTTGGTGATCATGATGGTCAAATATCACGGAGATACCAACGGTGCTGTGCAGTTCAGCAAGGGCCCTTATATGGAGACTCTCCTTACGATTCTCGTGCTGATCTTGAACCATCACCAAAATATGCGTGGGGTTGGTTTCCATCAACGACTCTTCAACCGTCTTTTCGCAAATATGCTGTACGAATATTCGGCAGCTCGGCTGGATGAGACTCCTGAGCACGCGGACTTGATGCTTGCCTTCGCCCACTGCTTCAAATCTCTGCAACCTTCATGGTTTCCAAGCTTTACCTACGGGTGGTACAGTCTCATCGTGCACCGTGTTTTCGTCTCCGGCATGCTGAGACCAAACAATCATGCCGGATGGGACGCTTATCGGGAGCTCATTGGTCTGATGCTGCTTTACATTTCAGAGTTGTCCAAGACTCCTGGCCTCGACCTCTTGAACCTTGACCTGTACAAGGGCACACTGAGGAACATCTTGGTCTTGTTGCACGACTATCCTGAGTTCCTCTGCGAAAACCATACATACTTCTGCTCCCGAATCTCATATGAGATTCCTCAACTCAGAAATTTGATCCTCACTGCTAAACCATCAGCCTATCACGATCTGCCCGATCCAATGACACCCGGATTGAAGATTGAACGTCTAGATGAGATGAAGAGGCATCCGATACTGGCACACGATTATGATGCACCCCTTCAACGTGAGCAGCTCAAAGATATCATTACTGAGGTTCTTCGCAAGACTGTCGACGTTGAGGTGGGGTTGAAGAAAATCACAACCGTCCTCCAGGGCGAAGAGCTTCCATCCTCAGCGCTGGCCCCCGCCAAGAGTGTGGAAATCATCAACGCATTGGTGCCGTATGTGGGACAGGATGCACTGAGCGGCTCGCCTGGGAGGTTTGAGCCCAACTCCATGCCGGTCGTGTTCCTGTCGAGGCTCCTTGGTGCCTTCTCGTTTGAGAATCGGTACAAGCTTCTCAATGCCATTGCCGATCAGATTCGCTACCCGAATTCCCACACTGACTTCTTCTGCAAGCTGATGCTTCATTTATGGGGCACTGGAAACGTGGATGAGCAGCAGCGCGACTTTCGTGAACAAATCTGTCGCGTGGTGTACGAAAGACTCTCTGTCGCTCGGCCTCACGTTTGGGGAATGACCATCCTCTTCATTGAACTGCAGCAGAACGCGACCTACGGATTCTGGGATGCTGTGGCTCAGGATGCAAACGTCCAGCAACGTCTTCAACAAGCCATGAGAACTACTCATTAGTCATGGCACCTGCAGTCTCTTGCCACAAAATGGGTGGCTTGAACCAGCCTACGGGAATCTGGTTCTTACATTGTGTTCAGTACGGTGGAGGCGGGGACTGGATGTTTCCGCCATGCATTGGTTTCACCTAATCCTTTCTTGTACACAAGTTCTTGCAGTTCTGTACGCCGGTGGCTGGGTTCGTCGGATCTGTCTCTCGCTCTAGCGTGCACATTGAGGAAGCGATGATTGCGGGAGAGACAGGGAATGCACTGGAGGAGTCTGAACGGCCTCTGGAGGTGAGCAGGGCGGCAGGACTCGGTTACGGACATATTCATTGCATGAGGGACGATTGGAGTTTTAGGATGATAGCACGTTACGGGGAGAAAAGTGAGACATATTGTTAATGCTGGACCTGGTTAGAAAGCCAGGGTTTTGTCTGTAACGGCTGAACAGCGCATTGCTGGGTTGTTAATCCCAATCTGAACATTGTAATATTCTCACCGCAAGGGAGGCCGAGATCGAGGTCTGGTCCCTACTAGTACTTTGCTCACCAGTAGTGATAGTAGTACCTGGTAGTAGGTACAGCACTCATCAGCACTGTAGTATGTACAATACCTATGTTTGTATGCGCAACTCGTAGCTGAATGTGGGCACGGAAATGCGTACTACAACGGTGGAGAGCTAGCATGTGGCTGGTGATGAGAACTCCTACAGCTTGCAGCCAATGTGGTGAGTTGCGTGTCAACAAACAGGGCTGCCCTGCGTAGATTTAAATTGCAGCTGCGCCCTCAGCCCTGGTTGCGGGTGCCAAAGCTGTCCCCATGGTTGCCCTTTCCTCTGGTCGGACCAGGAATCGTCCACTCAGAACTCCACGGAAAGAAGGGCATGCGCCACCACTTTAATCCGGCAGCCGCTGTGACATCACTCGACGTCTCCATCATCGACGGCGATCGTGCACATGATTGGTGCGTGCGGCAACTGACATCACTGCGCACACCTCGTCCAGCTGAACGCGAATTTGAGCTGGACTGCCACTGCCAGCGCCAGTCAAACTTGAAGCCCGTACAATTAATGTTGTAGTAGTAGTGCCTGTGTAACAGTGCCCAGTGTCCCCTGCCCTCGCTTTGGTGGAGCGCATCTGAAGCCATCTCTCGCCTATCCTCGACAGTCTGTCCTCGTCCGATTTCAAATGCCAATGCGAGATCCCGCGGCAGCCCAACCCCTGTCAGTGCAGCTGGTCTGGGCATCGCAAACATTCATGTTACTCCATACTACTACGACAACTGGGTCCCTGTACGTACAATACTAGTCAAAGTGGTGACACGTCCACTAGCAGTTGGGGCCGCAACCTGGATCTGCCTTTAGTGTCCAAGTTTTGGCGCAGTCTGGCCGCGACTCGGACGGACAAACATCGTCATACCCACACCACGGCACCCTCCAAGTCCACCACATTCAGAGACACACACATCTTCACCGCCGAGTATATGTCCAGCGTTCAGTGAAGGGCGTGGTTGCTTCTTCCTAACTCGACAACTTCCCAACTTCTCTTCATCACCCCGACACCCGCGCGCAAACATCCTCCCTACATCCTTGAAATCAATCTCCTGTTCCTCATCGCGAGACGCAGAGAGTAAACATTCCCAGGAGTACTTACACACCCTCCCTGTCCCTCCCTCCCCGACAAGGGAACAGTGTCGACAATGGAGGAGACTCTCACGCACGTCTTGTACCCTCGACAGGTTCGTCTCCTCCGTCAATCAACAACACCTGCGCTAACAGTGAAATAGTCACAGGGCAGCAATCGAAACAGCGGCTCGAATTCGCTGTCCGGCATCATCTCTACTCTCGTCCCAACATTTGTGATTGCATCGCTTGCCTTCACCGGCTTCCTCATCCTCCGAACCCGGTACTCGCGCGTCTACCGGCCACGGACGGATGAGCGACTCGTGGACGAGGATGGACGAACTCCACGCTCAGACACCGGCTTCTTTGGCCTGCTAAGAAACTACTCGACCTTGCCCGATTCCCACGTCCTGCGCCATAACTCCCTAGACGGTTATCTGTGGCTACGGTTCTTCAAAGTCCTCATCTTCATCACCCTCGTCGGCTGTGTTATCACATGGCCTGTCTTGTTTCCCGTCAATGCCACAGGCGGTGGCGGGCAACAGCAACTCGATATCCTTAGCATGAGCAATGTCAACAAGCCGGTTCGCTACTATGCTCATGCGTTAGTGGCATGCGTCTTCCTGGGGTTTATCTTCCTTGTCGTCGCCCGCGAACGACTGAACTTTATTGGCCTGCGACGAGCATATTTCCTCTCAGCTGCCCATGCTCAGCGCCTTTCCTCGCGGACGATAATGCTGATGGGGCTGCCCCACGAGTACATGGAAGAGCGTGCCCTACGTGAGCTCTTTGGTTCGAGTGTGCGAAAGATCTGGATGGCCACAGACTGCAAGACGCTGGACAAGGACGTCAAGAATCGGCGCAAAACAGCTTTGAAGTTGGAAAATGCCGAGATGAAACTGGTCAAAGATGCCAATGGCCGTCGCTTGAAAGCTATGAAAAAACAGTCAAGCGAATCAGCAACGACCACGTCCGACCCGAAGCAATGGCTGGACGAAAAGAAGCGACCTTCGCACAGACTGAAGCCACAAATCTGGAAAAAGGTCGATACTATCAACTGGTCGCGAGGCACGCTTTCGGAATTGAATCGATTTGTCCAACAACAACAAAACGAGCATCTCGATCTGAAGCACCCCAAACTACCCGCTGCCTTCATCGAATTCTCGACACAGTCCGCAGCCCACTATGCCTACCAATCGGTTGCCCGTGATTCCAGGACCAAGTTCAACCCTAGATATATCGGCGTTCAGCCCGAAGAAGTGGTCTGGAAGAACCTGAGCGTCAGCTACACGTCTCGCAAATCTAAGATGCTACTCGCGACCGCCTTCATCTGGGTGATGATCATTTTCTGGGCGATTCCCGTTGCTTTCGTTGGTGCTCTGTCGAACATCAATTATTTGACAAACAAGGTTCACTTCTTGAGCTTTATCAACAAGATCCCGAAGGTGATCTTGGGAGTTGTTACTGGTCTCCTGCCGGTGGTTCTGCTGGCAGTGCTAATGGCTCTGGTGCCGATCATCTGCGGTCTCCTGGCTAAACTTGCTGGCGAGCCCACCTTGTCGGCGGTTGAACTTAAGGTACAATCGTGGTACTTTGCATTCCAGGTTGTCCAAGTATTTCTGATTACTACGTTCACATCAGGTCAGTATATACTTTCCCTCCTTTGCAAATAGAATGCACCGGCTAACATTGCATAGGCGCCGCTGCTGTTGCCTCACAAATCGTCCAAAATCCCGGATCGGCGCCCACTTTGCTTGCGACCAACTTACCCAAAGCATCCAACTTCTACATCAGCTACTTTATCTTGCTCGGGCTGATGCAAGCTGGGCTTCAACTGCTCAACATCGTTCCGTTGTTGATGTACACCTTTGTCGGCAAGATCCTGGACAAGACTCCTCGGAAGAAGTACAACCGCTACGTTAACATTCCTGGCCTTGGCTGGGGTTCGACCTATCCCAAGTTTACTCTCCTTGGTGTCATCGCCATCACCTACTCCTGCATCGCTCCTTTGATTCTGGGCTTCGCCACCATTGGATTCTGCCTGCTCTATCTCATGTTCCGGTACAATTTCCTTTTCGTCCTGGGTAACAAGACGGACATGAAGGGCGAGGCCTATGCCAGGGCCTTGAAGCAGCTGTTGACGGGTGTCTACCTTGCGGCACTATGCCTGATTGGACTGTTCGCCATCGGTTGCAGCAAGAGTCCCAGCAGTGCCGGTCCTCTTGCCATCATGGTGGTCTTCTTGGTTGTGCTCATCCTTGCACAGATCATGCTCGACCGTGCACTAGCGCCGATGGAGCAACATCTTCCCATCGAGTTGCTGTCAAACAACAAGTACAGCACAACTCTTGTGGAACAAACCATCGACGAACACGAGATGAAGCAAGAGCGCATGGAGGCTGGCACTTCGATCCGAGGGAACTCTGTCCCTGATGGGGCCAAGTCCGAAACAGATGCGCCGGCACCCCCAAAGAAGGCTCCGTTCAATTTCCTCAGTCGTCGGCTCGAGCCCCTTGTTCACCGGTACTACGAATCCAACAAGTCAATCGTTCCGCAGTCTGATTCTGACGCCTTGATTCCCGCCTATACTTCCGAGGAGTATGAACAGGCCTATCTGAACCCGTCGATTACCGACCCGTCTCCCATCATTTGGCTCGCCAAGGACAAGGCCGGCGTCAGTACGATGTTGGTTCAAGAAAACAAGGACGCAGGACTTCGGAGCACTGATGAGCAGGCTGAACTGGACGACAAGAATAAGCTCGTCTGGCATGAGGAGCGTGTCAACGAGGCACCGTTGTGGGAGAGGCCGGTGAGATATTGAGCGGACATTGTCACCGCGCGTCAGCTCGCATGTGGATCGTAACCAGTCGACCCAAAATGATACCCTGCTGGATTATTAGTGTAGTGTATTGGTGATCCTTTTTAATTTGAGTATGGAATCCAAGCTCAGACAGATGTATGAACAATGAAATATACTGCTGTTCGAAGTCATGGCCAATTATTGTGCCTGGGCTGATGTTCAAGTTGGTTAGTAGTACCATGTGTGCTGTTGAGGTGTTCATACCAGCAATAAATTAATATCGCACGTCATAGCACTGATCAAGTCTGCATGTGGAAACAAATCAACCACTGCAGCTTTGGCATTACCTGCGTGCTGTCGTATCTTTTTTCCTTGAAACAGGCCACCCCCGGAATCTGGTATGCTACAGCTTGAGGGTTCGCCGGTATCCTTCATGGACGACTAAGTGCGAACCCGCGGGTTCGATCATTTTTGGGCCGAGCCGGATGGAGCGCAATGGGACTCATTCAGCCGACCTTAGATATTGTGTCGCAGACTGCGCGGCGTTCTAGAATGGCTGTTCTTCCATACTCTGGCGACGACGACAAGTCTGATTCTCTCGTCCAGCGGGCTGTGGTGAGAGGCCGTGTCCATCATTATACCTTTTTGTGTTCTGACTGACCGTTTGCAGAATGTGGTGGTTGCACCCCTTCGACTGCTCACCTCACGCACCGCGGTGAAGGCCTACCTCAGTACCATTCTATTCCTGACCACGTCCACCCTCCTCATCACTGTGTCCTCCGCCGCATATGCGCTCTTCTACTACAGATACATTCCTCAAATCAATCTGGAGCGAACCCTCTACTTGCAATATGGAAGCGGTGCACATCCTTACGCAACCACGGCTCTGGACACATCGGCACTGGTGTCGCAGCAAGCTTACGACGTGGAGCTAGTCCTCCATATGCCTCGGACGCCCAACAATATAGAAGCTGGGAATTTCATGTTGGATCTGGCGTTGCTGGGACCTGGGATCGACCCGAAGACCCTTCCGGAAACCATCACATCCTGGCTTGCCAACATTACTTCGGACAATGTGCTATACCGCTCACGCCGGCCCGCAATCCTTCCATATTCGTCGCCTATACTATCACTCAGTCACACGTTTTTGCACCTTCCATGGCATTTGTTGAACCTACGCGATCTCGACTCCGCTCGACTGGTCGTGCCCATGTTCGACATGTTATCTTTCCCGCGTGGATCGCGTTACATCCCGACCCATGCGAGATTGGAGCTTCAAGCAAGCACCGTCCTGCAAGTGTACGAAGTGAAACTTGTGTTCCGTGCCAGGTTCCAAGGACTACGGTATTTGATCTATAATTACCGCATCACCGCCTTCCTCCTCTTCTCCGCTGCATTTTACACCGTCAGTGTGGCCACCATGGCTTTGGTCTGGGCAGTCATATCGGCCTTGATCTCTTCAAGCTCCGAACCCAGCGAGAGGAAAGCCCTCAAGCAGGAAAGTGATGACGCAGATGGCCGTGCTAAAGCAGAACCGGAGTATGGCCGGCCTGTCAAGATTAAGAGAGAAGACGAGGCAGGGTCGCCAACCGGTGGCTTGTCCCTGTCGAATGTGCAGTCTTCCCCTGTAGACGGAGAGCAATATTCAAACCTTCCTGGGCGGAGTTCTGCCGTGGAGCCAGGAGAAGAAGATGTCGACGACTACACTTTGACACAGCCCATCGGCCCAGGAGAGGCTGCGGACGACGAAGACGAGCTGGAAGAAGCCGAAGAGTTCCGTGGGAGATCATTCGAGGGGGATTCCGGCATCGGAACGAGTATGGAAAGTGAACATACTGCGTCAGGGCTTTTCAGAAGACGAAGCTCAAGAGCACTTGGCCACACATCAATCTAGTCTGTACCAAGGTTTACCCCTGTCCATACGGTACATGTCCACCTCGACTTTAGGAGTTATTCAAGATCTTATCGACGATGCCCGCCATCGCTACGAGATTCTCGTCCTCCTGTCTCATTCCGACCAGTTGGAGAGTGGTTGGAGCACCCTGGTAATTATCAGGGCCAGTGTACATGGCGTACACCTTTTCATCGTCTGGCCCGTATTTGGCTGCATTATCTGTCACGTCTCCTGGTCCGACCTTGCCTGTGGGAATGATGCAAGAAGGGTAGTCAACCAAGTTCCACAAGGCCTGCGTTATGCCGGGCCAGGTATCCAATGGCGGTGCCGTGTGCGGCGCCAGAGTGTTCAGGATGGCGTCAAGGTTGTTCTCAAGCCAGAGATCCTTGTACGCCGTTGCAGCTTCACGCCGTGCCACATTCCAAGCAAAGAGGTCTTGCAGAGACTTTGGTGGCATACTCACCAAGCCGACCCGCTTGACCGATTCAACGAAGGGCTCGTTCGCGGAAGAGATGTACTCAAGGACAGTCTGGCAGTTTGTTAGTCGGGACTCTGAAGATTCAAACACCGCATACCTTTGACCCCTCCAGCGAAAAAGACGCCCATATAATTCCAATGTCTCGAGCCACGTTTGGCAATTTGATGGCCACGATTTCCATTCCAGCCTTCTGCAGCTTGGTTTTCGCCTCTGCAAGTGCGCGTCTCATGGGCGGTGTTGGAGTGAACAATCCATCATCTTCTATGACACCAATCCTTAACTTGCCTCCATTGGGAGCTTGGAGCCCTCGCCATGGAATGTGTAAGCATTCCACGTCGACCTTCCATGGCTGGTTGCTCATGATTGTCCTCATGATGAGCTCACAGCTGCGTAGGCTTGTTGCCATTGGGCCGGCGACGGGCTGGATGCCTGGCAAACCCGCAGCGGCGGGACTCTGCTGACCAGCATAAGGCACGATATTGGCCGATGGTTTGAACCCATATATTCCGCAACAATGACTCGGGATACGAATACTGCCGGCTATGTCGGTCCCTATACCGACGATGCTGCCGCGCATCGCAATTAGTGCGCCCTCACCCCCAGAACTTCCACCAGCGGTCAATGACCGATTGTGAGGATTCATGGTACGCCCGAAGATATTGTTGTCGGAGTCTGCGGTCATCATCGTCTGGGGAACATTGGTCTTGCAGTAGAAGACCGCGCCCAGGTCCAAAAACAGTTTCGGCAATGCTGAATACTCGCTGCAAGGCTTTTCAGCAAAATGCACAAGCCCGATTGTTGCATCGAATCCTGGAATGTTGAAGCTGTCTTTTAAAGAAATGGGCAGTCCCCAGAGTGGAGGGAATGTTTGCGTCGGGTTTGCGGAACAGTCGTCGTCGAGTTTCTTCGCTCTCTGGAGGGCAGACTCGAACATGATCTCCGTCAAGCAATTTGTCTGGGAAGCGATGTCAGTACATTACGGCTGGCTATCATTCATGCATGCCAACCAGCTCGGATCGGACGCCCTACCAGCTGTTGTGCGATTGCTGCCCTTTTGCAAAACGCCGTCACCACCTCTGTCACACTGTACCCGCCATCTGCAGGCCCTTTCCTCAACATCTCCAGTAGCCCTACTGCGTCGTAGTTTTCGGTTATCTCCAACTCTCGACTACTCAATAATCCGCTCTTGGCCGGGACATGGAGTACATTGGCTGTCGGGCTCGAGGTATACTCGTGCAATTTCGTCTCGGGGATGAGCCATTCTTTCGGAATCAGCTTAGAGCGCGCTTCTTGTTTGCGTGCTGCAATGACATGATAGGGGTCTCGTGAACCACTGATCGACGAACTGGCCATTATGAGATACACCCTTCGGAGAGCAATGTGGGTGCGATGTTTGAGAGGGCAGGGAGTTTTCTCTGGAAGTTTGCTGACGGTCTTTAAATGGAGATCCTCTGGCAATCTAAGAGCCTCCAACACGGCTGCTAAAAGTGAAGGTATCTACCACAGTCACAAAACGAGAGTTTGCGGGATCTCTGGCTGATGTTACATACCCCTGGCTGATGAACTTTGGGAGCCAGTAAGAGACAATTGCGCGCTATATTTGTCCTCGATCCGATGTTGTCACCCCGGCACAAGACTGCAGCGTAGAGCCACACTGCAGGACCCCTCCTAGACGATATCAATTGGACTGGAGACGGTCTTATACATGCCGACTCTCGTCTTCATCTCCTGGAGACACTATTTGAAGGGGACGATGGCACTTGTAAGTAGTGTCTGTATTTCTGTCAAGAATCAGCCGAGGCAAAATCGCGAATCTCTCCAAACGTGGATTTCATATCCGATTGCCGAATGCGGCGATCAGTCGACGACAATCTGATGGGAATCCTTGTTCAGCGCAGCATGCTCCTCTCAATCGGGATCATCTACAGCATGCTTCGATGGTCAGTTATAGACGATGCGGTTCAACTCCCTGGGCCTTCCGCTGGAATACTGCTCTGCAGAGTACCGGCATCAAATACGTGAAATGCCGGCTCAACCAGCATCTACCACAACCAATCCCCCCACTCCGTTATGGACTCCGCAAAACCCAGAGGCGACACCTGTGTCCAGATACCGCGAGCGCATCAATGCAAAGTTCTCGAAAAGCCTGAAAGACTCCCATGAACTTCACGAATGGACTGTACGAAATCCCCATGAGTTCTGGATCGACTTGTATGACTATTCTGGCATCGTGCCCACCCTACCGAAGCACACAAGGCTTGCATACAACCCCAATCTGCGACTCAGCGACATTCCCACCTTCTTTCCCGGACTGAAAATTAACTACGCGGAGAATGTACTTGTTGCAAACACACAAGCCCGGCCTTCCGCTGTCGCCTTGGTTGGTCTGAGGGAGAGAGGTCTCGATCATCCAGAGAACATTACCTGGTCCGAATTGACCGAGTTGGTTCGCATGGCCAGATCCGCACTGGTTCGTCATGGTATCAAGCAGAACGATGTCGTGGCCGCACTCATGGCCAACTCTGTCTGGATCATTGTCCTTTTCCTTGCCTCGGCCTCCATGGGAGCTATATTCACATCGGTGTCGCCGGACATGGGGGTAGCAGGCTGTGTCAGCCGTTTCGCCCAGGTCTCTCCCAAAGTCCTCTTTGCTGATGTCGACCTGGCCGTCAGGGGAGTGCGGCCGTCACTGATGGGGAAAGTGATGCAGATCCTGCGATCACTCCCGTCGGAAACATCAAAGCCCATGGTTGTGTTTGTGCCGACGTGCCATCGGCCACACCTGCGACAACATCTGGACTATGTCAAGCCATTGGGGATCTCATTACATACTTTCCTGCTCAAATCAAGACCGACCGACCACTTGACCTACACGCGTGTACCGACTGACCATCCGCTAATCATCGTTTATTCATCCGGCACGACCGGCGAGCCCAAATGCATCGTGTCGCCACATATCTCGATCCTAAACTACAAGAAGGTCGCCCTGCTTCACAACTCTCTAGGTCCGCATAGCACCGTCTTTCAATACTCTTCCACCTCATGGATCCTGTGGAACGTGATGAACGGCCATTTGTCAGTCGGCGCCAACATCATCTGCTACGACGGCGGAGCGCTGTACCCAGATCCTTCGACGCTTCTGAGCATCTGTGACAAGTTCAAAGTCACCTACTGGGGCACATCGCCACGATATCTTCTGGAACTCGAACAATCAGGCATCAAGCCATCATCTTTCGACCTGTCCAATTTGACTCTAGTCACGACAACCGGAGCCACCCTCACAGGCGAGCAATTTCGATGGTTCTACTCCGCCTTCCCACGTCGGATTCACTTGTCCTCAGTCGCAGGCGGCACGGAAATTGCCTCGTCCTGGATCGCCACCGACCCAGCAGGACCAGTCTACGCCAACGAGATGCAGATGTGGGCGCTCGGCCACCACTGCGACATTCTCGACCCGGACACAGGCGAATCCATCGCCATGACGGGCCAACCGGGCGAACTGGTCTGTCGAGCGCCGTTTCCCAGCATGCCATGTAAATTCTGGGGCGATGACGAGAACCACAGCAAATACCGCGCGGCGTACTTTGAGAAATTCGAGACTCCCACAGGCTACCTCGACGTATGGGCACAACACGACTTCATCGTCATGAACCCAGCCACACGCGGCGTACAAATCCTAGGCCGCAGCGACGGCGTCCTCAATCCCTCCGGAATCCGCTTCGGCAGCAGCGAAATCTACAATATCGTCGAAGGCCCCCAATTCAATAGTGTCCTCGCCGACACATTGTGCGTCGGTCGTCGTCGCGCCCAGGATAAAGATGAGACGGTTTTCCTGTTTGTCGTCATGGCGCCCGGTCATGAGGACGAGTTTAATGACGCCCTTGCCACACGTATCAAAACTGCTATCCGAGACGGCCTTTCACCACGCCACGTGCCGAAATTTGTTCTTCCTGTCCGCGATATCCCGTACACAGTCAATGGCAAGAAAGTTGAGATTGCGGTCAAGAAGATTATTAGCGGGAATGATGTTAAGGTTAGTAGTACGCTTAGGAACCCGGAGTGTTTGAGGGAGTATGAGCGGTTTCGTGATTTGGAGAGAGTGCCTAGAAGGGAGAGGTTGTAGATTGTAGATTGGGTCTCACATACCTAGGGAAGCAAGTTGTGTCGACGGGCGAAAGATGCTTGTGGAGACAACAATTCGGTTGCATTTCGCTGGAGCTAGAGCTAGATATCACGAGTCTCGCTCACAACGAACGAGCATTGATATGCTTTCCTGACGTGCTATGGGACTACTACTACTCACCCGTCGTCAGATCGTTCGCGTATATGTCATCTGGGTGTGAGTGTGGTCCGGGGATCTGGGAATAGTATTCGTCTTCCTTGACATGGTTAATCTGATTTGGCGTCGGCCGCGGTTTAATACTCCCAAAGGATCCGCTACATACCAGGTACCTGGTACACAACCTTGTGGATGGCCATCAGTTCCTGTATGATGGCCGAGAAAGATGCCCTCCTTTTTGTTCTTAGCCATGCAAAGCTTTGCTCGGTGAAGCCGAAATGTACAGTAACCGCTGATCCAAGTTGGAATCATTCAATGTTTTATGGTTATTCAAAATTAGAATTACAAGGCCTATTCCATGGAAACATCAATTTATGACGCAGCCTCAATGATCTCACTGGGCCATATAATGATATAAAAATGGAACTATTTCCCCCTCCATCGAATCTCCGGCAACTTCAGCGCCAAACTACTCAGGACTACACTGACGCTGCTTGCAGCCATGGCCACACTCGCCCACACAGGACCTAACCTCCACCCTGCATGGTGTTCAGTCGCGCCCACTGGGAAGAAAACTCCTGCAGCAACAGGCACAAGACAGATATTGTACACGGCGGCCCAGGCGAAGTTGAGCTTCACTCTCAGGAAGACCCGTTTGGCCAGTCTGACAAGCGAGAGGATTGTGTTTAGATCGGAATTGAGAAGAATAAACGAAGCGGTGGTTACTGCGACGTCGGAACCGGTCGACAGGGCAATGGAAACGTCCGCGGCGGAAAGCGCAGGAGTGTCGTTTGTGCCGTCGCCGACAAATGCAATGATGCGGCGATGTTTGTGTTTGTGTTTGCGCTGCGCACTGGTAGCCTCATCAATAGCCTGAGAATTGCTTTGTAGTTCTCGAATGTACGCGGCCTTGTCCTGAGGGAGCACGCCGGCACGGACGTTGGTGACAGGGATCCCGAGTTGAGCTGCGACCGCCCGGGCTGTGGTTTGGTTGTCTCCTGTACACATGTGGACTTCGAGGTTGGATTTCCGCAGCGATTCCAGGACTGTGGGAGCTTCGGCTCGGATGGGATCGGCAATTGCAAAGAGCGCCACCGCATGGAATGTGAGGTCGGAAGGGGAAGCTTTCTCGGCGGTTTCGGTCTCGACAAATCTCCTGACAGCAAAGATGGCGGTGGATTGTCCCAACCCTTGGTGTTTTCGTAGGATCGGGGTAATGTAGAAGTCCTCGTCGATGACAGGCTTGGTTTCTTTTTCATCTTCGACTTTGGTCGACGCTGATGTTGTTGACACGGAGCTTTCGTTGACGGTTACTGACCCGAGAAGCCTTTCATTCCCAAGGATAGCTTCGAATTTCTGTGGTCCAGCACTCGATTTGATTTTGAAGGTGCCTCTCATGCCCTGACCTGGCACTTCCTTGATTTCGACCGGCTCGATCTGACTGCCATTGGGGGCGTGCGTGCAGTAGTCTGCAATGGCTTTGGCTATCGGATGTGTGCTTGATTCTTCCAACATGCGAGCGACCACGAGGATACCGTCCTTGTCAAGCACATCTTCCCCGCCACTTGGCTTGTCATGAAGCAATTCAAAGTCTGTGACGCGCATTTGACCTTCCGTCAAAGTCCCTGTCTTGTCAAATACAATCGCATCGAGGTTTGACGCTTCTTGAAAGGCTTCGCCTCCGCCTTGAACCAAGATTCCGCGTTTGGCAGCAAGTCCACCTCCAACGAAGAGAGCCGTGGGAGCGGCCAGGCCTATTCCACATGGACACGCAACCACGAAAACGGCAATGGCAAACTCGAGGGACCAAAACGGCCATCCACCCTGCGACACATCGAGCCATGCTCGTGGTAGCATACCTGATTCGCCTAGACCTAACCAAATCAACCATGTGATGATGGCCAGGAATGTAATCACGGGAACGAAGTAGCCTGTCAGAATATCCGCAATTCGTTCAACAGGGGCTCTTTTCGCTTGACCTTCGCGTACCACGTCGACAATTTTGTCCAACATAGATGTACCACCAACTTCGGTGACCCTGATTTTGACTGGATCCGACACGTTGAGGGAGCCAGTGTAGACTTCATCCCCTTGTATCTTCTTCACGGGTTTCGATTCTCCAGTGAGAGAGCTTTCATCAAAAAGAAACGTCCCTTCCTGGTCGACTGCGCCGTCCGTTGGTGGCGAGGCGCCGTGTGGGAGTTGAACGATGTCGCCTACCTCAAGCTGATCAACTGGTATTTGTCGAATGTTTCCACTCTGCACGTCCACCAGCAAAGCATCGGCAGGTCGTAACTTGCTTAACATTGCAACGGCATCACCGGTCTTGGCTTTGCTGTACGCCTCCAGATAGCGTCCGATAAGAATAAAGAATGTGAGGAACGTCACGGTGTCAAAATAGGTGTTGGACGACCTATCGTGACCCATAGGTGTGGAATTTGTGGTGGCATCCATAATCAGTACGGCTAATGATGAAAAATAGGCTACCGAGGCCCCTGCGCTGATCAATAAATTCATGCTGCCGAAACGATAGAAGCGTCGAAGGATGGGGACTTTGCTTTTGGGTCTCCACATAGACCTGATTTCCTTCAAAGCCCTCGTATGAAACATATCCGTTCCGTAGAACATGACAGGCGTGGTCAGAAAGAACAAGGCCCACTCCATCCGCATGGCGTTGCCTGCGAGGATGGGCTCTTCGAACCATTGTCTCGTAGAATTCGACTTAGGGACAAGGCTCATGTACACGATCCCAATGATGAAGGTAGGGATGGCAACAATGGCGGTGAATATGAGCCGACAGAGGATGTGATTTTGCTCCTTGCGTTGTAATCGTCTGGATCGTTCTTCCAGGGTTGGCGGGTGATATACACTTGCGCGAAATGCTTCGTCGGCAGCGTTAATGACAGAGATGAAGCTGCGCACTGTAAAGTCCGGAGGAGCTGGCCGGTACACAATGGTTATGATGGGGTCGTGGAGAGTGGGTGACTGAGTAACGGTAAATGCTGGGTGGCCGTCGACGTTCGTATGAGGCAGGCCGTTCTGAACCGCGGACCAGACCTTTTCTGGACAATGTTCACAGTACATGCCATCGACCTTGATCTGCACAGCCCTTTCTTTTGCTTTTCCGGAGGATTCACGGGACTCGGAAGAATCCTCCAGTTTAACAACTGTGGCATCATATCCCAGATCATCAATCTTTTCCAATATTGCTGAAAGGTTTTGCTCATCTTCGAAACATACGATGCCGCGATTGCCAACTAGGTCGATGTTGACCGAGCGAACAAAAGGCAACTCCTCAAGACCTCGGGTGATTGTACCGACGCAGCTGCCACAAGTCATGCCCTCAATGCTCATAGAAGCCCGGCACTCCTTGTGGTCTTTCTCCGACCGAGACTGCGCTATCGAGGACTTGGAGACGTGCTCAAGCGTGGCTTCATAGCCCAGGTCGTCAATCGTCTCTAGGATTTTATCACAGTTCTCTTTTGGGCCCCGGAAAACAACCCTTGCACTGTTCGTCATATGATTGACATCCACCGAATCCACAAACTCGAGACTGCTCAACTCTTTCGATATCGTCCCGCTACACGAGGCGCAGGTCATGCCACCGATCGAGAACGTTGCGGTATACTGTTCGGCGGGCGCATCATCGGAGGCTCCATCAACAGTGGTTATGGTAGGCTTCCGATCGACGAGGGTGTCGCCTGACACTGTATTATCGATGCTCTTAGATTTGGTGTTGAACAATCCCGGCCGTCGAGCTGTCCATGACCTCTTCCGTGTAGATTCGCGTGCTCTTTTCTCTTGACATGCTCTGCAGTTCTCGATATGCTTACGCTGGGCACGAGACAGCCGCCAGGTTGAGTGGGAGGAGAAGTACGTGGAATGGGCTGGGGACACATCGCGATCGTAGATTTGACTGCCGCGGGAGTCAAGGGTTGTGACATGTTGGACTTCAAACGCTGCCTTCAGCAGTTCCTTGACGATAAGTTCCTGAGTTTTGTCATGCTCATGCTTGACTCGAATGGTGTGGTCGATCAGTGAAACGTGAACCGACTGGATGCCGGGAACTTCATGTAGGACATCTTTGGCATAGGAGACACAAGAAGGGCAATGGATATTCGAGACTAAGAATGTTGAAGTGAATGGCATGGTTTCGCGAAACGACGTCCGAAGGCGAAGCGCAGGTCAACGGAGTCAATATACAAATGGCGGTTTGTGTAACCGGGGAAGTGGGAATTGAAGTGCTTTGACCACGAGGAGAGACATAAAAGAGCGGAGGAGAACGGAGAGATACCAGAGACTATGTTCATTTGTACAGACTTGGACAAGATGCGCAGTTTGTGCGTAGACCAGTACGCAGCGAAATGCACTCAATATCAGACTCTGTTCTGTGCTGGTAGCATGCAAACATGGTGGAAATTGATGGCGGATGAGGACCGCGATCTTCGCAGCGAGTGCGCGACTTGTGCGTAAAGTGAGCGACAGCAGCTCCAAATCTGGAGTGGATGAGGTAGGTCAAGAATCGACATGTTTGTGATTACATAACTGGGGAAATCGGCGTTGTCACGTGATGGGAAAGTCAGTCAGGTGACCTCGGCCGCGGTCCATCGTGCTGAATTGAAGTTCAACCTCATCGATACCTCAGGCATCCTTTTCGCAGTGGATCTCGGACTAGGTCAATTGCTGTCGGTTTGTATGTCCGACTTCTATGTCGAATAAGTCAACAGGAACTTGGGCTCTCCTCTAATAGGAGGTGTCACACCCATGGGTTCGTTCTGCGCGGGATTTTACGACTGGCAGTGAGAAGACGATGGCGACCACGGCTTCAATGCAGGGCGAGACCTCGATCCCCGTAACTTCGAATCCCGCTTCACAGGACAGGACGATCCAAGTGGAGCACCATTCAAAACCTCCTGCCGATACTTTGACATCCTCATCAACGCCCGCAATGACCATTGGCAACCCTCAACCCGATACCATGAGCTTATCTGCAATTCCACAAGATGCGCCATCTATATCCGACTCCAATATGGATGTCTCAAATCAGGACGTTGGTTCGCAGTCAAACTCGGGCCAAGGTCCTCGCAGAGGTTCATTTCCGGACATCCTCCCTCGAGGCCACACATTGCCTCGACTCATAGATGCCGGCCCTCCTTCAGATACGGTGGGGACGCCTAGCTCGATGCTCAGTACATTTCCTCCTCAATCAAGCCATGACGACCTGCAGACCGATAGCGACCCTGAAATTCCATCGGCCGCAAACCGATCGAGTACAAGTCTTGCTCCACGCTCCACAAGTGTGATGACAGAGGACGTTGAAAACTCGACAATCACAGTTTCGAGCCAATCTGAAGCGCCGACTGGCCGCCTGCTCACAGGCCACCCTGCAGCCAGCGTGCCAGTCGCGAACACATCCTCAAATCGAAACAAGAACTACGTTCTACCTGATGGCTCGGTAGTCTCTGGAAAAGGTCTTGGTCGTGGCAGACCTGGAATCAAACGTGGACCGAGAAATCAGAAACAAGTTGTCATTGACCATGTCCCATCACAGTCATCCTCAACGAATGCAGCCACTGTTTCCTCAGACGCGGGCCTACCCCCGAGGAAGAAGCGCAAAAGTGGTGACCCCGATGGTGGCCTGATCAAGCCTCGAGCATCAACTTCTGCATCCGTTACAGCAACGTCGCGGGAGTCGTCTGTGGAGTATACGCCTACCGCTACACAGACTCGATCTGGTCGCCATACTCAGAAGCCGGCTTCGCTCGCCAATACAACGCCCGCAGCCGAGAGCCCTTCGAAGCGGCCAGGCCGGCCTGACAGAGCTACCAGTACCACGAGCGCGTCACCCTCAACGCTCAAACTGCACCCCAAGATCAAGCGGCGGGTATATCGGGGCCGGGAGCAATTCGCACTTTGCGAACACTGTCTCCGTGGTCACGGCCCGCCAGGAAACGTTATCGTTTTCTGTGACGCTTGCAATAAATGCTGGCACCAACGGTGCCATGACCCTCTCATATCTAAGCAAACAGTTTCCGACGCCAAAGCAGAGTGGTTTTGTGCCGATTGCGACCGCATCCTGCATGGCGGAAAGAAGGCCAAGAAGCCCCCGGCGAAACGAGTTGAACCTACCACTGTCTCTCCGATTGTCATCGAACCGACACTTGGGTACGGTGGCCCGCGTGTCGGAGGCCGCTCGCTGAATCCAGAACAACGATTAGCCTACCTTCGTACTCTTTCGAAGGATGACTTGATATCTCTCATTCTAGAAGCCTCAGACCTTGCCCCTGACCTCCCCCTCTACAAGGCTCTCGTCCCTCTGTCGACTCGGAACAACACGCCCCAGGCTCAGTTTACATCAACCTATGTCACGCCGGTATCACAGCCGCCGACATTTGCGGACAAGGATACTGCGAACAATGCTGTTCCAGTCGATGAAGGGTACGATGACCATCTCGATGACCATGCTACCTTGTATCCCAAGCCTGGTAATGGGGTTCAGCTGCCCCCAGAGAGCGAAGACTTGCATATGTTGCTCGAGGGTAAGGATAGCAAGACCTTTAGCCACTGGGTACGAGGAATGGGCGGGAATGACTTTAGTGGGACGGGCAATGTGGTGTCGTCAACTCAAGCTGTATAGATCTACACATACAGATTCTGAATGTTCTGCTGGTGCTGCTATGATCCCGAAGCTGCCAAGCAGATATACGTATTTGTATTGGATTGTCTAGATGTACACGTCCTCCTTAATCCCTGATCGCTCATACTTTGGCCATTAAACTTCGTAATATCTGCCATAAGTAGCAGGAGCGATGGTGAGCTGACTTAGGTATTGTCTTCTGCCAAAAGCTGCCAATCATTTTGCCACATATCATTGAAGCATCGTTTCATGAACAGTCACATCAAAAGGCAGAGGTACCAGCCGGTGTATATGCCGATTAGCATCAAGATTAGTATTAGCATTAGGTATTTGCTCTGACAGTTGTTGCTCCTCCATTCAGGTCGTGGAATGGCTACTAACAGAGACAGATAGCAACGTTTCCAGCAGGACCGAGACCTCCCCGGTCGCCGCGAGATATGCTGATGTCCAACTCCACTACTATCGCTACACCGCCGTTGTATATCTGCGTTGTCCCGGATTGCTCAACGTGGGTATACGGAGGTAGTTCGCGAGAATCCAGTCTGGAACGCGATCCGCACGTCTCCTTTAGGAAGCGGGATCGATCAAGTGGTAGCGGGTCCAATAGGCTCGAATTTGCGTTATATTTCAGTTATTGCCTGCGCCGTTTCTAAAGAACCCGTACCATGAGAAAGGCTGCGCAGTTTCCCTTCACCTTGAGTCCGTCATAATGCTCTTCCAACCTACACCACAAGAAGTCGCAGCTGCTCAGCTATCTCTTTCGTCAGCTCCTTCTGATTTAAATGAACCATCTTTGCCCCAGCCTGCATCTGAATGGGGGCTCCCCAACTCCTGGCTCTTCGAGTGTGGCCGATTGACAACTTGCCTCCCAAGCGTCTTCTCGGAAACGACTTTTCCAATCTCAAAACCTTGACAGGCATTGTACCTTCTTCTTAAGACTCGATCCAAAGCTGATGTCCCTTAGTGTACCAGGAGCTAAAGAAAGAGCTTCTAGCACCGAGCGAGGACGAACTGAAGGAATTTAACTTACATCAAAAAACTTACAGATTGAACCCTTTTCGCACCTTGTTTTCCCTAGTGGCAGCCGCAATGGCGACACGACCAGCTCATATAGCGGGCACTATAAGCCACGCCGGGAACCCAAGCACTGCAAGCGATTTGTCGAGTTCGAGCCAGGAGGACAAGCCCGAGGAAACATCAAAGCAGGCACTGGAAGCTCTGATCGAAGAAATACTCATCTTTGAGGACAACGGCCTGATGCCCGTAACCGGATCGATGAGATATCTTCTGCAACTGTATGGAATATGCACCGTTGCCTTTGTTTACCCGGGTTAACTATTTGCAGCGTGGTCAATTCCCAGATTATGCAGGTGCGTCTTGGCACTAGACAGGCCATTTCAGTCAAAAATGACGGCGGCGTCTGTGTCACTCGACAAGGAAGTTTTACGGGTTCAGACCGATACGATATCGTGCCTGTCTTATCTTTGGAGGTCAGTTTTAGCATCCATCTTACCAGCTTGGACTCGTGGAGTGCTGAGCAAACTTACTCGCTCTCAGGCCAAAAGGCGAAGCGCAGGCGAGATCCATCGACCCAGTGGTGAGACGGAAGAGTGGACAACGCGTCCACTAGGTCAGGAGGTCGCTGAACTTCTAGGCCAAGCCACTGCTCAATCCCTAGAACTTGATGGGTGGAAAGACCAACATGCCTTGGTCGCCAGCACGCACGGTACTGTCGTACGTTTGACCGCCGCAGACATAAAAGAGTCGTATCTTTCCCATCTCAACAGCCCAACAATGCCAATAAGTGAGTGCTTGTTTGTGGTCAGATCGCAGGGATATGATTTGCGAACGCGGGAGGAGAGGGACGGTGCCTTACTATTGTTTATTGGAGTGATCGAGTATCTCAAGAGCGAACGCGCAATAATAGGTCAGCTCCAGGCAATTCGTGGAGAGGCGAAGTAAGCCGGACAACTAATTCATTCGCTGTTTTTCACCAAATAGAGGAAATCCCGCCAAGGTGTAAAATTGATCGTATCGACAAAGTGGGGAGTAGATAAAAATGTGAACCTGTGGTGAACACCTTTGGAATGAAGTCTTTCATGGCAGTTTTCTCTCGTCCAAGTATTTCAGCATTCTCAGCAGAAGCATCGCTACGTCCTTCCTACCATCCGGAATCTTCAGATCATAGGTTGCGGAGCGACAGACTTGGAAACGTAGACTCGGTCGTTGATATTTGCGAAGAGATTCGATGTAGCCCCGGGTGATGTGGGCGCCAGCCAAGTACAACGCTGTTCCGGTGGAGCAAACCACAAAGCCAATAAATTCATCCATCTCGGGTTGTTGAGCGAACGCAAGAATTGCTTGGGCCAGGATTTGTTGGGTTTCACGAATCTTGTTGTCACCAGACCCCTTCAAAACCTGCAGTCTGTGCTTAGAAGTATATTCTTCGAGGAACCTGGCCTCTTCCTACCAAGAATGTCGCCACCGGGACGAGTGTCCACTGGTCTTGCTTGAAAAGTCCGTCGCACTTGATTCGCAGGCTTCCAAATTTCAGAGATTCGGCTCTTTTTGTGACTCTATATTTCATTAGTTGTCGTCCATTTCTTAGCTGTATGCCATACAGTCTGGTCCGCCTAGGACTGAAACTCAACAGCACCTCCAAAAGAGACTCGATGAGACCCATCTGTGGGCGAGGATCGTCCGCGACGTCGAGAACGCGATGGAGGTAGCTAAAAGTCAAACGGAAAGGATTTGTTCGATTTCTGGACCGGTGATGGAGGAAGTTGAGCACATCTTGAGTGGGAATCAAAAAGTATCCCAAAAATTCATCGTCAGCTGAGATCGAAAGTTAGAATTCATTGTGTATTGGGCAGAGATTGTATCACGTACCTTGATCGGTCTCCACTGTGATATTGCTCAGGAACATAAAAGGTTGGCCGTCATCCACCTGCAGAAAGTCAAGATGTTCTGGAGTCCATTTGTCAATAGGCTGGAGCAAAATCGACGGGCTCTGCAGGGTCGTCATGGTGTGCTAATGAAATTGAAAGTGACTCGGCAGGCGATTTTAGCCTTTGACACCGCAGGGCCAAGGTTTGATCACATGGCTTTGCGACATTGCAGCGCTAATGGCCATCTGGACGAAAGTCCAGGAAGCGAGACAGGAGTAAAGGAAACGACTGGTTTCAATGATGCGGAATTTGACGGGGCCTTGATGACTATGGAAATGCATTGCTTTCCGCAATGATGGGAAGAGATGCAGGTTGCCATAACCAACCAAGCGCATGCAGCCGATGACGAATAGCCCGAGGCGGCCCCCAAGGCGCAGGCAACTATAACCGAGCTGACGAGCACGGATATTGCCCTTCCCGAGCATGTGAAACACCGAAAACTGGGAATCCGGGGGCCATACAGTATTATGGGTACCTGTTTGTACATGCTCCGGGCTGGCGCTCATGCTGCTCAAGCGCGCCTCAGGGCTCGCCAAGCCATGCTCAGGATTGCACCGCCACAGCTCAGATTGGCTTAGTCATGGCTCAGCTCAGGTAAAGTGGCGGTGACATAGGTCTGGAAACGGAAATGGATTTTGGAGAGGTCAAGATTCGCCGCTGAGTAAGGTATTGTGGTATTTGGAGAGGTACCTATTGGGTGCCAACAATTGGGAACTTCAAGTTGCGTCCATTTTATAGTTCCAATATATCCTTGATAACTTACTGCTTCGTTCAAGCTTTTCCGAGGGTTTTTGCCTCGATTTTGACTATTTCTGGAACATCATCTTGCAAAGATGGGGCTGAAGGCGCCCATCCCAGAAGCTTCTGGCCTCGCGAGGACTTGTAAACAGCATTAGTGCCCCAGAAAATAGCTCCAGCAGGCATAGCTTTGTTCGCCTCGTCGGGAGTGATCGTCTTCGTTACTGAAGGGCTTTTGATCAATCCTTGTGCATGTGCTTCTTTGGCGATGTCTTCGCAAAGTGTCCCGAAAGCCTAAACTAGTCAGTTCTCGCTCTGCGATTTGAAGAAGTGAACTTACCAGCTCGCCATTTGCAGGGAGGTAGATGCCTTCGTCGTTCCATCCCTGAGTTGAACCGTTCAGTGCTGCCTCGGTCAATTTGAGAAACAATTGCCCAAGATCCTGGACATGGATATTGCTCCACTTGTTGAGGCCTTTGCCTAGCCGGAAGCCTTCGCCATCTTGAATGGTCTTCTTGGCGATTTCGGGGGCTTGGATACTCCGCTGATTTCCTGGCCCTTCCCCCTTTCCGTAGATAAGCGGACCTGCAACCAGCGCCGTCCGTACTGCTGACGGGTTCTGAGATATAATGAAATTGTCGACTTCTCTCGAAGGGTTTGCGCGAATCGTGTCAAGGATCTTTGCAGTGCCTTGCAAATCATCCCACACCTCCGAACTTGGCTCACCATATTTGCCTTCCTTGATCTCGGGGATCACAAACAGAGAAGCTCCAGACATTTGAACATAGTATGCTGCAAAGATTAGTACAACTCACCGCGAGTTGATGTTCACTTACGCTGTGTTTTCCGACGCTTCTCCGTCAAGCCCTTCACGATCGCACGAGCAGCAGCCAGATGCTTGGTGTTTGCCAGTTCTTTGGTCCGCCGTCAGCTAAACCGAACCGATAATTGAGCAGACAAATCACTTACGCAAAACAACATCCGACTTCTGGGCTTCTGCTTCGATGGTGTCGACATTGTCCAAGTCCCCAATCACGACTCTCACATGATCAGGATAGGTTTCTTGGACCTTCTTGGCCTTCTGCGCGTCTCGGATCAAGCATGCTACTGTGACCTGAGACGGCTTGAATGCTTTGGAGATGGCATGTAGAGTCTGGCCTCCAACATAGCCCGTGGCACCGGTTCTTTTCAAGTTAGGGCATACATCACATGGCAATAATTGGACACGCTTACAGGAATATTTGAACCATGGTTGCTGATATTGTGTCTGCTAACGTATATTGAAGTGAACACTAGCCGTGTCTTGGACTTTGACGCTCAACAGCTACAACAATGTACAAAGTTACCGTATAGCAGTAGATGACATACTTTGTAGGCGACGTAGCCGGACGGTCTTTTCCGGGGCCCAAAGGCGGCGTGAGTGTCGAGACAGGAAAGTCTTTCCGCACCCCCCTCCATCTACCGCTCCACCTGCAAGCCCTGCTTATCAACTGATTCCTACTTCATCTTCCCTATACTCTGCTCAGTGCTCACCTTATTATTACTATTGTTTCCGGATCATCTTCTCTTCTCGATTTGGGGCAATGGCTGGGCAGGCTCCGAGGTTAGACGAAAATCAAATTTCACCCCGCAATGGAGGCGCCCAAGGCTAAGAAGAAACCGCGGAGAACTCATGCTTTCGGGGGCTGCGGGACGTGTCGGAGACGTCACGTGAAATGTGACCAGGTTCGCCCAGTATGCTTGACTTGCCAGGCAGTGGGAGCCATTTGCGATGGGTTCCGGACGGAGTTAAAATGGGTGTCCGAGTCTCATGGAACCGGCGCGAAAGAAACGGTCAGCCAGGACCTCACCAGTCACACGGTGAGAAACCACCTCTTCAGCGGTAAGTAACAATCATCTGCCCTTTACGGCAGAACAGTCATATTGACAAGGCGATGAGCAGAGCAGTCCCGCAAGTCTATGAGCAAGGCCTTGCAGGATGATCTTGGTCGAAAACCCGTCGACGAGTCCCTCTCAGAGCTGGAGGATCGGTGTAAGAATGCAGTGGCAGGATCTGGCAAAGACGTCGCAATCGGCCCTTTCGGTGTCTTCCAGCTTCAGCAACGAGCAGCGGAGCCGGAAAAACAAGAGACGCCTACATCAATCACCGATCAAAATTGCTTGACTTGCAGTGATACCGATTTTGCACAGTCTGTGGGCTTTGTCGACTCTTTGAACATGAACGACTTCCTTGATTGGCCGGATCTTTTTGATTTGGATCTTCCCGAGAATGACTTTTTACCGCAAAACTTTGAAGAAGACATTGCAAACGCCGCATACCTCGAGACATCTGGGTTACTGTCAAGAGGCACCCCGCTACGAGGGTTGGAGGAAAATCCCGTGCAACATGAAGGCGCACTGAATGATACCCGATTGTCATCCCCCAAACCCGTTGATGCGTCGACCAGGAACGAGCTTGTGGACAATGACATCAACTACGCGGATGTGCAGATCCTCCTCAAACATTTCAATGACCAGGTAATTGCGCATATGTGGGCAGCGCCGGTCACGCGAAAATCGCCCTGGGAGCTCATGAATGTGGATTCCGCGGTCATTACCTTGGCAAGATTGACATATATGACAAGTCAGACCCTTTCCCACGCTGCACTTTCCAACCTTTTTGCTCTCACAGCCACGTCCGCAAATCATCTAGCAGCACAACTTTGCAAAGAGCCAGACTCTGCCGCCAGCGTCGAACACTGGCAACACCTGGCCACAGTGACCATTAAGGAGGCTAAAAGGCACCTACAGTGGTCCTTGCGAAATGAGGTGCGTGGCCCACACAAGGCCAAGTACAAAGACCAGCTCATGGCCATTATCGCCATGTTATCATTCTCTGTAGGTCCTGTTTCGATGCTGCTCGTCAAAGCTACTGATCATGTTGCAGATACTCTACGACAAACAGCCGGACGCTCGAGCGTACATGATCGATGCTGAGCGGCTGTTGCGTCTCCGTGGTCTAGCCAAACGAAATATATCTCGCAAAGCCAGATTGTTGCATCACGTGTATACCTGGGCAAGAATCGTCGACGAGAGTACGTATGTTTTACGCAGCTATGATAACCTCGACCTGGAGACCGTTTTGCCCCGACGCTTCAAGGCATCCACAGCGACCGATCAAGCCATAGCCGAGCCCAGACCCAGTCATAATCCGCGGTTGGATGATTTTTTGCGGCTAGAACATAATGCCCATGATCTTGACAGGGAGCCCGAAGGCCCCAAAGAGCATGAGATCGGCCTTCATGACATTCACCTGGAGGACACACGCGAATTTTCCGAAGAACTGTTTGCGCAACTATACGGAGTTTCCGAGACCTGGTTGAGTCTCGTCTCTCGCACAACACGATTGGCCAATATCATGGATGCCGTGAGCGTGGTTAAAAAACGACAGGAGTTTGTACATTTGGAGTGGTTGGAAACACAAAAACACCGGCTTGAAAATATGGTTTGCTCCTTTGCATCGACGGGCCGACAGAATGGGCAAAACACGGCTCCCCATCCTCGGGATCACATGGTCCGCGCTCTGAATTCGGCCCTCGTGATCTTCTTCTATCGGCGCATCCGGAATGTTAACCCGTGGATCCTCCAGGAGCACGTCAAAAACGTCACACAAGCCTTAAAGGACTTTGACGCAGCTTGTCAAAGCTCCAACATTGATGCGCCGGGCTCGCCTTGGCCAGCTTTCATGGCGGGCTGCGAGGCACTGTCACAGGAGCAGCGGATTTACTTTTCCGACTGGTTCGATAGATCAATCTCCACCACGGGGTTCCCCAGGCTTGTGAAAGCCAAATACTGTATGACTGAAGTGTGGAAGCTCCAAGATGCCTCCATACAAAGCAGGCAACGAAAAGGCATGAATCAAATCAACTCTTGGGTTGAAGTGTCTAAACAAGAAAATCTACATATGCTTCTATCATGACTATCAAAACAAATGGGTATTTATCAACATAAATGGGTATTGTTTGCCCACATTACTCCACGAGCCTCCATCCGGCATTCTGAAGTAGCTGAGCCAGCTCAGCCTTTGGTTCTCCTTCCAGCAGCTGAACGGCTTGCGAACACCCCCAGTGACCCAGCCACGGAGCTCCATGCCGGTCTTGACTGCAAAGGAATAGTTATGTTCCTTGAGGTATTTGCAGATCCAGTAGATGTTCTTCCACAATTCTCAGCCTGCCGGGACATCGCCTTTAACAGCAAGAGTGTTCCAGAGTTGGGCTGACCACTCTGGAAGAATGTTCGAGGCTCCCCAATCGGAACCTTTGCAGCCATTCACAATGCCATAGAAGTCAACTTATCGGCACCATTCAGCGCGGTGATCTGGTCGTGCAAACTGAAAACGAGCTCGGTAAACGGTACCACATCGCCTGACGAGTCTTTCAAGTACTTGACGCCGACTGAAGAGAGGCTGGCAATTTGTGGAGGAGTGAGTTTCAGGCCGCTTGCAGATGGGATATTATAGTAGATGTCCAATCCAGAAGCTATTGGATCTCAGACATGAGTTCCTTGCATTGCTCGTAGTTGACAGGGTCGTAAATCGGGGGAACCACCATCAGTGCTGCGGCGCCGGCCTTTGCAGCGTGCTCAGCAAGCTCAATGGCGTCCTGTGTCGAAGTTGCACCAGTCCCAGCAACCACTGGTCCTCGGCCGGCAGCATTCTGCACGCAAAGCTCGATCAGTTGTTTGCGCTCTGCGATGGTCATAGCTGTGAATTCGCCGGTGGTTCCTACCGGGACCAGCCCATGGTTGCCAGCGTCAAAAATGCTGTCGATGTCTGCCTAAACCCTAATGCCTACAGTTGTTGTTTGTCAATAGACTTCTGGTCATCTGTCCAAGCGGTTACCAACGCCACGAGCACACCCTTGAGTTCGACCATGTGGAAATGTTCGCTGGCTGAGGTGTACCCGGGGGACAGTTGAGATTGCAGTTCTCTTCTTTGCCTTGACGTGATTGTCCTACTCGTCTTAAGTGATCCCATGTTGAGCTTTCGGTGCCGTTGATTTGTCTTATACGGGCTAAGTCTGGAGCCCATGTAGCCGACCACATGTGACAATGGAAAGCCTTTCCAAGTCCAGGACCCTGTTTAAATCTCTTCCATTTTGGGTCATTCGCTTATCCGCGCGGCGATCGGCTCCGGTCCGTCTCCGCACCGGGGCTGTCAACCTGCTGGTAATGGGCAACCCCACAGAAGAGCTGTTGCTTCTAGACTCGACATGCCACCCCAGATCCGGCAGGTCAACCCGGTCCAGCCAAAGGACCGGCAATTCGGGGCAGATAAGGCAGGGGCTGGCCGTCGGGGGGCTAGAATATGTCGTGATAAATTATACTTTACAAGTTCTTGTGTGCCACTTCAACCTGTTCGACTGACTCTTTCTCTTACCTCGAAGACCAATAGACGTGCCTTTTGTTGTTGGAACTTGTCGATCACAATGGCGAACAGACCACCCTCATTGGATCCCCTCGTGTTCTCTATTCAAGATCTCGAGAAACAAGCAGAGAAGAAACTGCAGAAGTCGTATCGAGGTAAGAGGCAACTTGGAATGAATTGTTGGAATTGAAACTTATCGCTGTTGCATAGACTACTACAATGAGGGTGCAATGGATTTGATCTCGTGAGTACTGTCAAAGCTTGGTGAAACTGGTCTTCATACTCATCAAGTCCAGCCTTCGGGACAATGTTGCGGCCTACGACAGATATAGGATTTTGCCACGGAGTTTGCGCAATGTCAAGGACATCGACACATCAACGACACTGTTTGGCCACAAGGTATGGTGTTCGAATGCATGGGTGACCATCGCAAATTAACGTAGGACAGGTCTCATTTCCACTTGCATTGAGTCCTTCAGCCATGCATAAGCTTGCTCACCCTGATGGTGAAAAAGCGACGTCGGGGGCGGCGGCAGCTATGAACATTGGCATGTGCTTGTCATCGTACTCTACCACTTCCTTGGAAGAAGTGGCGGCCCAGGGCAAGGGCAACCCCTACATGATGCAGATGTGTGTCGTCAAGGATCGGAGTTTGACGAAGCAACTCCTTGACAGAGCCGCCGGTTTGAAGTCCCGCCCGTGCATACAAATCTGGAGAGTATACTAACCACTGAAATCGACAGCTGCTGGATTCAAAGCCTTGTTTCTGTCGGTCGATGTGCCAGTGCTTGGACGGCGCTTGAATGAGTACCGCAACGATTTCACCCTTCCGGACGATTTGGGTTTCCCCAACATCCTTTCCAACGGGGCGGCGGAATTTTCGCATGGGGAGAATTCGCATGATTACGGTAAGTGGCACTGGATCCGCCAAACATAGGGCGTGCATACTGACCCTATTCCCACCATCCAGATCCTAGCTTGGAATGGGATGAGATCATCCCCTGGTTAAGACAGAACACCAAAATGGAGATCTGGCTGAAAGGAAGTATGTATCCCCTCTCCGTGCTATGTCAGAGCTTCGATTGACCCAAGTCTAGTCTTGAACCCGTCTGATGTTCTGCTTGCCATCGAACATGGCGTTGATGGTGTGATCATTTCCAACCATGGTGGACGACAGTTGGACGGTGTTCCAGCGACCCTGGATGCCCTCCGGGAATGCGCGCGAGTCGCACAAGGACGGATCAAGATCGCCGTGGACGGTGGCATCCGCCGCGGGTCTGACATTTTCAAAGCACTGGCCTTGGGAGCACAGCACTGTTTTATCGGTCGCACGGTGATTTGGGGTCTTGCGGTAGGCGTCAAATCTTCCCACACAAGTAGTTGTCTGAAGCTGACCATCCCAGTACAATGGACAAGCGGGTGTCGAACTGGCCATCAAACTGCTCCTGGAAGAGTTCAGGACCACAATGGCTCTAGCTGGGTAAGAGATGAACCTTACTGTCTTTGGGATCGCTTATATAACCGCTGCTAGGTGCCGGAACCTGAACGAGATCACACCTGAACACATCACCTATCTTTCGCCAACTGGAAGATTGGCGAAACTATAGACCCTGCTACGAAAACTTGGGCAACGGGATTATAGACAAGCATGGCACTGCGGGTTTTTCTAGGTCATTTCACGGTGTTACTTGCCATTCGTTGTCATATAAAGCGGACCGGCGCAACCTCATGTTTGTTATTGGTCTAATTTGCCGGGTAGCTTCTTGCATATTCCTCGAAGTCGGTAGCCCTTTGCGTCCATACAATGTCCGTTATTTACCTGCGCCAATAGTACAAGCTTTTGCCCCTGGTCGATTCTTTCGGAGATCTACTGCCCGGCAGATCGAGTGTGATATATTCGTTACCAGCATATACCCCTGACATCGCAAATGTTCATATCTGATACTAGTATATGCAAGCCACACGTTATCAGCCTAGTTCACTGGCAGATACGTCAAGTCGTGTGCCTGATAAGCATATGAGCTTACGAAAACTGTGAGATATGTGCCACCAAAATAAACTTGGCCAGAATGATGCCCAGGTCCTTCGTCGTGGCAATGTACAGTTGTACCGAGAGATCCAGTCTGCAGAGGTGGGCAAAAGATAAGGATAGGCTTTCCGGATCGTCGCCACTGATTAGGAGCAAGGGCCGAATTGTTGCCGAGTCAAGACTGGAAGGGTCTCTGGGGGGGCTAGGGGGGCTCTCGTAAGAGGAAAGGCTTTCCGTCCTCTCCACCCTGCTCAGCCATTGGCTTTGTCAACGATAACAACTCCACACACGTCGTTGGACACCTCGACACAACAAAACTGGCCTCTTATCTACGTAAAGCGCATAGCATAAGAGATCTGTAAAGACTCCGCTGCTACACGATAGATTTCACACATGGTCTGTTGGAAGAGATTGAACTTGTACACCTGTAACCATGGCGTCGCTATTCCAAGACTTGACCACTCCTAATGGACTCAAATACCAACAACCACTGGGTCTCTTTATCAACAATGAGTTCGTCCAAGGCTCATCTGGGGAGAAAATCACTTCGGTCGACCCTGCGTAAGTCATCCCACTGAATCCTCGGCGTCAGATTCTGATTGTATATCAGGACAGAAGAACCCATAGCTAGCGTGGAAGCAGCTTCGGCCCAAGATGTGGACAAAGCCGTCCAAGCTGCGCGGAAAGCGCTGAAACATCCATCTTGGAAGCTTCTATCAGGCACAGACCGTGGCAGACTGATGGCCAAGCTATCTGACTTGATCGAGGAGAAGAAAGAACTCTTCGCGGCCATTGATGCTTGGGATAACGGTCAGTAACCTTCGGTAAAGGGTTTTGAAAGTACTTCCCATTGACGAGTGACAAAGGCAAGCCCTATTCTCAGGCATTGAATGAGGATCTTCCAGAAGCAATCAACACTATTAGGTATTATTCAGGTTGGTGTGATAAAGTGCACGGCCAAACAATTCCTACAACACCGGAAAAGTTCGCCTACACCATCCGACAGCCGATTGGTGTTGTAGGACAGATTATCCCATGGAATTATCCTCTGTCGATGGCAGCCTGGAAACTTGGACCTGCTCTGGCTTGTGGAAACACCGTCGTTCTCAAAGCTGCCGAGCAAACGCCGTTAAGCATTCTTGTGCTCGGTCAGCTTGTCAAAGAGGCCGGCTTCCCACCTGGAGTGGTGAACTTCATCAACGGCTATGGAAGAGAGGCCGGCAGTGCGTTAGTTGAACATCCTCTGGTTGACAAAGTCGCCTTTACGGGATCAACAATCACAGCCAGAAGTATCATGGCCTCGGCAGCAAAGAGCCTGAAGAACATTACCTTGGAGACTGGTGGAAAGTCTCCTTTATTGGTCTTTGACGACGCAGATTTGGATCAAGCCGTGAAGTGGGCTCATTACGGTATTATGTCCAACCAAGGCCAGATTTGCACAGCGACATCACGTATCCTAGTGCAGCGGGGCATCTACGATACATTCATCGCCAAGTACAAGGAAGCTGTTGAGAAGTTGTCCAAGGTGGGAAATCAATGGGACGAAGCGACTTTCCAGGGACCGCAAGTGTCGAAAGCACAGTACGACCGAATCCTGTCCTACGTCAATGTTGGCAAGGAAGAGGGAGCAACTCTGCTCATGGGAGGCACCGGATGTCCTATCAACGACAAGGGCTATTTCGTTAAGCCCACCGTGTTTACAGATGTAAAGGATTCCATGCGGATCTATCAAGAAGAAGTATTCGGTCCTTTTGCTGTCATTTCGACCTTTGATGACGAAGAGGAAGCAATCTCGAGGGCCAACAACAGCACTTACGGGCTCGGTTCTGCCATTTTCACGAACGATCTCCGGAGAGCACACCGAGTGGCTGCCGAGATCGAGGCTGGCATGGTGTGGATCAACAGCAGCCAAGATTGTGACTTCAGAGTGCCCTTTGGGGGCGTCAAGCAGAGTGGTATCGGACGAGAACTTGGAGAGGCCGGGTTGGAGGCTTATTCCCAGATCAAAGCCATCCATGTAAACATGGGCAACAACCTCTAGGCTCTGAATATTATGTATGTAGCCTAAAGGTTTGATGCATTGTCGTATGTTCTTACCCAGGTGGATCGTCTAGCGATGACTGCGTCATGGAGCCTTGTTCCCGGGGATTCGGGGAGGATTCTGCGGGTCGGTGTTCCGCTCCGAGGGTCGCCAGAGGAAGTACCTACCTTTTCTTGAAAGATATCTCTAACAGTGCCCACGGCCCACAAAGTCACCTGGCCAAGGCTTTCCAATCCACATTGACATACATCTTCGGTTAGTGCTGGGGCTGTCTGCTTCTCTCACCAGAAGGTCGAGCGTGACCCTGGATCGTCAACCGCTGTAGAATTTTTTTATTCTCATCAACGATTGTAAGTAAACAGGAAGGCTGTTCCGACTATGGACGACTGCGATCGACCGCTCCGACCATCCACGGGGATTGAGGCGCTATTTGTTCCACAGTCTGGGGTCGCCTCGACCCAGCGCCTCGTGATAAGAACTTTGCCTTCGGTCATAGCACCGGGACCTACGGAGCCGCACGCCATCTGAAAAAGGGGGAAGGCTGTTCCTTCTATCCAGCTGGAGGAGATAAATGGGTCCAGCTCTCTCAGCCTCTATTTGATATCCATTGTGGTTTGTTCTTGTTATACCATTTGGATCATTCCACCCTTTCCATGATTCCTCCCTCTGTCCCTTTCAGTTCAATCTTTCTAAGAGCCGCAGCACGGTATGGATTATACCCCGAAGGAAAAAGACATGACTGCGGAGTCTGCGGTAGACATTGAGCCAGGGCTTCAACCCGTCAACACGGCGCAGACGGTACAGATTGGATATGACAATGACCTGGCTGCAATCCCAACCACCCAGCGTGGGTTGAAATCTCGACATGCTCAGATGATAGCTCTTGGTGGCACCATCGGTACAGGATTGTTTGTTGGGTCAGGCCAAGCACTCCTGATCGGAGGCCCGTTGTTTTTCGTTCTCGGCTACTGCATTATCACCATTTTGGTATACGGGATTGTGAGCTGCCATGATCCTCAGGACAGCCTGCAGGTTACTGATTTATTCCTCTCTCCAGGTCACCGCAACAACGGAAATGAGCTCCTACCTTCCAGTCGTGGGATCTTCAATGGCATACTACGGCAACCGATTCTACTCTCGCAGCATTGGGGTCGCACTTGGCTGGCTCTACTTCTATGTGTTCGCAATCTCGGTACCCGCAGAGATTACCGCAGCCAGTATCGTGGTGGAGTATTGGCACCCTGATGTACACATTGCGGTCTGGATTACCATCTTCATGGTTGTTATCATCGGACTGAATTGTTTTCCTGTGAAATACTACGGGGAAACGGAGTTCTGGTTCGCCTCCCTGAAAGTCTTTGGTATTATAGGCCTCCTGATCATGGCCGTTGTGCTGATCTTCGGTGGTGGTCCGAATCATCAAAGACTCGGCTTCCACTATTGGAAGGACCCGGGTCTTGTCAACGAGTACCTGGTGACTGGATCTACGGGTCGGCTCTGTGCTTTCGTGGGAACAACAACATTCTCAGTTTTTGCTTTTGCTTTTGCTCCAGAGCTGCTCGTTGTGACAGGCGGTGAGATGCAATCTCCACGGAGGAATCTGCCGCGAGCCGGAAAGCGTTACTTCTGGCGTCTCATCACATTTTACGTTTTGGGCTCTTTGGCCATCAGCATGATCATCTCCAGTGACGACGACCGGCTCCTCAGCGGTGGCAAGGGCGCAGGTGCCTCTCCTTGGGCCATCGCAGCGAAGAACGCCGGCATCAACGGGCTTGATTCCGTCATTAACGCAGTTATCCTGACCTCGGCGTGGTCGGCTGGAAACTCCTACCTCTTTCTCGCCAGCCGTGCTCTCTTCTCGATGGCACAGAGTGGCAATGCACCAAAAGTCTTCCTCAAATGCACGTCATCCGGCATTCCTTACGTTGCAACGGCGACTTGCGCTGTCTTCTGTCTTCTCGCATACATGAATGTTTCTTCTTCCAGCTCCACAGTCTTCAACTGGTTTGTCAATCTCATCAACATGGGTGCCTACAACAGCTGGATTATGATCTGCATCGTCTATCTGCGCTTCCGCAAGGTCACCGCTGCTCAGAAGATCACCGACCTTCCCTACCGATCCCGCCTACAACCGATCATGTCCTATGTCAGTGGCAGCGTCCTTACACTATTGCTCATCTTGGGTGGATTCAAAAATTTTGTCAATGGGAATTGGAACACGTCAAACTTCATCACCAGCTACGTTGGAATTCCAATCTTCTTGGCTTTCTGGCTCGGCCACAAATTTCTTCGTGCCAGGAATGAGCCCTGGGCGATCCCGTTAGAGGAAGTCGATATGCATTCCGGACTGGACGAAGTCATTGCTCGAGAAGGGCCGCCTCGAGGGCGAGAGACCTGGCTTGATAAATTCAAGGCCCTGTGGGAATAAAAGTATACTGGGGTTTACGAAATACTAGATTTAGAGCCATTTGTGAGCAAGGCGGTCCTTTTGTCAATAGAATCACGTCAGTGTACATAGATGATAGACCGGCTGAATGGGATAGCTGCATAGAGTTGGAAGAGGCCTTTTAGTTTCTCTTGATCGTCGATACCCAACTGCTATGCCAAATCATAAAATTGTAACCTTGTGAGAAATGTTGCGTGACTATTAGCAGGGAGCCACTTTTTACACTACTAGACTTGGGTACAGTTAGCTCCAATCCGTGTGGACACCAGCCGCTGTCTGAATGTGACGAATCAATTTATTCCATGTGCTCTCTCACCTAGCAGGCTACCTATATACTCTGTCTTCTACTAGCAACTTTATGCTATTGTGAGTAACTGCTTCAACCTTCAACTTCTCGAGCTGCAGCTAAAACCTCCATTATAGAGCAAGACAGCAAAGATAACAGCAGCCCACTTCTGAGTTCCGACTGCCAGGGACATCAAACTTTTCGTGGATTTGATTGCAGCAAAAATCCTTCAAGAGTCTCTCGAGTCCTCTCGGCCACACGGTGATGTCTATTCTCTTCCCATTTCTTGCCACCCGCCCCATACTGATTGCTCAGATGGCCCAAAAAGAAGTCGTGGTTCTTTGTACACTGGGGGAATGCATTCTTGAAAGTGTCGTAGATATCTTGAATTTGTAGCTCCTCTTTGGCGTTCGTGATCTTCTGCTCAAACAGATTGAGATACTTGTGCATATGGGCGAGATCTTTCTCTTTGTCAAATTCCTGCCCCGCCTGGATATGTCCGGTGATGATCTTGACAGGGTTGAGTCCCTCGATCAGTTGTAGGGTCAACCTCCAAGCATGCAAGATCGCCGGAGTCTCGATCTCTTCCACCCATGCATGATACGAGTGAGCATACATGGCGTCACCCGTTATGACCACTCTTTCCCGCGGTAACCAGAACAAGGTGTGATCCACAGAGTCACCTTGCACTGGTCCGAGAAGGATCACTGGACGATCCTCATTTCCAGGCAGTAGGAAAAAGGAGTAGTTGTAGACTTCAGGTCGTTTTGGATTGCGTGGTACAACATCTCCAAAGATGGAAGGCCAGAATTCGACCTTTTCGTCATATTCGCGGTCGATTGCCTCCCGCACATACGAATGTGCGTAGAACTTGGCCAGCGGCCATTCATCAAGGATTGGGTTTGCGGAGAAATAGTGGTCCGGATGGTGGTGGGTTGCAAAAACAGCCACCACCGGCTTCGAAGTTTTGGCCTTTGTAAATTCGACGACGGCCTTGGAGTCTGGAATTAGCAGAGGAGGGTCAATGATGACGGAAGCTTCTTTTCCGACTATCAAGCTGGTCACTGACTCGAGACCTTTCTCCGAGCTGACCTTGGTGTAAAGCTCTAGTGGTGCTGATTCGGTGGCCATTTTGGAGGGGAGAGAATTTGCTGTTGCCTCAACCAGGGCCCAGACTGTCGATATGGGCAAAGTATATAAACCCCTCTACCAGCGGGGATTACCTCTTGCGGAACGGTTCGGCAGATACATTGTTGGTGTAAGGCCATCCATGTGGAGCTCCATCAGACCCGTGGACGATCCCCCACATGAGTCTCCACAGGCTGGGGGCTGGAGAGGCGGTGTATTACCCGACAAAGGTATGGTATTCTTTCGATTCGGATCCTCAATTGCGACAGCAGTGTATCAGTCCTAGTTTTTAACATATAATTGGTAGTCTGCCTGTTGGGGATTTTCAGCAGACGGAATTTTACATCCTATCTGTCCTTCCCAACTGTTAGGCATAGAGAAAAGATGGCTAGATTTGAGCCCAATCACTCTTCTCTGGACTATAACACACTCAAAGACGCTGTCGTGGTCGTGTCCGGTGGTGCTTCGGGCATTGGTGCTGCGATAGTCCGATTACTACATGGGCATGGTGCGAAGATTGTTTTTGGAGATCTCGACACCGCCAAAGCAGAAGCGGTGGTTGCATCTACCTCGCCATCTTCCGTCCACTTCGTGATGACAGACGTTACATCCTACACCGACATTGTCGATCTTTTCAGGTTTGCATTGTCGAAGTACGGGCGTGTGGACCACGCTATTGCAAATGCCGGTCTCATTGAGCAGCCCGGTTGGTTTGACCCCCGGCTTGGTATCGAGGGTGTGGCGCACAAACCGACCACCAAGACATCCGAGGTGAATTTCAATGGTGTCCTATACTTTGCAAATATTGCATGCACATATCTGGCGCATAAGAATCAGGCCGCGGAGAAGAACAGCAAATCCTTGACTCTCCTGAGCAGTGTGGCCGGGTTCAAAGAGACCCCTGGCTTGTTCGTGTATCAGGGCAGCAAGCATGCAGTGATGGGTCTGCTGAGGGCTCTAAGACTGTACGTTCCAGAAGCATACCCAGGTATTCGCATCAATGCCGTGCTACCAAGCATGTAAGTAGCTACCACGGACTCTTTTGTTCTTATTTCTCGAGCCAGCTCTGGCTAACTTTCGGTACCTTCAGGACTTTGACTGGAATGGTCGAAGGCATCAAAGATGGCTGGATGAGTGCTGACTTGCCAGTTAACAAACCAGAAGATGTTGCAACAGCGCTGGTCGGGCTTTGCGTTGCAGGACCAGGGACAGACCCCATCTGGTATGATGAAGAAGAGGCGGAAGGTGTCAAGAAGATGAGCAGCGCTGGCGGCATGGACTGGGACCACCCGTTGGAAACAGGCGTTAATGGCCGGGGTATTTTCATCATGGGTGGAAACTGCTATGACATTGAAGAAGGACTGGATAGAACTGAGGAGCTTTGGCTGGGGAAGAAGGTCAGTGGGTGGTTGCAAAAGGGCTAGCAAAACCTGGGAAATGGCACCCATTGGCTGAAAGAGAAGTGAATGACTTTCCAGACCGAAATGTAACAGTTTGAGATTGTCGATCCGTATTTTCATTCTGGATTGAAGTTGTCTAGTCTGGATAACAGTGGTCAAGGTCGAAAAGTGGTGTCCAAGAGCCTGTGGGTATTGGTGCCAAATTCCGGAAGATCAACGCGTACCGAAAAGATGCAAAGTATCATGGTGAGCAACATCTGTGATAGGCACTCAGTATATCAAAGTTCAGGAAAACCAAACTCTCACACCATCTTGTGGCAACGACTGCAACAAGCCACAGTATCCTTCCAGGCAACCGTTCTATTTGTGGGTTTCCTTGACCTTTTGTTATTTAAGTCAGTTCGTCAACTGTTTAATTGTGCAAACCATCTCTTCGTTGCAAAAGTCTTGCGTCCACCTTCACCTTCGACATTCCAAAACATACTTTCCCGGTGAGAGCACCTCAATAATACACTCGAAACTTCAATCTCAGACTTCTCAATCGGCTCTCCAAATTTCACAATGAGATCTGGCCTCTGAGCCTCTCAACTATACGCTCCAAAGTTCAAACCGGGATCCGCCCTCCTCACGACTATTCGCTTCAAACTCAAACCGAGATCCCATCTTTGAACCTCTCAATCATACTCTCCACTGCAATCCAAGATTCAGTTTTTGAAGCTCTCAATAATGCGCTCCAAACATCAATCTGAGGTCCGATCTCTCATTTTTTGGCTTCATCCTTGATGCTTAGCCTTTCACTCTCACCACTCTCGAGGATCTTATCATCAAAACTGCACTGAGCACCAGTTCTAAGACCAGATTTATCTAAAATGGCAGCCACAATCCCAACTAGGCTGCTTATTCTTTCTGATACACACGGCAAAGACTTTGACTTGGATGATCGACCTAACCAGCATGCAGACGTGGTATTACATTGCGGTGATCTCACTGATGGCTCAAAGCTGGAGGAGTTCAGATCCACGATTAAAATGCTCAAGAATATCAACGTACCACTTAAATTGGTCATCGCTGGGAACCACGACTTCACCATGGATATTCCTGCTTTCAAAGCCAAGCTTGCTGAGGTAGTAACGCCCTTAGAGCCCAGTCTTGTGGCGCGGGAGTACGGAACCTTCGGGCAAGCCAGACAACTATTCGACGATGCAAGAAAAGAAGGTATCGTGTTTTTGGAAGAGGGAACCCATCACTTCACGCTTGATAGTGGAGCTCGTCTCAAGGTCTATGCTAGCCCATATACTCCATCTATGGGCGCATGGGGCTTTCAATACCGCCCAAATAAAGGCCGCCAGTTTCACATCGAAGAAAAAACCGACATCGTTATGACTCACGGCCCGCCAAGAGGAGTTATGGACTTCACTTACAGGGGTGAAAGGGCAGGCTGCCCTCATCTCTTCGCCAGCATTGCCCAGGCGCGGCCACGGATTCATTGCTTTGGTCATGTTCACGAGGGATGGGGCGCAAAGGTGGTTACTTGGAAGGACAGTGGGTTCGATGAGCCGTCTCACTTTACAGCCATCGACAACGAAAACTCTCCTGTCATCGAGAAGTTGGCAACTCTGAGACCAAATTCATTCGATTCAGAAGGGACGGCAGTGGAAAAGCGTCAGAAATTGGAAAAGTTGAGACTGAACAAGTGTGCTACCACAAGCCACTGCAAACAAGACAAGTATCCGCTCCAGGAGGGCAGGGAGACATTATTTGTGAATGCATCAATAATGGGAGGCGAAGAATTTTCGCAGAGGCCCTGGGTAGTGGATATTGAACTTGAAATCATAGATTAGTTCTAAGGTTATGCAGGATAACTACCGCTCAAGCGTGGATAGTACAAATGATATGAGCCGAAAGCGTTTCTTAATGCGGAGCAGGCAGGACAATCATAGACTACCAAAAATTCGGGGAGATCACCAGAGACAAGCTACAAGCCAAGATGAAAAATTGCGAAGTGTGGACGCGAACAAGATACTGCGCCTCTGGAAGCGGAGCGTGGGAAAGTTTAGCAACTGTTGTAGTACAATATCAGCAAAGAAAGCTTCAAAAACAGAGTGACTAGGTGTGGCTACTGCTACAGATACTGTTTACCTAGGTAGATTTCATAACTAGGCGACTGACCGTGTCGGATCTCTGCCATATGTATAAAAACAGTAGTTAGGACAGAACGGGACATCTACCGCCTTTCCTCCGGAGTCTACTGGGAAGTTGTGATACTGGAGAGCGAGAGTGGGTGAGAGAGGAAAGCTCAGGGCACCGCATCAGCGATTCTCTGCAGTGCAATTTCTCTGCTGCGTGTCGAGTAATTTGCCCAACCACCGGAGAAAAAAAGCTGAACCGAGCCATAGAGTCCCGGTGGCACTCATATTGTTGCCAAAACCCGATTTGTGCCGATGAATATGAGTGAGGCGGCTGAGATGATTAAGCTGGAATGCGGCCTGAAGGCTGCACGCATCCAGGATCGATAAGCAGAAAACCCGGGTCTCAATATATTACTTGCTGGTCTAGTCGGAACCTGCTGTATAAGTCATGGAACATAGTATTGTTTGCGGGCCATCCGAAGCAGCTCTAGGGAGGGTCGCGGTTAATGCGTTTGATTTCCAGCTTCTAAGTAGACGCCCTATCTGATCCTCCACCCGAGCTCATCACTGACTGTGCCCATGGGTCGGATTATGTAGAGATTTGAAGGTCACGAGAGGCAGCCAATGACCTTATCCTCAGTCGACGAAAACGCCGCCACAAACAAGCACCACAGTGACATCGGAACAGCGTTTCCGCTATTCGTCGTCGTTGATGTCGACAACCGTCCTCTTCCACTTACGAGCGGGGACACGCCGTTTGAACAAAATGTCAATCTCGCGGTAAGATCGGTGCTTCATCTCTGGAATCCAGATCCAAGCCATGACTGTGCAGACAAACGCAGTGCCGGCCCAGACGTAACCGCACTTGCCACCAAGGTTTGCCTGGTCGGGGTTGAGCATGTAGCTGGCCAGGAAAATACAAGGAATGTTGACTGCATAGTAGGCACCACGTCCGACACCAGTTGTCAATGGCCTCAGACGGATAGAAGACGTCTCTCCGATGATGACCCACGAGGCAGGGGCGGGCCCCAAGCAGAAAAGGACGGAGACGATCAGGCCAAGTGATGCTTGGGCCTGGGTAGCCGCAGTACCACCGCCCACTGAAGCTGCAATACCAAGGGCGACCAAAAACGCGCAGTTGATGAAAGAACCCCAGACATAGATGGTGCGTCGGCCTAGGTAAGTTGTGAGGATCCAGGAGAGCATAACCATGATCCACTGGAGGGCGGAAGTAATGAGACCGAGGGCGAATGCAGTATTGTCGCTCATGCCGGCACCTGCGCTTGCGTTAGTCTTTCAAGAGCTTGTAAAAAGATCGAGAGAACTCACGCTGGAAAAAGTAGACTGCCTGATTAGCGATCAAATTACCGGTCAGATTCTGAGCGGCATACACACCACACACAATGAGTGTGCGGTAGCGGTCGGTCCCTTTCCACAGTTCGATAAGATTGGGCTTCTTCTCGGTCTTTTCAAGCTCAATTGTGCGACGCATCATTGCGACTGAGTCAGCGGGATTATCAGTTGCGCTGGAACGTCCGAGGCGTTTGACGGACTTCTCTGCCTCTTCGAGACGGCCCTTTCGCACCAGCCACCAGGGCGATTCAGGTGCTAGGAAGAGGAGGATGGCAAGGGGAGTAGGGAACATCCATTGGAGAGCGATGGGAACTCTGGTGTTGCTGTTAGCACGGTGCTTCTCTGTCAGAGCCGCAGGAGTGCACGAACCTGTACGACTTGTCGCTGTCCATAGATTGGTAGTGATAGGTGATGCCACCGACAATAATCGATCCAATGGCCCAGAACATCTGCAACATCTGTGTTGCAGGAGCTCTCAATCTCAGTGGCACGATCTCACTGCAGTAGGCGGGTGCATTGGCGATAAAGATGCCCCACGGAATGCCTTCCAGAAGCTGGGACAGTAGCAACACTCCCAGAGAATCACCAAAATAGAAAACAAAGATGAAGGCGTTCAAGGCCATGAGGCCACCAATCGTTGCCCACCGGTATCCGATCCAACTTGTTATAGGACCTGCCAGGAAGACACCAATGAAGGCACCAACTGGTCCGCCACACTGGAATGCTGACTGCCAGGGAGCTGTAATGAACCATTTGTGTTGTTCGGCGTTGTACTTCCCGTAATTCTCGGCGAACTTGGCTGTGGCTATGAAGTTTCCCATCAGGAAGACGCAGTATGACTCCATGATCTGTTGACGGTCAGAAAAATGACCTGTCAACTGTGGCAGAGACTTACAATGGTGGATGACATGACGAATGCCCACCAGCTGGCCGCAGGGTAGGCTCGAACAGCCTCAAGCACGCTCATCCGGTGTTCGATGTTCTCTGCCTCGATTGCACCCGCCCTGTTGTAGTCCACCTTCTCGACAACATCTTGAACGGGGGCGACCTTGGCATTCTGCGCCTCGATCTCCGAAAAGGTCGGCTTTTCTGAGCCGATGTTACTCATGGCGGCGGTCTTGCTGAGAAAGTGTGAGGGACAATGGGAACGAGAGAAGAACCTGGTTGTCTGGGACTGCCAAACATTTTATCCCTGAAGACACGCTCTCGGTGGACATCTGATCTTCGCCGGATTGTGAGCGAAGCTTGGATTGCCCACCGGACCCAGACCTTGACCTCCACTACCCCAGCTTCTCCGCGTTACTCCATTCTGGGCATTTGTCCGGCGGCAACGTCGCATTCGCTTCAAGTTCACCCCGGCCGAAGTAACCTTATTTGCCATGCGGCACGGTGTATCTTCTCCCGAGGCTGTCAGTCTACGACGTAGCTTGAATTGTGGCGTGCTCCTGGTCAAGAAGCTTAACCTTCAAGCGACGGGACAATATGCATCGATCTTCCCTGATCGGCCACCTCGCCTGAAATGGAACGGAGTACACTCGATTGACACGGCGGGGTCCGGTTGCTTAGCGTTGCCTGGTTAGTTTCCAGTGGGCCTTTGGGTAGGAATGGTGACAGCAGGAAAGGCTGGCACCAACTTTGGATGGGGGCAAAACAGGAGTTGGCCATAGAGACAGGGACATGGGCCGTCAAAGCCGAGGCCCCAGGACCCACGTAATACAGATAGGGGTTTCGCGCGCACACCGGCTCTAGGCTGCTGCAACGCTAATTGACCTCATCATCAGTGGGCAACCGTTCAACGGTAACTTGGATTTGGATTTGGAAAGTTGCCCCTGGGACTTTCGCTTGGTGATGCTGCCGGCCGCGTGGCAGAATCGCGTGACAATTGCTTAGATGCGGACCCAGATGCTATTTGGGGGAGTCTGATATGAGCCCCGAGGCGTTCGGACCCTCGGTCTAAGTTGTTCCAGTAGCTGGCGCTATTTCCTCACAGAACCTGGAGATAACGTATCGTGCAGTGACACCATCGTTTGTCTTTCGGCTAGCCATGCTCTTCATTTGCCGCAATAATCAGGCTGGATGTGTGCGGGCCAGAATCGATCTGATACTGGGAAAGGTCATGATTGAAGTAGTTCTCATGTACGTCCACTGGTCTATCCATGAGACTTACAGGCTATACCTCCCATGTTGAAAGTTGAGGCTGCGACAGTTTTGATAAACATAAATGGCGCTGGTGCCTAGGTTGTGTATGCACACTTCTAATTACCCACCATCCTCATAAAGCAAAATCTGCTCGGAAAACCCAGGTAGTCTCCTCTTCAAGATCTCGAGCCCAGTCGCCGCTATTGGTCTAATCGACCGTCCACCAGTATTCCGGAACTCGCTGCGGAATGGGTACATCTTCAATGCCTTAACGCCATTCTCCTTTGCATCTTCCATCTCGATCAACTTCCTTTTGCGGCGGACCAGTTGAGGAGCAGGGGCCAGTAATGGCGATCGAAGTGTTGAGGATGCGCGTTGTTCTAGCTCAAGATGACGTACACTTGGACTCTCTGTCAACATGCCGCCTGGCACGATATGTTCTTTCAAGCTCTTGTAGTGTGCTGTGTCAACGGTAGCGCTAATTGGCTCAGACTCGTGGACTGCAACGTTATCTAGAGTGGTGGTGGCAGCAGACGTTGAACCGGGGCTCCCATAACTCGTGAAGGTGCTGATAGTGCTGGGAGTGAATGTCTGACCGGGCGGAAACAGAAGTGGCTCACTGTCGGTGGGGATATATGTCTTTGCGTAGATCTCAATTAGGACAGGATCTCGCACTGCCCATGATGGTGCGGTAAGCAGCGTAGCTGGCTCGTCGTCAATGTCGGACTGCGCAAGGAAAGCAGGAGCAGGAGAAGGACTTGGGACTGTAGGCAGGCTACTGCTTTCACCGGAGGTCTCTTGACTCGACACAGATAGCTGAAGCAGGAAGTTCGTTCGCGCGAGGATGGTTGGGACGAGGGCTTGGTAAGACGAATCGGACCTTCCTGGAGGCGTCACCAACGTCGTGGTGTCCAGGCATAATAGTGCCATGAAAATGACTTGTAGGGCACATTGCCAGGTGCATCAGACTGAGGAATGAATTCTCAAAGATGTTGAGGAAAATGGTTTAATTTCAAAGATCTGAATTGTTGACTTGCCCAGCTTGCTTGGACGCGCAGTTTCCGGCGCTGGAAGATTAATTGTTCCGGAACTGCGCTGCAGGGTGCCCGTGTTCTGTACTACTGCTAGCATATAAACCCTGCGTCTCAAAGGCCTCATATGGCCGAATTGCAGTCGTCGACAGCTGATCGCGATACAGCCTCTGCTACTCCAGTACAGCTCTGGCCATTCGCACGCCTTGTGTCATTGAATCGGAACGTGAGCGAAAGGTTTTGTTCCGCTGTGCAAGCGTCCTTCAAGATACCTGTCCATGGGCACGCGCAAGAAACAATGGCACGAGTCCGTGAGCAGCACCAGCGTGGTTTCCGACGCCGAAACCCAACAAGCCGTCAGCCCACATAAGCCGGTACTCTACACGGGGAGTATTTGTTTCACTTGGCCCACCCTCCTCGGCAGGGCACTTGAATTCTCGGCGATGGTGACGGCTCTTCCCGAGCCGATGTCGATATTCTCCTGACAGCTCCCCACACTACGAGATCCATCGCAGCTCGACATGCCTTGATCCACCATCGCCCACGAACTCGACGCCTCATTCTGCGGGCTAAGGGTCAGTGACAAAAAGATCGGCGGGTTATCTCGTAGTGGTTACCTCTCTTCACACCCAACTTCCTCAGCTTCTATAAGGATTCAGAGTCTCTAAGCTGGTATAATTATTCTTAAAGGTCTATATAGTACTTACATTGAATTTGGAAGATATTCGACTCCTATAACTTGAGTTTTGGTGGTTTTTGTAAGAGGTGTTTTTAGAGAATTACCCGCCAATCTTTTTGTCACTAACCCTTAGGCATACCATAGGGTCCTTACGCCCTCTCCAAGACATGCCGGCACTTCAATTGTGCCCAACAAGAGTTCAGACCGGGAAGATGTACAGTAGAGAGCAGAAGCAGACTCGGCGCTAACCTCTGGCTCGCGTCTTGTTAAGCTTGGTCTTTGTTGATCCCAATACACAATGGTCAGCAGGCGACGCTGCGGCAGCCCTTGATACCATCCTTGGACTAGGGCGGAAGCATCGATGACTGATCCCTGAGAGGACGACAAAGTGTTATGAGGATGTTGAGCCACGAAGTTAGTGGTCCATTTGGGAACAACTTCGCTGATGAATGTACAGACTCACGCTAGAATAGTACGAGGAAAACATACTGAATACCTCCGCGTTATTGCTCGATCACCGTCAGACCAGTGCAAGAGCCATGTAGTTAACGACAACTAACTTATAGAGATAAGTTCGGACAGATATTTGGCATCAGTTCGAGCCCCCAGGCCTGCCCTTCTGTTTCAACCTCTCTGCCGCCAGTTTGAAAGCAAGTGGAGTCTGCGAAAAGGGGACAGTTGATCCATCGGACTTTACGGAAGAATGTTGTGTTCCCTGTTTGATGGCATCCTTTTCATGCATATCCGTCCTTGTGTCCGATCTTGCTTCGGGATCTGGCACGGCTTGTGCTTCTGAATACGGCCAGCAATCTTTGAGAAATCGTCGCTTACCAGGTGAGGTAGAATGAGATGCCCACCTAACGTGGCTCTTTTCTGACGGAGTGCTGGGGTCTCGAGGTTCTGCGACATAATCGGCCCAAGGTATCTCGGGCAGAAGAGATTGTTTCGTAGTGTGCGCAGCAGCACGGTCCTCATGCCCCTGGCCAGCCACACGCGCTGGTGGATCCGTCGTCAATCTCTTCCTGCGGTCCGGGAGTTTATCGCTATTGCTAGAAGTCTCCTCACTTGCAGCTCCTCGCTTGACCCCTTTCTCTTCCCGTTGGGCGCCGATTTTTTTAAGATCAGTGATTATTTCCATATTGTAAGATATCCTCTCATAGTCCAGAAGCAGTGGGCCTGCTAAGCAAGACAGCGCCTTCATGGTGTGATCAACAACCATTTCGCGAAGTCTGGGCATGGCTTGGGAGCGTGAGGAGGAGTTGTCGTCGTCTTCTTCGTCGGTATCGGAACATTCTGATTGGGGTGAAACGTTTCCAGCGATTTCCTCGCCAGTGATGTTGTAAAAGTGACACAAATATGTGAGCTTATCAACTACGATAAAGCTATAAGCTTGCGGTAACAATATGACATGGGAATGAACGTACCTTTTTTGCGAAGGTCCCAAAATTGGTGGACGTTGCTGGGGAAATGTTTTGGGGAAGGGAATGAAAGCTGTGAGGGAGAGGAAGCACTGAAGATGGGAACTGGGAGTACTTTGTCTCTGGCCCTTGCTGCTCGGGGATTTGTAGATTGAGCCGTTGACAACCGCATGAACTGATTCATTTGGTTATGAAGCTGGTTCATTTGGTCGTGTAGCTGACTGATTTGCTCGTCGACCTTGTTGAATCGTTCGTCGACCTTGTTGAATCGTTCGTCGACCTTGTTGAATCGTTCGTCGACCTTGTTGAATCGTTCGTCGACCTCGTTGAATCGTTCGTCAACTTTGAGAAATCGTTCGTCAACTTGTCGGGATTGCTCATCAACTTTGATTTCGAGTCTCTCCAAACGCTCATCAACATTTCTGAACTCCCTCCGGATGCCATTGTCGCGCCTGTCAAGGGCAGCCTCGACAATTTGTTGAGTCGACATACTGGCAGAGACACAAGGTCCGTCGAGGCTGTGGGTGATATGGTGGTTGCAGATGTTTAGGTGTTGAGGTGGCCAGGGCGCAGTCTTGTGACGTGGCAGGTGGCGGTTCTCGGGGTACCTTCCTAAAGCCGACGGGAGCTGTCTAAACTTCAAGTTCGCTCCAGTACAATGTCTAAAGTAGAGGAAATCGAAATAGTTCATTAAGGAGATGGAAAAGCTTAAGCGATAAGAAGAGTCAAGGAGGCGGTATTGAATGAAATTTGCAAGGCAAAGAAGTTGACTTTGAAACCAAAATCCTTGTCCTCTTCTGGTCGATGTTTCAAACTGACAGTCCAGGCGCTGTGATATGAAATGTGGCAACCCCTGTTTCAGCGGGTGTTCTCTTTTTCAAGCTCTCTCACAAGATCACCAGCAGACGCAAATCCCTTGGTCCAGCATTTCTCGATGATAGAACCCAGCCATACCTCGCTTGTTGACGGAAGTGTTTCCCGTCGAGGCCAAGTCGTCGGATCACCCACTTCCTGCCAGTCTTGATAGATATCAAACGAACAATGTTGACCAGTTATGATCTCAAACATTAATGCCCCAAATTGTCCGATGTCGGTTAGAATAGAAAATCCATATTTGTCGCAGCCTTTGAGGTCCCATTCAGGTGGCATCAAAGAAGATTCAGAGAGGTCAATAAGCTTAATATTCATATTATCGTCATACACGATGTTATCCAGCCGGATATCACAGATAAGAACACGTTTTGTATGTGCGAAGGCCATGGTACGCGCCAATTGAAGGATCCAGGAGAGCTGAAGGGGCCTTTCTGGCTTGATTTCACTCAGGTGCTGCCGTAGGTCGCCATTCATCAACGGCATCTGGATTGAGGGTTCTTCGGAATCGACATTGTAACAACGGATGATCCCAGGATAGTCGCCTAGCCTTTCGTAGATAGCCTTCTCGTGCCTAAAAGACGCGACGGCCACGGCGAGCTCGTTGTAGCTGTCTTCATTGTGGTTCAATATTCTGTCATGAACAGGCACTCCATCAATTTCGAACAACTTCGATATCCGAGGAATTTTGAAAGCATATCCTCCTCGATTGACAACAATTCCTGCACCACCCACTCCAATAACCTCCTCTTTCACAATTGTGCCGTCCATATACAGGTGTTTTGCGATGTGCGATGACATGGATGGGCTGAGGACGTCTGTAGATGGGACTCGGGCTGCAGGCTGGGAGACCAGTGGTAAAAGCTTCGATCACACAATGGTTGTTTCTACCTAGATAGAGATCACTTCAGACAAAAGGCATTGTTGAATATTGCTGCTTACCATAGGTAACAATAGGCCATTGGCGCACTTTCTTGGCAATGCACCTGTCCAGGTTTCACCTACTTTTGTGCCCCTACTCGTCTACCACAACTTATGTCTCTCCTAGGTACAGTATGTTAACATCCCAGAGCTGATGCCTACTTTCACTACTAGAGCCCAGTGGGAAGGCGGGGGCCGCTAAGTGTCAATGGAGAACCTTATCAATGCTGGGATGATAGTATCTGCCGGACAACTTGGCACACATAATTGTACGGTACCCTACACATTCAAAAGTAAAGATATTCGCATCGACACCTAGCGATAATCGATTCCCACTCTTTTCGCACCATAGAGAGAAGCTTACTGGATTCAATTATCTGCCATGCCGAATCCAAAAGGTTGTGGCTGCAAAATAGAACACTAAACCAAACTCTCAAACTCCGTGCCTGTTGACTTATATCCCCAAAACCTCTCGCCGGTGTCGCTGGTTGTCAGACTTATGGATGATTTGTGTGAGTCGTGCAAATTCCCAACGCATTCCATCCGATCATCCAGCTGGATTTCTCTGCGTTGTAACCCAAGCGTACGCTGTGTCTTGTGCCCTTAGGACATCTTCCGCTGTTGAGTAGAGTTTTTGCCAGCAGCCCATCATAATCAAACCGCCTGAGATACCTTCCACCCGAGGAAATATGCCCTGCCCAAGCATGCCGATAACCCGCTCTTCGTATTGCCACTTGTCTTCCTCGGGTAAATTGTCTGATTTGTAAGGCCAGTGCCTTAGGGTTTAGGGTTTAGGGTTTAGGGTTTAGGGTTTAGGGTTTAGGGTTTAGGGTTTAGGGTTTAGGGTTTAGGGTTTAGGGTTTAGGGTTTAG